CTTCCTGAAAAGCGGGGGGCAGCATGTAGCAACGCCTTGGCTGTCGTTGAAATTGTGTGGTATAATAATTCGGCTAGGAAAACCACCCAGATCTCACATTTGGATCGTTGAGTTCGTCGGCTCTATCCGAGTGCGAGTTTGCCGATCTTTTCCTATGGACCAAGCTCCCGGAAACTCAACAAGAAGGGCCCCTTGGTGTCCGTGTTTCGTCTTGGGAAAGAACTGTGGTAATTGAATATCTTGACCAAAAAGAGAACCTCGGCCTCATGCGGAACCAACTCCAGGCTGTTCCTGGCGGTTGTATCGATGCAACATATGAGCATGGGGGCCCACACCCAAGATCCGAATCCAGCATCCTCGGAGCAGGTGCTGCCGAATACATGGATTAACCAGTAATTTGTATGTCATGATTATCCGGGAGATCAGTGCTAGTACGTAATAGAACTCGGCATATCAAACCCCAGCGGCGAGAGGTCTTTGTCTGGCACAGGACCCGTGCGAGGCGCTGGCTGCCTTTCAGGATGAACGGGCCACTAACATGCGCTTGGCTTACCCAGATGGTAGATGTGATTGAAGCAAGCCCGCAAAGCGTACGGCAGATATTATTAAATGGGTCCGGACCTGGCCACAGTGGTATGACATGACCTGCACATAGGAACGTACTCTTCTCACTGACAGGCCGCATTCAAGATTAGTCGTTTTTTACCCGGCGGGAAAGGAATCGACGTTCCGGATCTTTGTGTCAGCCTCCTTCGCACATTTTAATGAGACAGTCTCTGGTGTTTGAAAACTAGGATGAACCGCTGACAGTATATTCATAGCCAATTCATGATAAATCATACGTTATTTAGCGTGGAAAATAGTACGGACCAAAGTATGAATTGTTGTTCCCCATTTGGAAGAATGGTGGGCGATTCTGAACACGGCATAAGAATCAAGATGGCTGTATTTGTCCAACAGGTGAATATCCTTACCTAAGGTTCCTGGTAAAACTTGCGCAGCCTTCTGTTTCGAGTTTATCCGTGATTAGCTTTTCTCTTGGCTTGCATGTTGAGTTACATGCTGTGCCAAGATCCAACGTGTTCATGATTTTGCGGGACCCGTGACCATTCCTCAGAGTCGCATCTGTAAGGATTACCGAAATGAGCTCCCACATCACCACGATATCAAGATTCGGTGGCGGCTGAGACATAAAGTAAGCTGCATCATCGATGACTTATGGCTGTTATGGATGCAGTTCCCTCTCCGTTGAAGTAACACGGCGGCAAAGGGAAGGGGAAGGGCCTGTAACGGCGATTCGTGGGCTCCCGAGGCAAGTCGCCTGCATGTTACCTGCTGCATATGGTAGCACCTGATTGCGATCACAAAACCAGTATCATGAGTCAAGCAATTCTACATGTTGGCTATCATAGTATCTATTACCATTTGGATCTTAATTCAATGGCGCATATCAAACTTCCCTAGCCGTCACGAAGTCAATGAATCCATTAATACTTCCCCTGCCTAGCTGTCTCGAGGATGAAGGAGTGCAGTGGTCTCTTCTTTACGGAGAACATTTTTATAGGGAAGATCCAGTGGGATCGAGTGCTAGGAAACTTCATCCCCTGGTAGTGCGACTGATAACTATGTTTTCTTTCTGCTCTTGAGCTTTTGACTTCACTGGCGAGGGTGACGAGAATACGAAATGATCCTGCCTATGGTCTAGACCGCCGAGTGGCGGCAGCAGTTAACCGCTGGATCTGCGGCCTGCCGTGTCTCGTGACTAGCTGCATTTCAGTTTAGGCACAAGTGCATTAACGTATCTGCAGACCCCTCATGGGATCCGGTGAAGTTTCAAACCTCGCACGGTGCATGTGGTATTGCCTCGTCTCCATTGTCCGGCCAAAACTGATCGTGGTGGCTTCTTTCGACTCCAAGGTGAGAATGCCAACTAGGCCTCCCGGATTACGGCACCAATGAAGACAAAAGGAGGAGGATTTCGTTTTTGCATCTCTTCCATCTTCACTAGACTTATAGGCGACCCCTCATTATGACTATCTGTGTGCCCAATGCCGAGAAGCTAGTGGCTTGGCCGGGAGATAAATTACCTTATCCTTTCTTCTCTGGGCTCTGGTATCTTTATGCAACTGAGACAAGCAGATCAATAGAGCAGAAAATGCCCGAGTTATCCCGTACAGGCCGGACGCCACATGAATGAATACGCAGCGGCTTATGGTAGTGAGGCAATTCATTGGCTCGGGTCCTAGTTATCACGATGTGTGGTAACGCAAATATATTCTGCGCCGCGCATTTCAGCTGGATGACAACCCACAAAACAGACGGATTGAGCTGGTATCTCGATGCATAACCGGTGCCGGTGTCGGCGATTGAACCAAGGAGCAGTTTTCGTCCCGTTGTGTTTCTTGTATAAGGTGGGCATACGCCCCTCAAAGAAAGATGACTCTGTGAAGTCCGACAGCAGCTCTTCCCGAAAACTTCTATATCTTCATTCTTGAACCTGTTCTCATTTCTGTCATTTGTTGCAGGTCTTGGACAAGTATGCGTCTTTACCATACTGTCGGGGCTGGTCTTCTCATCCTCTGTGGCGTTGAAGCTGCCGCAGTCCCAAAATACAGGCGCGATGACACCAAAACTTGTCGCAAGACCAAAGTTGCTGTTCTTGGCGCGGGTGTCGCTGGGATTACAGCTGCACAAGCCTTGACAAACGCCTCAGTGACTGACTTTATCATTGTTGAGCGTAACAACTATATAGGAGGTCGAGTTGTGAACGCAACATTCGGCCAGAAGCCCGACGGAACTCCTTACGTCGTTGAGCTCGGGGCAAATTGGGTGCATGGGCTTCAAGAGGGTGATGGCCCCGAGAATCCCATCTGGACTCTAGCCAGGAAGTACAGCCTTGCCAGCACCCCCACGGATTCCAAATCCGTCATCACATATGACGAGACAGGTCCGGTGGACTACAAGAACCTCATAGATGAGTTTGATGAGGCCTGGGAGGGTGCCCAAGTTGAGTCTGGAAGGTATCTGACTGAGAACCTTCAAGACATTAGCGTGCGCGCTGGCTTGAGCTTGGCAGGCTGGAGGCCGCATAAGAAGGACATGCACGCCCAGGCCGTGGACTGGTTTGGGTGGGATTTTGAGTCCGCATCACCTCCTGAAGATGCCAGCCTTGTTTTTGGAATGACTGGAGTTTATAACGCCACGTACAACCATTTCAGCGAAGAGGATCGCTTCATTTGGGACCAGCGTGGATTCACCACAATTGTCACTGGTGAGGCAAGAACATTCCTCCAAGATCAGGATCCGAGGCTCCTCCTCAACACGATTGTCAAGTCAATTAAACACACAAATGCTTCAGTTGAGGTACACTTTGATAATGGAGACTGTATCGAGGCTGAGTATGCAATTTGCACCTTCTCTGTTGGTGTGCTTCAGAATGACATTGTCAAGTTCGAACCAGAGCTGCCTCTATGGAAGCAGGAGGCAATCGAATCTTTCACGATGGGGACATACACAAAAATATTCATGCAGTTCAATCAGACGTTTTGGGATCCTGAAAAGCAGTATTTGCTTTATGCCGATCCACATGAACGGGGAAGATACCCTGGCTTCCAATCATTGACAGGTCCGGGTTTTCATGAAGGGTCTAACCTGATCTTTGTTACGGTCACAAATGCTCAGTCATGGGTAGTCGAGCAGCAGACTGATGAAGAGACCAAGGCTGAAGTCCTGGCGGTGTTACGATCCATGTTCCCTGGAGTGACTATCCCAGAACCTACAGCCTTCATGTACCCACGCTGGAGCCAGAAAGAGTAAGTTAGAACCTTTGCAAAAGTGAAATTGGCAACTTTGTCGTTCAGTATCAAGTGCTGACTGTCCGCGTCATAGATTTGCCTTTGGGTCATTCAGCAACTGGCCCCTGGGCACTACGCTGGAGCGGCATCAGAACCTCCGAGCCAACGTGGACCGCCTTTGGTTCGCTGGTGAAGCAACCTCAACACAGCATTTCGGATTCCTTCACGGAGCCTGGTTTGAGGGACAAGAGGCAGGGCAGCGTGTGTCGAGCCTGCTGAAGGGGAATCTTTTTGGCAGCAAGTCCGGCCCCATGGAAGTCTACAAGAATCTCCACGGGACGACAGAAGAGGACCAGTACAATGAGTCCAATGGTTGGTATATCGATACAGTCGGGGATGAGTAGAATAGGAAGGATACATGTATGTTTGATAACATTGTGCAGAAGCAACGTATTATCTATTTATGAGCCACTTAGCTATCAAGTAGAATGAAGCTCCTTGCCGAAATGACTTCATAGAAAGGCCATGGGCCGGTGGTTACGTCTTTAAAGGAACGCCACCCCAATTGAGAACGTGCAATGACAATGCCCAAGACATTGGTACCTACGCAAGTATCTTGCGCCAAAGATGCACAGTTAGTCTTGGCTTGGAATGCCTCTAGCCCACCACTGATAATGAGACACAGTTATAGTAGAAATTAGGATGTAGCATAGCGGATTCTCGTCTGACGTGAGAATAATTATTCCGATGGACTGACGAAAGCCTGATGTATAGAGCCTTGTTGGAGTGGCGAGGAAATATTAGGCCCCAATAAGCCGTAAATTTTAGGTTAACGAGGTTATTTCTCGACTCTATCCTATCCATTAGCAGTGTAGTTCAAACTAACCATTTCATCTATCGCGCGATATATTTCTTTCCTTTCCATGAACGTGAGAGTTTGGGCTGTAGGGGGGAACGACACAGTAAACCCCCATAAGCGTGCAGCTGGCTGTAACACAGCTGACTGACTGAGACACAGCCACCACCAGTCTATTCTTAATCAACGGGACACGTAGCAGGTGACGTCACTCTGGCCATTGTTAATAAATCCCATGTAGGCCTAAAAATGTTCCCTTCTAGTTGTTTGGGTCAACCCGACTGCGACGTACCTATTCAACCCCGGCTGGCAGTGAATCACCTGCAAGAGCTTTTGCATTCAGTCTCAAAATGAACAGCAAGACCGGGGCGTGCCCAGCTTTCCGTGATAACAAGGATCTATATGGTCTTGGTATACGCCTAGGCTTTTACATCCAATGGGTGGGCTTGATTGTTTGTGAGCTTTTCGACAAAAAGAAGTCGTGTGATGAACCCAGGCACTCGCACTCCGAGTTTTTTGCGATCCGGATCACGAATGCATCATTCGTTACCGCCGAGTTCATCGCCATTCTTGTGCAGATCGCTAAAACATCTCTCAAATCTGATCGGAAGACAGAGTTCATCCAGCCAGTGGACATTTATATCGTCCTCCTATTATGTTTTGGCTCCAGTCTTTTTCTCGTGGTGGTTTTCATCTGGAACATGTTCACACCGCTCAACGTCGACTACCCTATGAGGCCAAGCCAACTCTCCGTTCGACTCAGCTGCTTGCTACTCGCCGCAGTATCTCTTTTCCAACTCTGGTTCTGGTCACAGGATTTGGATTTCGAAAGTTGCAAGACATACGGTTTCGCTTTTAACAAGACCACAATAGATCATATCACATTCCGAGTCACACATGGAATCCTTTACGGAGCCCTGCTACTAGTGGTGCTATTAAACTTCATCATTCTCTTTTTCTCACCAAAACGTTTTCCGCTTCTTGATAAGCTAGGCCAGAAACTATGGGTGAGTATTCCCCTCGGACGAATAAAATCAAACTGTCAAGAAATGTGCTAAGATCTCATATAAAGTCGAGAAAAATGAAGGCATGGTACTGCCTGGCCAAACTACTGGTCTGCGCTGTTATCATCGTTGCAACGGAATTGACAATCTCCTGGAATGGCATGAAAACCCTCTATGAAATCGACTCTGCTGGGCAAACTATCCCATTTGTGGTAGGGTGTTGCGTCTTGGCCCGCGTTATCTACGTTACTGGCGCCCAGGACCACGTGTGGGAGTGGGAGGAGGTCGCCACCTGGAAAGATATGTTTGACTCGCTCAAACGACGATTCCGGTAAGATTTGACACATGATGTCCCAAAACACTGCTAACAGTGCAATTGAGTAATAGGCCTGATGGCGTAATGCTTAGAAGAATGCAACATGCGGGTGGAGGTGGAGGGCATTAACAGTTCTATCAACGGTTGAATATGTTGATTCCGGTGTCTCTGGAGCGCCTCACTAGTAGATATAGACTGAAGACCAAATAGAATTGAGAGTCTGGCTATCCTTCTTTAATGAATTTCAATGAATAATTACTCTCTACCTTGTGAATATGAACAAACCCACGCTCAAGTCATTAGCTTACAGCATGATATGCGTGAGCGAAGAAGGAATGAGTTGAGGATCATTTTCAATGCTTAAGAATCGAACAAGCTAATGCAGCTAGGCCATATCACGTCCAATATAACGACGAGTATGAAGACTGTTTACTGTAAGTACCCTGTTGAAACCGTATCAAATACTGGGCTATTGTATACTCCTTGAGTAGAAAGACTGGGGCTTTTATGACAGTTGTTATGTGATACCAGACCAACTCTTGACCAACAACTGTTATCAACTAATTGGTCCTAAAACGCTTCCTCACAGCCGGTTGGATTATTTGATTGGAATACCTTTTTTGTTTGACTCACACACATGCATGTATGGTACACCGTACATGATACCCAGTGCATTTCTACATCGCCATTACCGCCAAGACTTCTGCTCCCCACCTATTAACTAGTTAGACAGTTGGGCCAGAATCCACTGTTTGTTTTTCTACACCGAAGTTGATCCGCCTCCGACACCTGATCATCAGTTATCTCAAGCGATCCACTTCAACCGCCCTTCAGTCTGCTTCCCAGTCATGGATTAAAAGCCTCACCCACCTATACAAAGCCAATTGGTCCGTATGTATCAACCAGCGCGATGTCGTCCGAAGAAAACCGATATCACACGCTCCCGTACAGGTTGCAAGGTCTGCCGAGCGCGCAAGAAAAAGGTAGTAGAAGACCCCCTATTCTGTCCAGCATCCTCGGTTGACATGGTGGTATGCAGTGTGACGAGAAGAAGCCAGTGTGCTCCACCTGTCAGAGACTCGGGAAGCGCTGTGAGCCCATTGAAAACCTCCTGGATTTCCGGCAGGTTAATTTCAGTCCACAGTCCTCGGCTATATTTAAAGTTTCAAGAAGTAAGAAGAGACGAGTGGAATATGCCAAAGATGCAAGTCCCAGTGCGCTGTCACCGTCACCGAGATCTTGCAATGCAAACACTTCAACACATGCCTCTCCATCCTTGACTTTCGCGGCAGGCACATCGCTGCGCTCATATGATGGAGAGTTCAGTCCTAGAAGCCTGCCTGGCGACTGGACTACAACTCCCTGCCCTGATGCAGCCAGCACACTGCACCATGCCTATTCGTCCTTATCGGCTCTACCTGAAGCGACAACTCAAACCGCATTATACTCAAACAAAGACAATGCAGTTCACATGACACCCATCTTATCCTCCTTTCAGTTAAAGCCTGACCAAGGTACTCTATTTATGAATTTATGGGACACAGAGTGCATCCCGGCTTTGCATCCCGTCTTCCGAAACTTCGGCATTCAGCATCATCTCTCCCCCGTCATGAGCAACATATCGCTGGCAGTATCAGCATGCCGAACGAGTCGGCTACTACCCCAGAAGAAGCCGTCCATAGCACCCAAGTTTCTGGGACTGAGTTACCGACCGGATCTGCAACTCCAAACGTTCGGCCAGAAGCATTACGGTAATGCTTTGTCGCAGGTTGCCTCCTGGGCTGGTACTGGTGCTGGATCCTCTGATCTTGATTCCGTCCTGGCAGCTCTTGTACTGTTTTGTGTTTATGAGTCTGCGATGGGCAACTTCACAGCGTTTGGCCTGCACTCAAAAGGGGTATCCGACCTCATGCAAGCTCACAAGGAGCGCATCATTCAAACAGCGTACGGACCAGAGTTGGTTGCCGCTTGGTTGCAGGCGCGGATGCAAAATTGGTGGCGGCGATTTCATTTCAGCCGACCTTTATTTCAGAAAAACCGCCTGCCTATTTCTGTGCAGCCGGACTTAGAAGCGCTGCTGAAGAGTGACACGAACAGGAGGGTTTCCATCCTCTTAATTCTATGTGAATCTTTGAATTTGACCTCTATGGCTGCCTTGAAATACTGGGAAGAGTTGTCGGATGCAGTTCACGACGAGGATCAGCATGCTGAGGATGGAGACAACACGATTTCACGACACTACCCTGGACTTGCGACATGTACAGCACTTCTCGAAATCCAGGCTAATAAGCTAGCTGCTTGGAGATCGCAACTGACGTCGTTTGAGATCTCAATCGAACCATATGGGACACCCAGCAGTCCCAGCGTGATGACCGACTCTTTATTGGACATACAGCCTCTGTATTTCGAGTCGCATACCACGACGATGAACTATGCCTACTACATCGCTTCAACCATCATTCAACGCGCTTATCCTTTTCGCCTGGATATTATAGCCTCCGAGTTCTACCGCAGGGACGTGGAGCTTTGGATCCTTTTGATGCTACGAATCGCATCAGGTATCAACTGGGATCTCTGTGTTCGTCATAACATTTACACAGTCGGCTTCTCGAGTTTAATGCTGATATGCGGTATTCGGACTCGTAAATTAGAGGTCGGGCTTTGGATAGAACAGTGGATAGAGAAATGCCACAGGGCGGCGTTTGAGGAGGGGGGCTTTCCCGTCTACCAGATCCTTCAAGCTCTACGCATCGTTAATCGCGAGCGCAGACGAGGCCGCGAAGTATGGAACATGTGCCAGTCTGTCGAAGACAGAGGCGGATCCGGGAAATACGAGTCGTATCACAGCCAAACAATCACGTCATTTCTGGTATATGGAAGGGTGACAAATACCGGACAATTCTACTGTGAACAAATACCCATATGTTGAACTCGATCGAATGTCCCGGTTTGTTGCTTGGGTGTAAAGGCCAACTTTAGCCAGCAATTAATAGCTTGATTTATACGACCCATGAAAAAACTCGTAACTTGTGAGACGGGTACAACTAACTGAACCATGAAGTGGAATGTCAGAGCAAAGCACATCGCGATTGCCAAGGTTCTGGATCCTAAGACTCTAGCAAGAAGGATGAATCAATCTTCTTGATACCGTCATTTCAACACGTCGCTAATCCCAATCCGGTGCCGGGGTCCGACATCTGATAAGTGTTGTAGAGCTGGTAGATAGGATGCGTACAGGTTCGTTCCCATGTAAGCTAAGTATTTTAGCGTGTAGCAATCAATCAATAACCTATGTTCTAAGGGTGATAGAATTCAACTGTTCCATTCACCGTCGATGGGTGTTCCCCGGGGTTGATGTTAGTGGCACGAGTCAGGACGGGGAATCATCCATGGATGACTCTGACAGTCTGGGAGGGGGGGGTTCCTGTTGTCGCTCCCGTATCCCCGATTCAGCCTAGTGAACTGGGGATTGACAGGGCGTGGTGCCAAGACTCGCTGGAAAGGCCTCAGCATGATAAGAGAAAGAGGATCAGTAGCCAATCGGAGAGTTGGTCTCCCATCTGTTACCTAGTCAGTTGGTCTCTGTCCTCGTACGACAGTTGAGGGCTGAATTCGTGCTCGGAAACCAATCAAAATTAAATAGACAGGTGGATGGAGGCAAACATGACTGGCCAATGGGCAATATAATTATTAGAAGTGCCTGAGTTTTTGGTTACGTAGTCCACTAAATAGCCAGTGTCCCTATGCAAGGAATTACCCACTTCCAGGCCCTCCGTGCCCGTTGGAAAGTCCCCATTAGGCTCCTTTGAATATACAGGTAACCTGAAGAATGCCTAGAATGATCTGAGCTAATTGAACGCAATTGTTAGTTTCTACAGTTTGGTGGAGCCTTGAGAGTTCATGGTTCATGACCCGGATGTTCCCCACCAGACTGGAACCGCACGACTGGCATGGTCTGTGGGGGCGGACTCCATGTCCCCTTATCAAACAAGCACCCAGCGGGGTTAAGGCCCCGGTATCCTAACGATGAGTTGATAACGGGGAGTTCCTTCAAAGGTGATGATATCTATAAGAGTGAGATGGAGGACGCCCATGATAGTGTCTTCTTCATCTGGACACATCTGCATTTCAAAGCTCCTTTTTCTTTCCATGGCTACCGACTCGGGATCCATATCAAGATCAACAAAGATATCTTATTCCAATGGCGGACAAAGTATCATCCATGCGGGATGACATCGTCAGTCCTCCAAGCACTCGACACGACAATTTCGATGACGAGAATCTCAACGAAAAAACCGTCGTAGGCCATGAGACAAGCCCGGAAACCAGTCTTCACCGCGGCTTACAGGCTCGACACATCACTATGATCGCAATTGGTGGTGCGATCGGTACTGGTTTAATCATCGGCACAGGAAAGGCTTTGGCTCAGGCCGGTCCCGGTTCTGTCTTCGTCTCATACACAATTGTCGGCTTCATTGTCTACTTGCTCATGTCTGCCGTGGGTGAGATGGCTGCATGGCTGCCAATGTCATCCAGCTTCTCCGGTTATGCTGCCCGGTTCTGTGATCCCGCTCTTGGCTTTGCTCTGGGCTGGTGGTAAGTTATTTCAGTGATCGTTCTTCGGAGGCCAACGAATGCGAGCGCTTACTTGCTACTTGCAGTTATTGGTTTAAATATATTATCGTCTGCCCGAACCAGTTGACTGCTGGCGCCCTTGTTCTGCAATACTGGGTAGATCGGGACAAGGTCAATCCTGGTGTTTTCATCGCCGTCTTTCTAGTCACCATCACATCCATCAACTACTTTGGAATTCGCTTCTTTGGAGAAATCGAGTTTTGGCTGTCATCTCTGAAGGTCTTTACAATCATTGGAATAATACTATTCTCGCTTGTGATTACTTGCGGTGGGGGTCCTAGTGGCGAGGCCATTGGGTTCAGATATTGGCACAGTCCTGGGTAAGTTACCTCCGTTTACTAAATCCACGGCATGTTTGCCAGAACATTGAATCATGCTAATATGCATCTACAGGGCCTTCAGGGAATATATTGATACGGGAAGTGCAGGCCAGTTCCTAGGATTTTGGTCCTGCATGGTTACAGCTGTCTTTGCTTTCCTTGGAACAGAGCTGGTTGGCGTGACTGTTGCCGAGGCCCAGAACCCGCGCAAAACTATTCCTCGTGCCATTCGCCTTACCTTTTATCGAATTCTGTTCTTCTACTGTGGAAGTGTTCTCATGGTGGGAATGCTGGTCCCATACAACTCAGAGAAGCTCATCTTTGCCGTAAACAAAGCCTCAACAGGCGCTGCGGCCTCACCATTCGTTGTTGCTGCTGAGGTTGCGGGTGTCAAGGCTGTCTCTCAGATCTTAAACGGGTGCATCCTCATCTTCGTTTTCTCCGCCGCCAACTCTGATTTATATATTTCGAGCCGTACGCTTTATGCCCTCGCCTCCAGCGGACTTGCGCCAAAGATCTTCAAGCGCACAGATCGACGCGGCGTGCCTGTCTATGCGCTGGCCCTCTCGGTCTCTTTCTCTCTCCTGGCTTTCATGAACGTTTCCAACGATTCCAAGAAGGTGTTCTCCTACTTCGTCAATCTCAACACCATCTTCGGCCTGTTATCGTGGATCGCCATCCTGGTCACACACATCTACTGGTGTCGGGCTCGCAAGGCTCAGGGTGTAACTAACGAAATGCTCCCCTATGCCGCACCACTTGGTGTCTGGGGATCGTACGGCGCACTGTTTATGTGCATTTTAATCGCCCTATGCAAGAATTTTGAGGTCTTTACAAAGGGAAACTGGGACACAGCCTCCTTCGTTACTGGATATTTGGGCATCCCTATCTTCTTAGTTCTTATTTTTGGTTATAAGATCGTCTACAAGACCAAGGGCTATAAGCCCCAGGAAGTGGATTTATTTTCTGGAAAGGATATCATTGATCGAGAGGAGGAAGAGTTTCTTGCACGAAAGGCCGCTTCCAAGGCCGCGCAAGCTAACGAAGTTAAGAGTAAGGGCCGTTGGTTCTATCGCCACTTCATTGCCTGGCTCCTGTAAACGCCTTGATGCTCTAGTTGGAGTTTTACTCCAAATTCGGCCACCAACATTGTTGGCATTGCGTATTAGTTCTTGACGATTAATTGTATCGAGGGTTAGCGGTAGATTCACAAACATGATAACTGCCATTGCTATTTTGCTTGCAGCTAGGACTCATTTATCATTGCGTTTCACACACAAACCAAAGCTGACAAAATTGACACTGCAAAATCTTAAAATTCTATGAAAACGCATGGCCCCTCATTGTACCAAAAAGCGAGTGTACGGAGGAAGCTCACGGACGCTTAAGTATATGAAGTTCCTATCCTACTATTTCCATACTCTTAGTCTTGTCTTTGAACTGCTTTATATAAGAAGAGTTTCATATGTTTCCCCAGCCAATTTGGCCGCCATGTAGTAGTCAAACAAGGATCGGAAAAGAGCTCGGTTGACTGGCAAAGGGTGGGGTGAATGAATACAGTCGGCTAAATCACAAAGCATTGAAGGGCTTCGGGGTAAAGCCCGTTATCAGATTTATGGGACGCCAAGCCTGCGTAAACATTTTTATGATTTTGTTATTACCGTAGCCCGTTTGTCATCCTCCTTATCAATACCGACAGTTCATATTTACGTTAAACTCGATTTGGCAGCCGATTTCACTCCACTTTCTCAGTACTTATCATTGTCGCTCCTGCACACCGGATTTCGATCATCAAGTGGGCCCAGACAATACGCAGACTGCATAAAGAGTGAGTTTCAGGCTGTTCATGATCGCTGTGCTGGGTACGAACATTGAATAGTATCGCCATCTCATTCTTCGAGCTGCTTTACCCGGACACCGGTAACAGGATGGGTGAACCTACGTTGGCTCTCACCCCGAAGGCGGTTGCTAGGTTGCAGGCCGCAACGGAGAAAGCGTCTAGAGACTTCCGTTCTGATGTTGTTACCGTTCCAACACAGGCCATGATGCAGGTAAGGGCACCTGTTCGTGCAAGTTCCTGAAGGCGCCGGTTATTAATATTTAATTTTAGTCAATCATCGAGGCAACCTTTGGCGACGATATCTATGACACCGAGGGCGATCCATCCGTGTCAGCTCTAGAGAACACAATAGCAGAGCTCACTGGAAAGGAAGCGGCTCTGTGGACAATGTCCGGGACTCAAGGGAACCAGATTTGCCTGCGAGTCCATTTGACACAACCTCCTCATAGTGTTCTCGTAGATGCTCGAAGCCACATTCAGTGCATGGAGACTGGAGGCCTGGCAGTTTTCTCTCAAGCTATACCCATTGCTGTAAAGCCGGCAAACGGTGTCCATCTTACTCTCGGCGATGTGCAGAAGAATATGATTCCAGAGGGCAACAGTGAGTGTCCGGAGAGAATACATGGAATGGGTGAAAACTAATTGCAACGAGCAGTCCATCACGCGGTAACACGTGTTGTATGTCTGGAGAATACGCTCGCCGGCACAATCCTGCCTCTTGACGAAGCTAAGAAAATATCCCAATTCGTCCGATCATATCCTGTTCCCGAAGGAACAAATCCCGTGGTTATGCATCTTGACGGCGCTCGCATCTTTGATGCCGTGGCCGCGGAAGGCGTGTCGCTCAAAGAGTACGCAGCATGCTTTGACAGTGTGTCAATTTGTCTAGCCAAAGGCTTGGGAGCACCCATGGGTAGTATAATTGCCGGCACAAAGCCATTCATTGAGCGAGCGAAATACTTCAAGAAAATGTTCGGTGGTGCTACTCGACAGCCCGGGATGATGGCTGCGGCTGCGCTGGCGGCAATGGAAATTACGCTGCCAAAACTCAAGAGCATACACTCCTTGACCTATGACATATCTACCAAACTGGAAGGCCTGGGCTACAAGTTGGCCCTTCCAGCACAGACCAATATGATAGTTTTGGATCTAGCGGCGATGGAGATTCCTGGCTCTGCCTTTGTCGAATACTGCGCCAAATACGGGCTCACTACTTTTCCTAGTGGTCGAATTGTATTCCATCATCAAGTGACAAGAGAAACTGCGGCAACTTTGGTTTCAGCATTGTCGAAACTAATCGAGGATAAGAAAAACGGCCTTGAGTTTTCAAGTAAGATCTTGCAGTCTGGCTGTACTTGACTGCGTGGTTCTGACCGAGATTTCTCGCTTCTAGCACACGATAATACATCAAAACTCTAGATATTTGAACATAGATAATATGGTGAGTACTGGCTGCAGAATTGTCTCCCGTTGCTCTGATCACACAATGAAGAAGTGATCCCGGAATACGTGTCTGATTACTAGATGCTAGGCTTGAAGAGTATGGTGCAAGTCCACGATATCAAAAAATCAGAGAGAATGTTTCGCACGGTAAGAATCTTGGCTATCTTTCATATTTGTCTCTTTTTAATTGATTCTCTCGTATCAGCATCACCTAACCAAGTTGATAGAAACCCTGCCTTGACCGTTAGCGACTGAACGCATTAAGTCGAGATGACAGTACGCCACTTTTGCCTTCAGACTATGGAGAGTGAAGACAATCGTCTGTGAACCTAGTTCTGATAGGCTGCAGTGGAAGTGGCTATTAATTCATTCTTTGGACTTTGCATGTGAGGCCTGTATGTAGACTATTTTATACAGCGATATACGTGGTTTCTTATACACTAACCTTGTTCTCCTGATATACGGTGCCATTCTAGAACCGCAACATCTGGCCCCGGAATGTTGCGGTTCGTCTGCCACCAAATGCAATGTCCTTTATACGACAATAGCCCCGTCACACAGTTGTGGTTTTGTCGGAACCGAAGCTAGTGCTGACGGTTGCTCGTACTCATGCATAAAATGGAGCCAATATAGTACAAAAGGGAATGTTCCCTGCTCTCCGAAATTATTAGTGACATAATGAGGCGTGATTCTTGCCTAGCCACCGCCTTCAGCTTTATGCATGCAGCAATAATACAACATCAGCCACACTGGACGCCTGAACTCCTCCAACCCCTCTCTCACCATCACATGCGACACCCTTCTACCTCTTTCTCTCATCATCAGTCGTTACCCCTTCATCTCATCATCTCGTTAGCAGTCGCGTGCGACCATCCAGCTCGAGCGAATTGACCTGCTCATCACGACAGTCTGCGCACCATTTCAAGGCACGGGAGAAGATAGCAGGACCACCATGTCCGTCTTCGAGTCGCTACCATACGACATCCTCCTCGCCGTTGGAAACGCATGCGCGAAACCCGATTTGAACAACCTAGCCAGGGCCAACAGCCTATGTTACGACTTGTTCAATCAGCTGCTGTATTCGCGCAACATCCAGGACGAAGCTCCTCACTATTCCTGCATCTTCTTTGCGATTCAGTCTAACAACATCCGCACCATTCAGAAGGCGTTGGAGCATGGGGCTGATGTGAACACTCGCGCGTTAGAAGTCCCTGCTGCTTTTCTCCTCGGTCGGAAACAGTACGAAGCTGTTGAATTAAGACAAGACGGTGGGGATGCCATAGAATATGCAGGATCCTGGGACTATACAGTGCCAGTGGGGGAAATAGCATTGAATGTGAACCAAGCAGCAGTGAATGTGGACGAAGATGGCTCGCTGGTGGTTGGCATCATGTCGGATAGAGCGTCCGTCCCGGAAACACTGGACGCGGCGGAGGCTGTGGTCGAGGTGCAAGGCACTGCTGATGCCCGAAGGTTATCCTACACTCCTCTTCAATGCGCGACGTTCTTCCGTCGGCATGAAATTGTAAAATACCTGCTGCAGCACGGAGCAGACCTCGATGCGACGGCCAGGGGAAGCTGTGACTGCCTTGATGAGGCTAAGGATGTCGGCGTCCTCCATATCGCTCTTTCTCATGGTCAAGGGGATGGAGACGCCACGGCCATAGCAAAGACCCTCATCGAACACGGAGCTCGAGATTCTGCACGGGGGCATCCAGCGATCTTTGAGATTGTCGAGAACGCAGAGGTCGAACTCTTCGACGTCATGGTAAACCGCCATGAAGTGGACTTCCATGCTACCGACAAATCAGGTCGAAATCTCCTACACTTGGCCGTTGAGTCTATTGATGGCGCGTGCTTACCGCTGTGCCAGAAGCTCATTGACAGAGGCGTGGCCGTCAACCACAGAGACAACATGGGACGCACACCATTCTCGTCTATCGTAACGGGCGGCGAATATGTCCCGGCCGCCATACTTCTCCTTGAACATGGGGCCGACCCTACGCTTGCGCTTGTCTATCGCGATGGCAGTCGTCCTCGGAGTATGCTCGACGCATGCGTTTACGACATCCCAGACTATCCATCGGGGATTCCTTGGCAGGCGCACGCCGAATTTGTCAAGGAACAGACCGAAAGGGCCCAACTCCTAAAACTTCTGCTGGAAAGGGGTATACCGCCGAACCCGAGACGTGGCTCCAGACGTCACCGCAAAGCCATGACGAGAGCACTGTTCGGTGCTGCCGCTCATCTAAAGGATGTCAACTGCATGCAGATGTTGATTGATGCTGGCGCCCGAGCTGATTCCACAATCGGGAGAGCCTTCTACAGGGATCAATGGCCTCTCTTGGTCGCCTTTGTCAAACATGAGGCTCGGCAATGGGGCTTTTTAACTTTTGACGACATCCCGGAAGAGATCTCCATAGTAAATCGTGTTCGCCTCCTTTTGGACAATGGGGCTCCTTTGGGTCCTGTCCGTAGCACCGACAACCATGCCAGGGCACGGTTGTCCGCCGGGCCATCAAATGAGAGTGCTGAGGCAGAGGGCGAGAGTGATGAAGAAATTGAAGGAACATGGGACGCGTATTCCATTCAAGGCTTTGGTTCGGATCTCTTCGAGTTTAGCGAAGGTACAGGGACAGAAAGTTCCTCTGCTATGGAGGTTGCTTTTGAACTGGCTGCGTCAGACAGGCAAGCAACCTTCCGCCCCGAGGTCGGATTCAAACTGAACGATATATTTCTCGATATCTTTTGTGAATATGCCACGAGACGCAATATCACAGAGAGGCATATTAGCAATTTGATAGAGGATTATGATGAGGAAGGGTACGAGGAGGCTAGTTCAGGCAAAGAGTCTTCCGGTAGGCTAAAAGCTGCCTGGGACAAGTTGGTTCAGCTCAGGGACAGACTGTATCCAGGCCACCAGCACGGTTGATATCAGGATAAGTTGAAACGAATTTCCTTTTCAATTACATTCAGGCTATATTTTTTAAAATTGCAGTTTTAGGAGGGATTAGGAGAAGTCAAATCGGCATGTGTGTCTGGAAGACTCTCAAACCCAGAGACACTATATATTTCAAGCATATGCGACATGTCATGAGCTTTGGTGTAAACCCGAACATCTGTGAATCATGAAACCAAAGGGCGCTGTTCTTCGACTTTGTTTAGTATCATGTCACAGATTTTCCAAATCCGGCGGCGATTCTGAAGACCCTTCAAACGGCCAGCCTGCTCTTCATTCCATAACATCCTCATGGCGGAGCCCCAGTCAATAGAAGGCGACGCAGCGAGCTGCTTTACCGGGCTCTCGATTGATTCTTTCAGCTCGGTGGCGGTTGTGAGCGCCCAAGAGGAGTATGGCAACGCGGTCCAATATTCCCACAGCCAGGGGTGTTCTTTCATAAACGAGTCCCCCAAGTCCCCCATCGCGTTGCGATACAAGAAAGGCGATGCGTGGTGAAGCTTCGTAATCTCATCCCTGCTTAGGCAATCAAGTATCATTCTGCGTAGTTCCGCAGGCAACACAGAGAACGCATCATAGTCGTCGTCGTGTTTTCTCTTGCCACTCTCGGAGAGGGGCACAGCATCAGCGAGACGGAAAATCCTCTCCAGGCCAGGCACAAAGAGGGGGTTTGCAGCCAAATATTCGGCGCCAATGTTATGTCTCCAGTACTGATCTCGGCCGTGAGAAGCATCAGTTCGGCATGGGTCTTGGGGTAGGGATCTCTTGTCGACACCCAGCTCCCACCATTCGAGGAACGTGTCAACATCGGCGCGCCCATATCGGCGCAGATGGACCCTTTTCAAAACCTCCAAGCAGGTGGGATGTACAGCTAGGGAATAATGGTAGGCCAGGTCAGAGTTGTTTGCCATTATTGTATCAGTGTCATCATTTTCAAATGCTGGAGATACGGAGGAGCAGCCGTGTCTGGTAGGCGTACACGGATCGTAAGAGTCCATATTGGTGTTGGCGTCATGCAGCCCGGTGAGATAGTACCGGCCAGACCTTTCGAACTCTTCGTCTCCGTCTTCCGGCTTCCAGTCTGGATGTTTTAAAATCAGCCCCTGCATGGTATTGCATCCCCTCATTTCCTCCACGGAGATGTGGTGTCCGTTGTATCCCGACTCGCTCTCGCACTCCGGGCCGGCGATGTGTTCCAGCATAACGGGATCGCCATCTTCGAGTCTGGCCCATATATCTGACCTAACTTCCTCGGGATGATTCTTGATCCTTCGATAATACATTTCTTCGGTGGGGTGTAAACTGTGAGGGTGATCTGACGAGCTTCCAGCGTGAGCCTCTGTTTGTTCCCTTGGCCGGACAGCTATCATGCATCCGTTCCCACACTGTCCTAGCTCGTCCTCATCTTCCTCGTCACTTTCAACCTCAGAATCCTCATCTTCATGCTCAAGGTCATCCACCTCCACATATCCATGATCACGAGCGGTGATTCCACAGCAATCCCAGGATGCGTCAGGTGGCTCCTTGGATGTGCGGATACGAGCAATAGCAAAGCTGACACTGCATATCAGACAATGATACTCGTAATATCCCATTTTGTTTCTAATTTTGGGTATTGAGTCGGGGTTGGCAAGATCGAAAAGAAATGATATTCGGGAAGTTGGGCAGGTTTGCAGGACGCTCTGATCCGGTCGAGTCCTTTATAGCGCTCAGCTTTTTATTACCTACCTGTACCGTATTCAAGGATGGCAGGTGGGGACCACTGTCAGCATTCTAGGCAACATAAGCTGGATACGGAACTTTTGGCAGTCAAGTTGGTCCAAGTGGCATCGAGCTGTTAACAATATCATGCTCATGGCGAACCTGCGATCAATCAAAAATTGACGTCAAACTAAGTCACATTGTCCATTGCAATTGTAGATGGGATAATTTACTGAACCTTTAACGTTGTGCTTCCGTTCAAGATATGATAGTTTGGCCTATTTTGGCAATTTCAACGGCATGAGCTTGTGACCCAAGTGGCCGAGTACTTGCTTTTTGACAGGGCATTAATATGAGACCATGGAATATGGTCTATTCTTAGCGATCGACATACGAGCACGAGCACGGGATGGTCTGTTTATACCAAGTATCTCTTCTCACCCATGCGACATTTCTCTGGGGCTTGTATATTTGGCATTGGTTTGATAAATACGTAAGAGACAGAGAATAAAGTTTATCAGCAATGGAAGCTGCCAGAGCCCGACAACTCAACACAATGAATATTGGTTTGATAAATACCCCCTGTAAATCGCCCTGATGCCGCTTCGCCTCTGTCGAACAAAAGAGCCAATTAAAAGCCGCACGATGTGGCGCCCATTTTTGTGTGACAGCCTCTGCCCTACAGAAATGCTTAGCTAAGCGGCCGGCTCAGTTGATCCGCCATAACATTTCAGAGCCATGTTTATTACCCTACAACACACCTCGTCTTCTGTAGAAATTTGCCTGTGATGCTATTGGATGACAGAAAATCCATCAAGTTCTAAAATGATAGCAGTGAAAGCCTGAAGAAGGCATATCGAAGGAATATAAACGATTCAATCATAGGGAACGTACATCCATCAGCCTTTCAGATATTTTCGTTCCAAATCCAGCCTGCTTTGGCGAAAACCATCCTTCCAACGAGAACCATTTTGGAGTGAGTTTCAGCGCGCGAGATACAACTCCACGTGAAAATAAATGCCATATTGATATTTATCTTTATCTTTAAGGCGAGAAACTAGAAAGGCTTTATGTAAGGTAATCTATTATATATTTATAAAAGTAATAATAAATATAAATAGCCTGAATAATAAATTAGAATTATTAAATTATATTAATAATAAAATATTATTTATAAATTAATATTAAAAGTTAAAAGTTTATTAAGAAACTTTAATAAAAAATAATCAATTAAAAATCTATAGTATTAAGAGACTTGTATTAGCTATAGTTACCTTCTCTCTCTCTCTCTCTGATATATAGAATTTATTACCTAGAGTATAACTGAGTTTAGTACTACAATCATTGTATGAGTTGGAGTTTCGCACTTGGCATTTTAATTTCATAGAATATTGATTCCTCCTAAATGTGCACTGCTGATCATGCTACTAATGGTTTGCGATTATGTCGCCCTTAGACTTGCCAACTGCTGTACCATGGCACTGACCGCCGGCTTCTTGGTCAGCCACATGAAGGCCATCTAATGTCATTAACCCTCTCTGCTGTTGGTGCTTGGAAGAAAGATAGGCCTTATACCATGGCCCCCTAAAGACGGTGTCAAGTTGCTCGATAGAGAGACCGGCTGTCTCAGGCACCGAGAAGAATACGTACACCAGTGAGATAAGGCACCAGCCAGCAAAGAAGATGAAAGCACCCCAGTTATCCATGCTAGATAAAATAGATGGCGTAGCTCTTAAAATAGCAAAAAAGAAGAGCCAGTGAAAGGTCTGAGATAGGGCTGAGCCGAAAGACCTGATACCATTAGGCCATAGCTCAGCACCAAAGATATAAGGCAATGACAACAAGCCTGACGCAAACAAGGTTAGTTTATGATGACAAGTATAATTTCTCATAGTAGGCGGAAGTGAAGATAGACTTACCGACAGCGAAACCAAAACCGTGAAGGAAGATTGCGGCGATAGCACCTTCAGAGGAACCCGGCGTAACGGATCCAGCCTGACGGTACTTAAGGTAGACACCAATGTATAGGTCTGAGACTAGCTGAAAGGTGATACCAATGAACAACGAGTTACGTCGACCTAGAGCATCGACGAAGAAGAAGGACGCAATGATGGTATAGAATACCTTAGCCATGGAGTACATGGCTGCGAGGAGCAAGTTCCGACCTTGCTCACCACCCATGCCCATAAGTGACAAAATGGGGATTAGATAGCTGGCGACTGAATTTGCTCCCGTGATTTGTGCAAGTGCATAGGCAATTGCAGTCTGGAAAACTCGGCGGAGATTGGCCTTATCCAGAAAAGTCTCCCTGAGGATAGCCTTGAAGCCGCCGTTTTCTCCGAACTTCGCGTGCTCCTCTTGTATTTGTCTCTTTATTTTTGCTAATTCGGACGAAACGCGCTCGTGCTCGAGAGGGAGACCACGCAACTGGACAAGATTTTCGATGGCCTCGTCTTCGCGGCCGACTAACATAAGCCATCGGGGCGACTCCACTGCCCAGATGCTAGCTATGATAACCAATAAAGAGACAATGATGGGGACAAACCAAACGATCTGATATTGCAGTGACGACGGACTGATATGCACATAGGTAGCATAAACAGTTAGGTTGGCAACCATCAAGCTAAGAAGCAAGACGATACCAAACCAGAAGCTAAGCAGACCGCGGAACTCAGTGGGCGCGATTTCAACAATGGACATGGGCCCTGTGACGGTTAGAGGCCCAATTCCCAGGCCAGAGACGATTCGAGCCGCGTAAAGGGCTGGCATTTTCCCATCGGAGAAGGTCGCTATGAGTTGGCCGCAGATCCAAACGACAAAGTATACCCGGAGTGACCACACCCTTCCAATCCTATCGTTGAGAAAGTATGATAAGAAGGAGCCGACACCCGCTCCCAGGTATACAATCGAGATGAAGTTGGTTACTTGAGCAGGATTTGCAGCCGATGTGATTCCATATGCTTTGGCAAACCCCGGAAGAGAGGGAATGACGGAACTTGAACCTTGGTCCCAAGCTGAGAACGGCGTCAGTATAAATAGGCTTCTCATGTCTGTGTTCTGTGTTTAACTTACTGATAGCCATGGCCGTCATTGCGTAGACCGCAGTTGAGAAGAGTAGCTTCGAGTTGAAGAACAACTCCCGTGGCGACTCTTTGATGGTCTGGACATATTTGCCCAAGGTGGATTTCTCAAAGAGACTGGCCATCATTACCATGGTAAAAAGTCGTAGCTAGAATACGGGTTTGCGGATCTAGAGCAAGTTGGTAGTTGCAGGAAGGCTGACTGAGGAGAAGAGCACTGGTTGCATGTTAGTGGGGGTTTCTTGAGATAGAAATAGTTTCTCCGCAGGATCATCAACCACGCATGGCGCTGTATTCCAGAGACCAAACAAATGAAGATAAACGGTCATGCACAGGCTAAACATGGCTCGTCCAAGGCAGTTGGAGTCCCAGGAGAAGATTAGCTTTTTTGTGGGGTAACCGCTACCACGACCATCACATTGGACTGCTCCTTGAACGGCCGATAACGTGGATGGGTGAATTGAAGGCTAGCCACATTAAGCTGAGTACGAAGATATGAAAGTCGGTAGTTTCCGTACTGACTTCTTTTTCAATGTGACCAGACATGTGGAGCACGCAGAGCGCTAACGGCAGTGCTTCCGTAGGGGTGTGTTTAAAAATCGAGGGCAGAATGAAGACTTCGGGTCACATTCGGAAAGACGCTAAGCATGTATTTGTATCTAGTGATGATGCTGAGTAACTTGGCTAAGTAGCTATTCTACATACGCGGGGGTTGATGAAGATCGTATCTGGATGGTTGTCTGCCTACTTCATCAAATTGATCCACGCACTGAATGGACTGATCTGCTATATTGAATTGTGTTTCGATGTGTCTACTGGCTTGCGTTATAGAAGGGATTATACGGTATTGCAAGATCAGGAGCAGTAAGACAAGGAGTATAAGCATTGCGACTTGGACTGAGTTATCTATATCGTCCCACTGTCGTCTTGACTTGCCGCCATTGTCCTCTCCGCCGAGTTTCCTCTTCCCAGATACATCAATTTCCATTTGTTACCGTAATTTTGACTCCTGGAAGGATAGTGATCTTCTGGGACTTGTCGCCTTTGAGGGTTAGTGTAATCTTGACAGTTGAATCGGGACTCTCGCCAAGAGCCACCAGCCCTCCAGCAAGCTCGGAGTCGCCATGTGTCCCGTAACCCCAGGCTCGACCTCCTTGGGCGTTGGTGTGAATAGAAGCGTAGGCCTTGCCTATCTTTGGTTGCAAAGCGTGAGGTACGAGAACCTCGAGCATGGATACGGACTGTGCACCGCAGGGGTGCTGCGTGCACGTGGCGGGCTGTTTTCCGTCCTCGGCCAAATAAGGGACCCTGAGCGACCTCGGCGTCTTGTCTAAGCACCAGAAAGGGGCTATACCTGGCTGGAGGCGGTTCTGGTGTGCGCCAACTGGTAGAATGACGGACCATTTTAGCTCAACGCCATCAGGTCGTCTTCTCCCGCCGGAGACAAGTTTTTGGTAGAGAACACCAGATTCAGAACTGTTGACTCGCCGCTGAATGTGCTCAAATTCATCAGGGTTATTCAAAGTGTACGCCCAGTCGATGACAGTTCCCTCTGTAGCGTTGCTCCAGCGATGAGCTTCCCGCCTCTCAGGCTCTATCCCTTTATTGAATGCAACAATTTCAAGATATGTGCCATCGGGGAGGATCAGGAGTTTGTTGATCGTCACACCCGTAGTTGAACCGCCTCCTGGAATGATTTTGAAATGCTCTTTGAGCTTCTCCGGTAGCTCTTGTAATGTTTCATATGAGACAAACAAAACAATGTGATCCAAGATTGGCTGTGCGTCAGACATGGTAGGTTTTGGTTTAAACGGGCAAAATCACCCTAGGAGTTTTATGCACGAAGATAGAATAATTTTAATGGCCGTATTTTGTTCTGTAACATGGAAAACAAGTATGAAAAATTTGAAAATAAGCGAACGTTTAAATGGCGTCAATAATGAGAGGTTGCGGGATTATCCTGCCGCAATTCGAGTCGAAAACTGCAACTACTGGACGATCCATGGGCGCCATTTCAAATCAAACTACAAAAGCTCGGAAATACGAGAGCCGGAGGTAGACAGTCTGGTTCAAAGAACGTTCGGATTCTCCCGCAAACATTTGCTCATCATAAACGGAGGCCTTCCTTGCTTGTGAGATACCGGTACGGGAGCACTCCGCTCTGAAGAAGCGAAGGACTGGCGTTGCCGAGTGTACAGCCAGTTTGTTGATTCGGCTTCGTATCATGGACAATATTTGGTGGCTCTAAAAGTACTTGGATAATGATGTGTGGTAAAATGCGGATTTACGCTCCAGTACCACAATACATGCATCTATCAATGTCCGTTCCCGGGGCACGAAAGTCACCATCAAATGAACTGAATTATAGTCTAGACTTTTTAATGAGGCCTGCAGTACCGCCGAGGACCAACTCCTCGTCCCGATACAGACGATGATTCTGCAACGCCCTCTTGCTCTGACCACCTTCGCCGAGAACATTGACAGGCTTTTGAGAGGGTTCTAGAGTCCTCCATTTCCAGTAATCGAGGGGACCGCCGCTCTGACCCTCGATTCTATCCACCACGTACTTGCCAATGTTGGGTAGAAACATAAAAGCGTGTCCGCTGCCACCAGTAGCAACCATGAGTCCTTTCTTGTGAGGCTCATGGTCGATAACAAAGTGGTTATCGAAAGAATCGTTGTACCAACAAAGGCGGGTGAAAGTGATGTTAAAACCCGCCTCACCGAGCTCGGGAACAAACTCCTCGAGAAAGCTACGAATGCGATTCAAGGCGTGTGAAGGTAGACGTGTGATGGAATGTGGCTTGGACCACCTTGTGACAGGTACTGATCTCTCCTTCTCGGCACTGATAGTTTGTGGGTTGATGTACTTGGTGCCTCGGTAACCAATCTTGAAGTGGCCATCCTCATCCACAGGAAACCCGTAAAGACCGCCGTCGGCCCCATCACGCATCTTATAGGTCCAGGTGGGGAAGTTATGCGGTGAAAATCGCTCGTACAACTTATGGGTTTTTGGAATCTTTACCACCGCCACAGAACCGCCTGTTGTCTCACACAAATCGTCCATGGTGGGGACTATCTGTTGAGTCCAACCACCGCAAGCAACCACGACGAGCCGGGCCGGGTATGTTTTGGCTCCGACTGTCTCCACCCCTGTGATATCTCCTTGGGGGTTTTCGCAGTATCGAGCAAACTCGGCTTCTTGGCCTAAGATGACCTTTACACCGGCTCGGCGTGCAAGATGCAACACCAGCCGGCAAGCCTTGTCGGCATACACGAAACCGCCAGATGTGTCGAGGAGCACCTGGTACGGCTTGCTTTTGTGTCGTCGGCCGAAAGGGTCAACCGCAAACCCAAAGCCTGCTTTTTCGGCTCTGTCTATATCATCCTTATTGGTCACAACAACCTGCGTGCCTCTCTTCCCAGCCTTGCGCATGTTTTCGATAGACATCCTCTCAAAATATGGCAAATCCATCTGTGCACTGATCTGCAAGTTGCCGTTGTTGACCCAGATCTCATCCTGCTGTGATAACCCAGGTGGCAGATCCCTTCCAGCAGAGATGTAGTCATTGTACGATCTCCACAGCTCCATGGACTCAAAGGACAGGTCCTGATAGACCGTCTCAGGACCATACGCAGCTCGAATAATCTTGTTCATATCTGATAGAGGTACTTGTGTCAGCTTGGCTCACCGTAGGCAAGCTACTGGGGTATACTTACCAGCCGATGGAGCGTCACAGCCCTCAAGATATGCGTATTTCGACGCATCGTAATCTTGCTTGTCGAGAATAGTTACATCCGTGAAACCTCTCTGAGAAAGATGCAAAGCCGTGCTTAGACCGAAGACACCTGCTCCGAGGATAACAATTGGGTCTGATGGCTGTACGGAGAAGTCCATGGCAAACAGATAGAACTTTTGGATGTTTCCAATTCAAAGCTTAGGTAGACCTTCAGACTCGTTAGGTAATGTAATGGTGACTATATTGATCATGGCTTGAAGCAGAGGCTTAGGGCGTAATTAAATGTTAGATACGGACTGCCATTGGCTCTAGAATTGGACTCAATCTCCCATTCCTGGGCCTCAAGACCAACCTGGAAGGCGTAATATGGGGAAGCGTATGGAGAGAGCCTGTGATGATGCCTGTAAGCCTTCTGCGCTAACGGAAGAATACGAACGGGTCAGGGATAAGCAAGCGAAGCGTCAACCCTCCCTCCGCACTTCACAGTCCCTAGCCCCTCGCCTCCTTTGCCCGCTTCTTTCGCCAAACCTGGCAGCTTGACTGCCGCCAGAAATAGTGATCTTAGGTAAACATGGATTATCCCGTCACAAAAGTCCTTAGATTAGATACTAGCCTGAAGCGTCAAGAAAATCGGATGCTGTCCCCTCTCTGGTGCCCACATTCAGGCTATTGGCCATCACTTAAAACCAATCAATCATTGAAAACAACGGGTAAAGTAACTTCCAACTGCGTACCGCTGATTGTGGTTCAATTCCCGTATGTAGCTAAGACATGTGAACGAAGAGTGCAATGCGCGATTAGTCTTCTTGACCCAAGAATTGCGTCAACAACTCCTCCGTCCCGAAACACATCCCAACGCGTTCGATATCTTCTATGTACCCGGGGAGCTCTGTCAATCCTTGTTGGTTGGTCAGCTCTCCCATGAGGGAGCCGTTTTGAGCTTTGGGCGGCTCCCAGCCGAGTTGCTCAACGCTATTATTCATCACCTCCCCCGGCGCGTTGTGTGCCACGTTGACAAGCATGGACATGGTTGCCTTTGCCAACATTTCAAATGTGTCACGGTAGGCGGCTGCGCATTTCCATCGCTCAGCCATTATGACCAAAACAATAGTGCATGAAGTGCTGGTATGTGCAACATCGTCTTGTCTAGTAACCCTCCTAACTTCAGGGCAAGATATCAAGCAGTGGAGGTAGGTCAGCCCAGCAAGAAACAGGATGTGCAACGCCCCCCATGTGTAGCTCACGGGGTTTGCCAAGAAGAGCTTCCGGTAGAGAAGACAGATCTCGCGAGCCGCTGTGCAGCATTCGATGTGGGGATATGAACTGCCTCCGTGGGCATCGGGAGTTAACATACGTCGATATAGTAACAATTTGGAATGGTTGTATGCTAGATGGAACCACTCGCTTGTGCTAAAGGTTGAGAGTGCTGCTGTGACGGGCATTGGTGGAGGGATGATTTGGTGCCAATGGTCTAGTTCTTCCCTAAACGTAATGATGCGAGACTCGACAGTAGCTTCGCTATTCTTGGGGGGATTACTTGGATACAAATCCGTTTGCATCCTTGACCATATTCGCCGCAGCTGGGTGAGGTGAAGAAAAGCTGACATGATGGTAGGTTTGTCGCCCGGATTGGTGCGCGGTGCTTCCAGGAGGCTGTGTGAAGTCAAGGCTTCATCATTGATATCGAATGGAAGCTAAGGCATATTGCATCAGTTTGCTTCTCACGTAATATACGAGTAATTGAATATCAGCATACTCACTTCAACATCAATATCGGAGTCTGCGATACCGAATGGCCGTCCTAAAGTGATGCAGGCGCAGCGATCGAGATCATAAGCCACCCAAAATACCCTCCTCTGAAGTTGCTGTACAATAAGACTCTGACCAGTGCGAAACTTTCTTGTGTTGCGATGATAGCCCAGCTCAACACATTGTCGAAGTGCAAGACCAGACAGGCTCCTGGGTTATTCGTAAGAGTCAAAATAATGAGTAGTGGTAAAATGACAACGGGTAGAACTGAAACATACCAAACAGAAACCCCAATTACACTGCGTATACTGTACATGGCAAGACACAGTATTCCTTGGATCAGTTCGAGCCCTTGTGTCTGAGCCAGTGATCCAAAGTGGCTCTCGGCAGCAGCATAAAAACACTGCAGTATTGAGTCAGTGGTTCAGTGAACAGTAGAGTAAAGACTTACTTCTGCAGGGCTATCTATTGTATGGGGTAAGATTAAGGTGCCCACTGCGTATACCTGCTTAGCTCTTAGTATGGCTGGTCAAGTGGGAATAGATATCTTGTAGGTGGCCGTGCATACGATGTTTACGAAAAAGCTAGCAACCGAGGGCGGAATCGTAGCATTATCTCCGGCGTCCATGACTTCCTGCTCCCACTTGGTGAATGTCGGCCGATGGAGGATAGGGTACTTGTCTCTTGTGAGTAACATATATTTGCGGATAATTGAACGCATCACGAACACTCGGCCAAGTGTATCAAGGCCATGAAGATATTTTTGGTAATTGGAAAGGCTTGGAACTTGCTCACCTGCGGATTGATATTTTCAAAGTACGCATTGGACAAAAGCCGCCCAATCTCGCGACTGGGAAGAGCAGCGGGGACAGCGGGTGGCAGATTCGACATCTTCCAGTCCCATATCCCACCTAATGAGAGCCCTGGCCCCTGGCTTCTCAGTCTATTGAAATGAGAAAAGACCGACTTTGAAAAGACAAAGCTTGACCCTGGTCCGAAGTAATGCGGATGCGGCGGACTCTGCCCTGCAGCCTGGAGAGACAGCATCCCAATTTCCGAAAACAGATCATCCACGTTATCAGAATGGTTCACGACGCTTGGGGTGCTTATGTGATCTCCTGAAGTGAATTGCGCACCTGCAATACTCTCCGGTATGAATGAAGTAGTTGTGCTGAACTGGTCGCTTTGGTTTCGTTCGGAATCGCTGATCACATCAGCCACGGGGCCGTTGTAGTTCTGGTCATTCGATGTATTTGCCGATCTGTTGTCAAATTCACGAAGGTGGTCGTTCGATAAGTCAGGATACGTCTGGGCTAAAAGACCCTCAAGCATGCCTACTCGCTCCTCTAGGGACTGGAGATAATCACGAGGCTGTTGTCTTTTTGTGGCCGGATCTTCGATAATGCATTCTGTCACAGACGCGACAAATATACTTATTAGCCAGTCTATCTAAGTCATTGAGGCCCTCAGTATTAGCCGTTACTGACCTCGCCCGGCCCGGATGCAATTCCTGCAACCTGCGCCAATGGGTTCACACTGAGAGAGACTTTAGCCCCGGAGTCCACGAACGATTACAACTCAGAACAAAGAAGAAGTCTTCTACCCGCCTTTTGCTTGCGTGACTTGCAAGCCAAACAAGCCACCTGCGTTCTGGGTCGAGTTCGCAATCGCTTAGGGGCTGGTGAGTTCTCCATGTCGAGCGACGGGGTATATCTAGGGGAAAGGTCAAAGAATGAATTATAAAGAGAGTAGCCTTACCAATCCACCGCAGTATCAAGGTTGTACATACCTGTGGTATCTATTTGTCTATAGTCCGTAATTAGCGGGTGGAATAGGAGTTTGGAAGAAAAGGCCAGGCGATTGGAGATGATATGCTTAACCCGCCTTCATATGTTCCGAATGGTCCGCCCCGCCGATAACAGCCAACAGTGTGTCATGTCGGTTATCAGCTCGTGAACCCTTAAGCGGGGAACCCAGCCTAGCGGGTAGACATTGCATGCGCTGTTTCTATGATCCCTACCACACAAGCCACTAACTCTTATCAAAGCTAACACAAAACTTGTTATCTCGGTAGGGTTTTTGTGATATGTTTCTTGTATCGAATGGCTAGCTTAAGGTCCGATGACTTCGTATTTGGAATTACCCTCGCGCTACCTTACAGATATCACGTTATTAAGGAGTGTCAAGCTAAATTCAGCTGGTATAACAACATCCCAATCTAGTTTCTATTTCGTTGATATATTGTTTTTGACTATTTGTCGAGAATAAAACCATACTATTCCATTAGAGAGTATTTACCGGTGCTACTGGCTTTCCACTTGAGAAGAGGCTCTTGATATTCTCTAAACACTCGATCTCGGCTGCTTTCCAAGCACCATCTGTCAAACCACCAAGATGAGGCTGGATTGTGCAACGGTCACACTCGATGAAATAAGGGCTAGATGACTTGGTCAGTAAACGAGTTGCATACCGTGTGGAAATATATCAGCCATCATTTCCATTGGGAACTTGATACTTACTTGATCTTTGGCTCACCGTCAAACACGTCGAGGCCAGCACGCGCCACCTTGCCGCTTTTGAGAGCATTTATCAAAGCCTCCTCATCGACAATAGGACCTCGGGCAGTGTTGATAAAGAAAACACCATCCTTCATCTGGGAAAACTCCTTTTCCCCAACAAGCCCAACTGTCTTCTCGTTCAGGGGGCAGTTGATTGAGACCACGTCAGATTGGCTCAGGAGCTCCCCCATAGAATTGGCGTAGCTGGCTCCATATTTGGCCTCCTCTTCAAGGCTGAGTTGCGTGCGATTATGGTACTTGACTTGCATGTTGAAAACCTGAGCCTTCCTCGCAACGTGCTATCATCACAGGATTGATTAGTGTTGGGCTAGTTCAGTAATAAAGAGAAAGCCAAGAGACTCAAGATGCAGCTTCGTGTATATCAATTACCTTTCCAATACCACCCATACCGACAATTCCCAACGTCATACCCTTAGGATCCCGCGTGGGGGGAAGCGTCCCTCGCCATTTGCCCTCACGGGCTTGCTTCTCGCCTCGTGTAGTATCACGGAGCACAGCCAGCATCAAAAAGATAGCCATGTCGGCGGTTGGTTCAGATACAGCAAACCGCGTGTTACAGAACCACATACCGTTCTTGGTCATCCAAGGGACGTCAAACTCGTTGTATCCGGCCGAGCAGGAGACAAGAATCTTGCATTGGGGAAGAAGGGGTTTCAGGAATTCTTCGTCAAAGGGCACGTATGGGCCAATGCCCATGCGGACTAGGAGGGCATCGTATGGCCCAGATTCCTTGACTTTGGCTGCCACGCCCGCAAGGGTACCCTTTCGATCAGTAGGCTCGAGGACCTAGAAGGATCATTAGCTTCATTTCCCAGTAGAACTCCAGAGAGAGATTAAAACAAACCTCAATGGTGAAGCTCTTCTCAAACTCTGCTATGTAAGCATCGCCGGCATAATCGGGATAGCCTAAGGCAAGGACCTTCGGCTTAGTCGTGATCGAACCCATCATGTGAATTGATGTTCTAGAAACGAGGACCAAGCCTGTGATGGAGGCACGGACACCTAGAATGTGAAGTATGGCTCCGATGACGGAGGGGCGAGGAATTCAAACGAATGATTGGACATGGACTTATTACACAATTTTTCGTGGAAGACATCATGCTAAACAAGGAAGAATAAATGGTCGACCTGTCCCATCCAATGATGAGGAGCTTGGCAAGCCAGCGGAAGAATACGACGATGGGCGGGAGCTTCCACTGTGAAATGGCGGGGCAACACACCAAAGGCAAGCTCCTCGCAAGGGCGGGAACACATTCCGCTCTTGAATATGACCTGCCTAGTTAACTTAGTGGGTGGGGTTCCTGCTCAAGTGCTCAATTCGGTGCTCCGATCTAGGGCTCCGATCTTCGGGTTTCAAACATTTACCCCTAGGTTTACGTGGGTGCGTTCCTGACGCGACCCTCATTACCCTCCATTCCCTCTATCTTTATCTCTCGAACAATCTGATCTACAGAACCTCGGAACCATTCAAGAGATTGCAACCCACCCAGATCGGTTCAGAGGGATCGCGAGGGAGGGAGACCGGTCTACTGTTGATCAAGAAAGGCCACGCCCGGTTTTATGTCGCAAAAGTGAAAAGAAAATAAAGGTAAAAATAGATATAATGGTAGCGTAGTTAACAATATACAAATATCTTAAAGTAATTCCCAAGGCCTTCACCTCTAGAACGGTTTAACACACGGTATATTACCTACAAATCCAGATGTTGCAAATGCAGGATCTCAATGGCTGCGTTTATCTAGAAAACGATCCCTGGTTCACAAACCATTCTATGATAAATAAAAATACATGCCATGGTAGAACAAATCTTTGTATCATATTATAGTTAGAATCTACAATTTACTTTCCGATAGCTCAACCCTTGAGCGAGGTCTGCGCTGCCTCGCTTCAATCTTCTCTGTAGCAGTCCATTCGCTGAACCCTGTGCGAGACAGTCCAGAATAAAACCATTCACCGAGAGTATACACATCGAATACAGGTATTTTCACGGCCTCTTGAATGGCCTTTGCAAATGGAGGAAGCTGTGTGCACTCGAGAACGATGGCACCCACGTCCGGATGCTTCCTGACTAGGTTCCGGGCTGCTTGGACCAACTCTGCCTCTAGTTTGTCATGGACATAAGGTAATCCATCACGAATCACCCGACGCAACTCCCCAGGATCAGGACATCCCTCAATCGGGATCGATTCAGCATTTGTGATACCAAGCTGCTGAAAATGCTTCAGCTTGAGTCGAGTACCGTCAAAGGTTATGACTCCCGGGATCTTTCCTTTTGGCAAAAACCCTTGGATTGCCGGGATCTGGAGAAGGGAAGATGTGGCTATGGGCACCGAAAGGCGCTTAGACAGCCTAAACGGACAAATGTTGATGAGCAAACTTTATTATGTTGAGACCATGTGGCTAGCTAGCTCTAGAAGACTCACTCAGGTTGCGCCATGGCCAAGAATCCACAGCTCGTAGTGATACCCACGCATCCTTTGGAAATGAGGATTTCCGAGGCTTTGACGAAATTCTCAATAAAGTCCTCAGGATACTCGTCCTTGCTAACCAGATGAACCAACAGAGAACCTTGGGCAACTTGTTGAATCAGAGGGAATGACCAAGTCCTGTTGTTAAAGCCGTCCCCTGGGGGCCGATGGAAGTTGATTTCGGTCGCTAGGAAGCCCAGAGGCGGTCGCTCATCATGATTGCCGGGTTGAGTCATGCTTGGTTTCCCTACTCTCTAGGGAAGCTTAACACACGCACAAAAAATGATGATAAAAATAAAACAGATAATGGTTGTCAAAGGCTTAAAGAAGTTTATTTTGACTCGGTTACTAAGTTAGGCAGGGGCTGTATTACTATATGATTGCGTGATACGTATTGTGGTTTCGCGACAGTTTTGCTGGTGAAATACAAAAATGGGGTAATTCGGACCAATCCGTCGCAACGTCTTCGACCGGTGGGAAGCACATACGCCCTAGCGGAAGAATACGAAGGTGTGAGCCTAGTGAATCGAGCACGGGCAATGACACCGTAGGACTCCACTCGTATACCATTGCCGAAGGCCATCAACATGACCTGCTATCCTACAATGGTATAATAACGAGCGGATATCCTTGTAAGCTCAAGAGCAAGGGTCCAATCTTATTAGGAAGCTAGCTATCCAGAAAGTCCCCAACTCCACACTCATCTATCATAACGATCTTTACTCTACCTATCATGTCACCATCTGTCTCCGACACAGAGGTCCGTGAGGTCTCGTCAAGGCCACAGCAGACCACTTCTATCAGTTTGGAGGCTCCCCAGCATATTGACAACGGTAGTGTTCTTAATACGGACCTTGGTGGCACAGGCCCTGTGAGACTCCACAACGTGCCAACCTTCAAAGATAAGCACGAGGAGCGTCAATGGGCCAAGCAGCACATGGCTGGCGCGTTTCGGATATTTGCCAAGCTTGGATATGCAGACGGTGCTTCTGGCCACATCAGTCTGCGCGGTGAGTTTGCAGAAACTAACTTGATTTGTCTTGAACGTGAAGCAACAACACTGCTAATTGTGTTGCATAGACCCTGTAAAACCTGACTGCTTTTGGATCAGTAAGTGCAGTTTAGAGGACAGTCTTTAATTCGGATTCACCTGACAATTTCCACCCAAGACCCTTATGCAATGCACTTCTCCAAGATCCGAGCTAGTGATCTTGTGCTGGTAAATGAACAAGGCCAGCCCGTTGAACCTACCCCTCACAAGGTGAATGCCGCTGGCTTTATCATCCACTCCTCCATTCACAAGGCGAGGCCTGATATCAATGCTGCTTGCCATGTTCATGCCCCTCAAGGAAGAGCTTGGTCGACATTTGGCAAGCCTATCGAGATGCTGAATCAAGGTATGTGTTTGCTTTACCTACTCATTTTCCCAATATGGACCTTAGTTATCTTAGATTGTGCATCTTCCAGATTCTTGCATGTTCTATGATGACCTTGCCGTTTACGAGGGGTTCGGCGGTATAGTGTTGGCTAAGGAAGAAGGGAGGCGCCTTGCGGATGCACTTGGCTCACGCAAGAAGAACGCCATTCTTCAAAATCACGGGTAAGGAGATCCAAGGAACAATATCACATGTATCCTATCCGCCATGACTGATTTTTCCTGTTTAAAAAAAATAGTATAATTACATGCGGAGAAACCATGGGCGAGGCTGCCGCTTTTTTTATCGCTCTTGAGAGGGCTTGTGCGAATCAGCTGCTGGTTGAAGCCGCGGCCGGCAATGGCTTGAAGAAGGTAACAGTGGGTGACGAAGAAGCTCAATACACCAAGCGTTGCTCAGGATCACCCGCCTGCATGTACATGCAATTCTTGCCTGAGTATAACTCAATAGTCGAGGAAACCAATGGCACTGTATTGCAATAGAAGCTATGTTGGTTTGCTACTGCAACTACATATATACTCAAAGTAGGGAACCTAGTGTTGCTCGCTTAGCAGCAAGTTCGACTTTGCAAATCAACCTCTTGCGTTGCTACACACGCTCACGGCTAAAGCGTACAGTCGACCCAGTTATCATGGAGAGAGGGAGAAAACGGACAACTACTGTGAAGCATTAGTATTCATTGTGTTAAGTTGTCGGGCTCTAGCAGCTTCCATTGCTGTTAAACTTTATTCCCTTTCTCTTAGGTAGGTACTGTGAGGCATATGAGGCGGGGGAAATGTTATTTCAAAATTCCAGGTTAGAACAATTTACCATTTTCATATTTTTTTACTGTTCGGGGCGAGAAACCGGAAAAGGTGAGTGGAGGGTAGTTTATTCCACATTGCAAAAGGCGGTGATGAAAGCAGGCGGCCCGGGTAGCGAATTGCGAGGATTCGACCGCACCCCCGATGAGCGTTTGATTCTAATCTTACCGTGCGCGCTAGTGCATTGGCGAAGGGTTGAATAACGAGAGAACGGGGGAATCTCTTAGGGGCTGAACCTGGATCACAAGAAACGACCGATCCTTTCTTGGCTAAGGCCCGCCTGAGGTACAAGATGCAGCCTTTTACGAGGAATGTAGGCACGACAGAGGGATGGGACTTCGAGTACAAAGTAGAAAATAGCAAAATAGCAATGAAAGATGCCAGAAGGCACGAGAAACGTGTCCATTTCCCCCCGGTTACGGTGCAGTGATCACGGATGAAATGGCATGGATTTGAGAAGAGAAGGGCCTCACAGAGCAGACACCGAAGAGAAGAACCAAGTGAGTAGTTTATGAGCTTTGAATGAGCATTCCATCATGCACAAACATGTTTCAAGACATCCGAATGATGTTGGTAATGTTACGCTCCGAGCGCTATATTTAGTACGTAGATCGGTAGTTGTCCAATGACGCGGGAATGCCGCATGTCGGGCACGAAGCGTGTCAAATCCTTGCCGAATGAGAACAGGGATCCATTTTCGAATGATTATATTCAGTTGTGATACCCACCAGCTTCCCTTGGGATGTAGTCGAGGAGGAGCAGATACCTTACAAAGAACAAACACGAAAATGTCACAGAATACGGGAATGGCACGCATATTAGAATCCCCCTTGGCCGAGCTAGAAGACCGTAGCAGTCTTAGGAATGAGACAAAGCTTCTAAGACGTCTATAAGAAGACCCTTTTCCGTGTACTCTACAGCAGTCATTCTTACTTCGTCAGCAATCACATCAATTGTTCGTCTTCATTCTCGAGCTGGTCTCACTTCTCTTCATTTCTCACTCTAAGCGCAACTGGTTTGCCGTATTTTCTTTCTCAGTATTTTCCCATTTACTTTCACGTACACGAGAGCCATCAAATTATCGCCATAATGGTCGCCATCAAGAATCTTACCATTGTATTGGTTGGTTTGGCTGGTCTTACCACCGCCTACCCCACGGAGAGGGATATGGAAAGCCAAATATACCTCAATAAGCGCATCGCATGCACTTCCGGCAACTGCAAGATTCCATCTACTTTCGGCAGTAAGCACAAAGTGGCAGGAGCCTTAAGGGCGAGATACGAAGATGGCCTGTACGAACGAGACGACATCGACGCCCTTCTGGAAAGGCGCTTCGTTAGGCCTAACCTTGGAGTTCCTACTGCTTCAAGTCCGAAATCGTGGCGCCGAGACGAAAGGGAAGTCTCTCTTGGCAAGCGTTTTACCTGCAATTCCAGCCACTGCAAACTTCCATCCAATGGTAACAAAATCATAAAGAAGAGATATGAACCTGAGGTTTCTCTCGGCAAGCGGTTCACCTGCACTTCCAGTCACTGCAAGCTTCCATCCAATGGTAACAAGATCATAAAGAAGAGATATGAACCTGAGCTTTCTCTCGGCAAACGCATCGCTTGTCCGTCCGGTAACTGCAGGATTCCGTCCACCTTCGGGAAGAAACACAAGTTGGCTGGGGCTGTTGCGAAGAGACATGAAGATGCTATTTACAAGCGTGATGATGTGGAAGCCTTTCTGCAGAGCCGAGGCACCGGATCTCGATATCTTAAGACGCTGAAGAACCACTTCCTGCCCTAAGGAACTATTTTCTCACATTATGTGATGATAGTAATGCTCCTCGCAGGAAATGGGTGGTTTATCAAATTCATTGGCTATATACTAGATAAAATCTCTTCTTCGAAAAGTAAATAAAACAGGGGTTTATTGTGCGCGACCGTTCTTATTTGTGACAATTAACGGAAAATCAGCACCTTGTCCCTTTACGGCGCACGCTTGGCAACCTGTTCAAATAACTTCATGCGTTCTGCCTGTAGGTTGGTCCTGGCGGCCTCAAGATCCTTCTCTGCCTGCTTGAGCTCTACCTCAACATCCTTCTTCCTGTCTTGGGACATTACCAATTTCTGGTTGATAAAATTGCTAAACTTCCCCATCTCGTTCTGGGCCCGCTTGATCTCCTCATGAAACTGCATATCGGTAAATATGTTATCAAAAACAATGTCCCGCATGATGTGGCCGTGATTGATATTGACGGCCGGTAGGTCATCAAAGTTTGCTCGCTCGGCAAAACTCCTCGCATCACGATAGGCTATATCGGCCTTTGTGAGAGCGCTGCGCTCCATGGCGTCAGCAATACCATCGAAGCCAAACATGTCCATGCGAGAGGCCGAGCGAGCATCTCCCATATGTTGAAGGGCTGTCTTGACTTTTCCCTGAGCCTGGTTCACCAGCTTAATAACGCGCATCTCTTCCTCGAGCTTAGTGCGCAGATCATGGTAGCGCTGCAGCGAATTGTCGCTCTCGCGCTCTAGCGCATCTTCCTCAGGGAAACGAGACGTCTCTCCCGCAAAGATTGAATTGTATAGGCTATCTAGCTCGAGCTGACTGTGGTTGTGGAGTTCCACGGCCGTCTCGAGCTCGCCGCGAACCCTCTTGGCTTCATCATGCTGCTCCTTGAGGCCATTGTTCAGGACGGTCGTTTCGTGCTGCTTCTGAAGGACATCGTAGTACTCCTTCTCCTCTTTGCTGGCCTTTTCGGCAAACTTGTCCTTGTTTCCTGTAGCCTTGTAGATGAAACGGCGGAAATGGCTGTCACGGTACTTTTCATGATCCTTGAGCTCGACCTTTCGCTGAGTGTCGTAGAACGCAAGATTTTTATCGTTCTTCTCAATTTGCTTTTGCAGATCATTGATTAAAACAATCTGTTCCTTGAGGGAGGGCTGGGCATAATCTGTCTCAGCGAGGGTGCGCAGGAGCTCTGCGTTCCGAGCTGAAGCCTCCTGAATCTGCTCTTCGATACTAGACATGCCCTTCAAGTAAGGTGTAAACGTAGGTAGTAGTAAGTAATTGGACTTGGCAATCAAGTGTAGTAGGATTTGTGGATTAAAGTTGGAAACGTGTTGAGCTCGTGCTTTAGTGAGCCTTTCCCCCCAGGCGAGACTCCTACTATTTTATAGAAACTCTATTTCCTGAGAACCCTGGCCTCATGATGGATCGACAATCGCCTCTGCTCAGCCTTGGATCCATAAGGATGTGGCTGTGCCAACCAAGGCTCACAGCCATGATGCCATTATGGAGTTCTCGAGAACGTGATTGGTCACACCACACGCGATAATATGGGACTTTGGTTCCCAGACTCAATAGCACCCTTGACTGATCAGGGAATCACGCCTAAATTCACAAACAGAAGATCCCGGAGAGTGACACTGCTAAGCTTTGATTTGCGGTGGCAAGGGCGCCTCTCGCCATTTTCAGCTAAATGGGCAGCCCAGCCCCTTCACTAGGTATTCGGTTACACAAGTACTTCTTGATCCCAAGAATTAATAGACATCATATAGATATTTATTCCCAGTATGTAAGCTGATGGAAATAGTATTTTATTTATAAATTATGCGTACGTTTCTTTAAGTTTAGCGTTCTCAGGACTCTGTGGTGCGTTCGAAGTGTGGTTAGTGTCGGCAGGAAGCGACAAGCAAGACCTTCTTGCCATGCCATCTGTCAGCAGACCATCTGAATCCCATCATTGCTTTGATGAAGGCATGCGCCGGGTATATATTTCTTGCAGATACCATAGTCCGGAGATTTCATCAGGAAGTCATTGCGAGAGAGGCATGAACAGGCAGCGTTCATAGGTTTTTGTGCCAACAGCTAATGAACCAATTTAGCGCAGTTTTTTGCCAACTTTAGTGAGGTACGCGACGAGCTTTCCTAGTTGAGTAGTTCCGCCGCCTAATAGAGCCATTCCGCAAGCTTCCTTGTGTGCCAGACTTTCCATACGTTCCCTAGTATAATACTTGTCAACCTTAGTAATGGAAAAGCAATATCAACGAAGGATAAACCAGTTCGGATTGGGCCGGCAAGGTCCGGTAAACGGAGATTCTTCTCAAAGTTGCATTGTGTCGTGAGCGTAGCTGGCTCATAGAGCAGGAACCACGGTAATGGCTTGATATGACAATCCTCTTAATCTTATGACAGTATTCGACTTTGAGCCGCTAGGTAGGCCAATCTGCTCCGATGCGCTATCGACATGCTTGTGAAGCCGTGAGGTGCATTGCTGGTAGTCTGATGACATGAGAGTCAGGGTGGATAAGTTCAATTGGGTTAGACGATACACACCCATCAATAAGGTCAAAAAGTACTTACAACCAACTAATCTCATTATATAGCTGTAATAAAATACAATACCCCAGAAAATCCAGGGTGCTGCTCTATATGGTTATCGCGAGGTCACGTCTTCCGGTGGCGATTGTTACCCAACAAGGAAAAAGCTTCAGCTAAGCGCTAGATCGGGATTCTTCCTCCCCGCACACCCAAGAATTATCATAAAACGAAACCTCTTGTTATTTCGAATTCCACTCTCAAGTAAATTATAAACTTGCAATATTCTACTCGTCGTAGCCGCACACAGCCATCAATATGGACCACGCCAGTTTTCGCCAACAACGCCCACCTATAGTACTTCCCCTAGCACGGAGACTGGGCTTATTCCTGTCATTAGGCCGCACGGGTTTGTAAAATATTGTCACCCGAGGAAAATTCTATACTGAGAGTCTTCACAGTCACCTCAATTATTTTCTCGCTTTTCACAGGCCTGATCCCAAGGAAGAATGCCGCTCGAACGTACGCTAGGCACGTCATGGGCTCGGCCCTCAGAGCTGTAAGGTGAACTGGTTCGGAACAGATATGTATATAGTCTGACGTGCGCCATAGTTTTTGGGGAATGTTGGGTTTTTGGAATTGCAGTAGGTTGCATGTTTCATCAAGTGTTGGCGCCAATCTGACTGGTTTTAGATACCTGAATCCTTCGTGCGATCAAATTTATGCCCAGTTCTGCAAATCAAAGCAGTTGAAACCAGAGTATGAAGTTTCGGATTCAGGCGTTAATGGTTTCTGGCTGGGCTCCAAATCGGCACAGTGTATCATCATCCACTTTCATGGTGAGGGTTTCGTTGCATCCTGGCATTGGTAGACATCAGGATACTAATTGAATGGCAGCGGGAGGGTATGCCTTGGATATCACACCCAATCATTTCGGGGTATGGTTCAGAATTATCCAGGAGATGGCACAACAAGGAGTTGACATAGCTGTGTTCTTTCCCGTTTACACCCTGACGACGCAGGCAAGTTATCCGACTCAGTTTACGGAAGGTGTAAGCGCGTTGAACCACATTGTCGACAAGCTGGGCCGAGACCCTAGCGAGATCATCCTATCCGGAGACTCTGCCGGGGGAAACATGTGTCTTGCTATCATGTCTCACATGATGCACCCATGCCCCGAGATCACGGAAAAGGCAGTCAGTTCTCCACTAAAAGGGATGCTTTTGATCTCACCTTGGGTTTCCTTAGAAACGAACTGGGCAAGCATGAAGAAAAATGTGTATAGAGGTACTGATAATACCGGGACAATGGCAAAGATGGCCAGGTCCTATATGAACGGTAGAGACACAGATAATTACATCGAGCCTGCACTTGCACCTATCGATTGGTGGACTAAATGCCCTGTCAAAGAGACCTTTGCAGTCGCAGGAGAGGATGAAGTACTCATTGACCCGATCAAGGTCTGGGCGGAACGATTCCAGGTGAGCTGGCTGTCTAATGAGTTTTGTTTCGGAAGTTATTACTGACAATATATAGGCAGCCGGAAACAAGACGCGGTTTGTCGTCGCACCTAGGGAATTTCACATTGAACTCTTCACTCTACCGATGTTTGGTATCGATCGAGAGACAATCATGGAGCAGGAAATGAAAGCCTGGCTCTTCTCTATCGCCAAGTGAGATTGTGAAGATGCAGACGGCCTTAGTTTGACAGATCGGCCTTTCATGGTCTAGATGGTGCATTATTAATAACCGATAATGGATCGTTTGGTAATATATCATACAGCAGCCAGGCTAACTGGTGACTATGCTTTGAATATGGCCTTTCTTCGGGCACTTAAAAGAAAAATACAGCCTCGAATTCGTCATTGCTGTGTACATTCTCCGAAACGGTCACCCTGATGACATTGAGTGAGCTACTCGGCAGATAGTTGACATACCCTGTACCTCCTGAGGCAGGCGAAGAGACAGATTAGTAGCATCCATAATCATAAAACTACTACACAGTCCTTGGTCATTAATTCCGTGATAAGAACTAGCACGCGGTCGGCAGCTAGACTGGTAGATGAATTAGATGCTAGGGTGATTAGAAGCAAGGGGGTCCTCATGCCGCTTGTGTAAACGCCAGCTCTATTGCCAAAATATTACAACATTAGCCTAATAGGAAACATTTAGGGATTATGATACGTGCCAAAATCCCGATCTACGACCCATTAAATACGGTGCTAACGATGGTTTATTTTAATTGGAGGACTCTATTACCAGTGACTCCTCCATCTTGACATCGACTTAGAGCTCAAGGACGCATGGTAAACCGCTCACAAAATCCCAGTGGCTAAGTTTTCTCCTTCATGAAGGGCCTCTTGCCCGCCGTCTGAATCTAATAACCACCTGCTGACACCAGTAAAAAAAAGCCATATCCCTTCTGGCCTAGGGCTCGTTATCCTAGCCTCGTGGTCTGTGGATAGATGCGAGGGAGGTAATATACCGAAGTATTAGGGATACCCCACATCAGTGGCATCCAGCATTCCCTGGTCCAGACACGACAAATCTGTTCCTCAATGGCCAATGGGTCGTCGGTTATTGGCTGTACTGTTAGCGTCATATGTGCAGGGAAGACTCTGGAGCAATCCTCTGCTGGTTCCGCACTACTTACTGTATTCTCCAATAGAATCTCATCACTGATCAGTCATCACCGCTCTCTCTACAATTCATACGGTATTATGGGTGTGGAGGGCGAAAACACGGATATACCTTGGGGCAGTGCTAGCTTTAGCTCCCGGTCACCCCTGCATCATGTTGACCGTTTCCTAACTTCGCCAGTACAGAGGTTTATTCCTGCTACAGCATTGGAATTATTGACGGTGGAAGAGGGATAGATGGTAGTCCCAGCGTGGCGTGTTGGAGGGAGAACACGAAATTGATACCAGCGAGGACCAAGGTAGATATTGCGGAATTGTGAATAGTCCGTGCCCCGTGGTAGGGAACTGGCGGTTTGCCAAGCTAAGTTTAGAATCGTCAAGAGGTCACGGACACCACGCAAACTCTTCTCGGATCGCTTAATCGCCCCGATGGCAATCCGAATTCGGCTGCATTTACGATGCATCCAGGGGCTGCTTGGACGAACTTGAAGCTGATCCGTTGGCTGGAGTCCGAGACTGGGCGCCAAATACGTCTTCATTTGGTTAGTCATCGAGCCTCCAGTTAACTAGGTATATAAACCCTCCGGTGAGAAAACCCCCCGAAGGCCTAACCCACGGCTTTTGCTCATTTGCTTGCGCCAGAAACCCTCCGATAGACCGCACTCAGCGAGGGCCAGCCCAGCATCCCCTTTGCCATTGTTTTGCATCTTCGAAAGGCACCGTACCTGAGCGTAATCCTGTCCAAGAATCAGCCCTGTGTTGATTCGGTTGGCTCCGATCCGAACATGCATAGTCAGATCCCACACCCGACCCAAGTGCGGTCCGCGTGCGAGCACTGCCGCAAGCAAAAGCTCCGATGCACGCGGCCGTCAGCCCTGGCTGATATATGCACCCGCTGCCAGCATCTCGGGTTGCACTGCCAGCTCGGCCCGTCGCGCAAGGTTGGCCGGCCCTCGAAGAGGGATATGGCCGCGGGCAAGAAGAAGGGCCCTGCGGTTGGTCATGGCGATGCTATCACAAGCCGGCCGTCGCCCAGTTTGGTGCATCTGGCGCGCGGTGCGGCTACTCCTGAGCTCGTTTTCGACCCGCATCTGCTTAGCCAAGCACCGAGCCAGCCTACCCCTGTTGATATGGCATCTATAGATTGGATGGTTCCCGAGATGTCTGGTTTTCTACTCAATTCCGTCCACCAGACCGTGCTTCCTCCTCTGCCAATCCGCGGGGGTCCCTCTGCTTTCCACTATGAGAATATGCAGCGGTTTCCCCCGTCTGATGTGCCGTCAGAGGTCATCCATCTAATCAGGAGGGAGCATTTCGTCACCTTGTCCAGGATCAACATGGAACTTCACTCCCTTTGGGAAACCATGAAGAATCATCCGGCCAATGGCACCTTTGAAAGTTTCCTTGGCGACTGCAGTTTGGACGACGGCACCATTTTGAAACCTTACCAGTCCCTGATGACGCTCTTACAGGACTATCTCATCACGATCAAAGCGATCCACAAAGCCCTAGGGACCAGGCAAGACACGGTCAGATCAAGAGCCGCCGCCTGGGCGCGAGCGTGTTTCATCTTGCAGTCGAATTCCCCGGATGACGGCAGTCCTCAGAACCGGCCACCAACCCCTGTAGCAGACCGCGTGATTCTCGACTCGCCCAGCGCGCTGCTAATAATATCATGCTTTTCACAAATCGTTCAGCATCTGGAGATATTTCTTTCAATCACCCAGTCCCGCCTCTTGGATCCCAGAGCACCCTTCATCGCGCCCGCCAACGCCAGCTTTGCCGGCGTCCCCGTCTTCGAATATCTTACTCAGGGAGCACTCTTCGCCGAAGTCCTCTGGAGCAGCTTTGCGCAGATGGTGCTCGTCCTCGGGTTGCCAACCAACCCATGGTGGTCTGGGAATTCCGTGTGGACAGGACTCTTGGCTGAGGCACGATTTCGCGAGCTGCTCAACCACGAACTTGGTTGCGTCGAGAATGACTGGACAACGAGACCTACGAATATAATGCTGATGCTTAATCAAATAAGGCAGCTCATCACTGATTCTCTACTGTCCGGATGCATGGATGTATAGCAGCATTGCCCGCTGTTAAATTGAATCCATAAGTTGGCCCCCGTGTGTGGAACGCACAGAACCGAGGCATTGTTTCCCGTTAGTCCCTCTCCACCTCTCAAGGAATTGAAGCCTTGGCTGACTTCAACTTTGTCCAGTAGTGATGGATGAGCCGACCAGTTGGGATCTGCCTCCAGGTCAGCGACACAACACGATCAATACCGCCGCTTTATCTTGCCCACATGCCATTGATCTATGGACATGCCATATCAGAAAAGCAAGAAACGTTCCCGACGAAAATCAGGAGGAAGAGGGCAGAAATACAAGCCGGAGAGATATTCCGACCGCGACCTCATCTGCACGGAGCTTGTTGCTCGTTGCCTGCTCGATGTAGTCTGGCCCAATACCGCACTGCCGGCTTTTTTCTAGATGTGACGGGCTTGATAAATCACCGCATCTATTGAATCTATTGAGCCTGGAGACCGCTTTGCCATTATCGCAATGGTTCAGCTTCTGAGGGCACTCGTCGATGTTGAGGAGATTTCATGGCGGTCTTACCAGGGGCTGCCACCAGACGGTTGTTTCTGCAAGTCTGGATCGAGCGTAGATGCCAGAGGCATGTTGCTCGGGAAAACAGTGATCCGAAGCGCCGCCTTGTATAAGCATAAAATCGCTGACAATGATTGGTTGATGGTAGTAAGGTCACTTGGGGCCACATTCAGGCACGTCAGCTGGGCACACTCACACATCCATGTGAGGCTATATGTAGACCTGGGGCCATTTCCGTGAGGCCATATTTGAATCAGCAATGTTGCTTTGCAGATAATTACCTCTTCCTCACGTAGCATTGCAGCAATCAACCGAACATCTCCCACTTCATTGTCATATCCACCTTCAAGCCTCCATCTACCTCGACCTCCAACCATACTGCTTCCACTACGTCTAGCCTGCATCCATCGGAGATTTTCCTGTTCGATCATAAGGCTCGCCGCCCTGGCGTTCGTTTCATTCATATCCCACCACATAGCGGCACAGTCTAGATCCCTCCTTTACGTTTCAGCCTCCACATAGAGCCCAGGCGAGTCATATGGAAGCGCGTAAGCTTCCCCAAAGCCATCGCTACTTCCACTGACTGTTGCATCTTGGAGTTGAATCCCCTGGGTCGGGTTTCCACGCGTGATCTATTCTTCTCATATTTTCGCTCGTCCTTTCCTTGGTGCATTTCCTTTCGATTGTTTCCCTTTCTCTGCTTCTCCTTACGCAGCTACGCCACGTCTTTCTCCTTTATCATTCAGGACAATATTAGATTTGGCTGTACTTATTCGAGTTCTACCGCCGTCTGGAAAACAAAACCCAACTGGCAGGAGCGTCAGATACACATCCAGGGCATCCGGACCTACCACGACGAAACGGTCACATTTTAGTCAAATTATAAGCCAACAAGCCACTCTCATCTATGCGCAACCTATCTAAGGTTGAGTTTATCTGATAGTAAGCCAATCTCATCAACCGACAGTCAGCGATTCCTACCATTTTATAACGAACTATCTTCAACATACAACAACACGCCATTCTTATACTACCGGGGGAAGCCATTCTTGTACTCTATACGCCCAGAGCCTATCATCTGGGAATAGCGTCCCGAGATTACTCCTAGAGTCATTGCTAGACTTCGGTACGGGTACTTCTGGATATATTGCCAATTCTGAGGGCGTCCGGTTAGCATAAGGCAATTCTTGTGCCTAACACAACTCATTAGACGACCACTTCGGCCAATTCAAGCATGCCACCAAAGCATGACAAGGGTAATCAGACTGGCTCTTCGGCTTCGGGAGACGGTGAAATGGTAGCCAAATCTAGCCCAAGTTCGTCCCTCGGCAAGCCCAAGGAAGAGGTCGATAAAAAGACATCATGGCAAGGAACTGTACTCAATCCCGAACCAATTCCCGGAACAACTTCGACTTCGTCCGATAGCATGGCCTCCAATAAAAACACAAACACGCATTCCAGGTCTTATCCCTGCACTAAAGGGTGCCAATCCAAGGTTTTCGAAAGCCAAAAAGACCTCAGCCGACACTACAAGAGCCGAGCACACCAGGAATCCACAGAGGGCAAATACAGATGTCGGTGCGGGCATGCAACCGCCCGAAAAGACCATTACCGGCGCCATCTTAAACAGGTTTCATGTGTTTTCAAGGAGCTAAACTTCCGTTGCATATGCTCCCATAGCGAGGAAGACATTGCAGAGCAGCTAGGCCACCTTGAGGCGTGTCGGGCCGGAGCTGGAAGGATGGGTAGGCCACCGAGGAAGAGTATCTAGTGATGCTTCACCGCGGAACCAAATTATGGGGGGCTTTTTAATGGTCTCATGATGTGTTGACGATGTTGTGATGCTGGGTAGAGGATCAATTTGTCGATTTGTCCAGGATTTCTTGGTATTCAAGTAATTCCTCTTTTTCTTTTCTTTTTTAAGCAGTTGCTGGATAACCTGAATAACTCTCTCACTTGCTAGTATTAAATGGCCAAATTGAGAATGAGGGTATCTTTTATCCTACTGATACACACATTCTGCTATCAGTTTCTGTGTCTTCGATGTAATTTTGCTTGTGAGGCGTCGTGCCCAAACCTTACTAGCACCATCTCAGAAGTGAATATTTACATGCTAGTCCACCCATAACTTTTTGCGTAGAAACTTTAATAACGGGAGGATAGGCCAAGCACAAAATGAAGCACGATGCCTGGGGAAGGAGAACTCATCACTTCATGATGGATTGCTAGTGATAAGTACCGTGCATAATTGAATTCAATTCTGGACTGCTCGAGGCTTCTCTGGGTCTATTTCTTTCTCAACTCGGCTGAAACACTTGAGGAAATATAGAAAGATCGCAGACGATATATACAACGCCCCTACCCACATCTGAACTCGAAGGTAAGGGAATGCATCGGTGGCTTGGTCGCGTAGTTGTACAGCAATAACCTCGGCGACTATAGTTGGCGGTCCTAATGATAGCCAGAAAAGGCTCAAGGCACTGGATGCGTGTCTTAGACCAACAAGTTCAACAGTAAGTGGTGCCGCAGCTGCCCATATGGTGCCAGCAACCGTTCCTACCATGACTGCGAAAACGCAAATGGTCACCATGGTTTTGGCGAACACCCAGAACACCAAGCAAAGTACTCCAGCAACCAATGTAGCGCCGGATGCGACATTCACTCGCCCCAGTGAGTCGCTCATGATGCCCACTACTGGGCGGCCAAACGCCTGGCCAAGATTAAGGATCGCGCTGACCACGCTGGCCTGGCTTTGGGTCAGGCCGACCGCGACGCTGTAACTTGACAAACTAAACAATAACGCGACATAGGCAAGGACGCTCAGGATACCCCATGTGAGCAGAAGAATGAATCGGATGTCACGCAGGGCCGATAATCCAAAGGCGGACGCATTTCCGTCTGGTCTGGTTGACGGAGGGATGCGCAGGAGACTCCCGCAGATGAGATTCACGACGAAGCAAACGATGCCTAGAATCCGCATCGTCCAAGCAAACCCTAGATGTATGAGCATTGATCCAGCTGCAAGCGAGTATACAAGCCCTCCGAGACCGGCACCCGCCGACGCGATGCCGTTGACCAGGCTGCGGCGCTTATGGAACCAATGTGAGACGACACCAACAGATCCAACAAAGCAGAAACCCATGCCCAATCCAAAGCAAAGACCCTGTGCTAGAAACAGTTGCCAGCTCTGTTTTGCGAAAGAAGAAGCCACAAGCGATATGGATTGGAACACAGCTCCAGTATAGAGCGCGACATGGATGCCGTGGTGATGCACAATTACAGTGACAATCGGTGAAACAAGCATAGCGCAGCCAATGCTAAGACCTCCAACGAAGGCGTATTCTAGAGCACTTGTGCCCGGAAATGTGTCATTTGACAGGTAGTGAGCCAGAATAACTCCGTATGCCTGGTACAGGTTAATATATGAAGTCTTGTGGTAGAGTGCAACGAGCAGACATACACTGTTGATGCCCCATGTATGAGCGCTAATCAGAGAAGAGGCAATGACACAAACCCAACCATAGCCGCCCTCGGGGACCGACTCGTCATTCTCTTGATTGTCGAGTTTTGGCCTATCCGGAGGGCTTGATACGGCGGTCTCATGACTGCCATCTGAGAATGAGGCTCGAGACATTAGTTCCATAATATGTCGATCGTCTTATCATAGAAATTTACTGCCCAAAAAGAAAATTGAATCAGAGACATGTCTTCGACAGGCTTAAATCAATATACTCCTAATGTTCGGCGGCTTCGGCGCACAGCCGCCGAGATGACCACCTCCGCGAGTCCACCTTACCTTGGGAGCTAGTTGCTATCCTTGCAATTCCTTGAACGCTGAATGACGTTATTAGGCCTTAAACCTCTTAAGAATAGCGTGGGTGCATTAGTGAGCGTCCTCAAGAAGCCGTCGGAGGACTCGGCGCCGAGGGGCCCGAGGCTGGTTCTGCACATTTCCCCTCCACTAAGACCTCTTGTCACAACCTCTAGAGCACACCTGACGCCATCAAACCTGCAGCTCTTGCTTGAATAGCGACTCCAAGATCTGGCCCATCATTGAACAGGGGGGTGAAACATGCGACGTACTCAACACCATGGTATAGCGAAAAATTCTCGCCGAAAATCCCCACTCCTCGAGTTCTCGGCGCTCGGTCAGACATCTCGGTCCTGCATCATTTGTCACCGACGAAAGGTTCGTTGCGACCGCAAAGAACCTTGTTCTAATTGCGTCCGTCACGGCTCCACATGTCAATACCCAGAGACTTCGGCCCAGGAATCGCCGAGGAAGCCGCCGTCGTTGCAAGACGTGACTGATCGATTGGAAAGGGTGGAATCACTTCTGCTTGAGGTGTTGAATAAAGGTAGAGCAGGCATCCAACCTTCAGTTCCTACAAAGGATCTTAATGAGGTTCCCCAAGCCTCTGCCGATCCACTTCCCACTCTCAGAAGGCCGTGGGAAACACTTCTTACAGATGGGAAGAGGGTTCAATATGTGGACAACACAAATTTGCTGGACCTATTTCAAGATGTAAGAACTGCTCTGTTCAAGTCTGTTGCTCCCGAGTAAATTGAGAAGAGTCCAATTGATGATTCAACAGGAAAATCGAATCAATCCACCAGAAATACAGCCATCTCAACGGATCGCCTCAAAAAGAGGTCGTAACCTGAACCTGACTGTAGGGCTTCCATCTGTCGTTACAGATAACAGCGCCGATTGGCATCAATTGTATCCCGATACCCAGCTGGCACTGATATTATGGACCACATACATTGAGAATGTAGATCCTGTTCTCAAGATCCTCCATATTCCCACCATGCAATCGGCCATGATCAATGTGATATCGCAATCACAGCCCAATAGTTACTCCATGAGTGCGCTAGCTTTTGCAGTGTACTTTGCTGCTGTGACCAGCTTGTCCGAGGATCAACTCCCGCACTTGACAACAGAGGATCGAGAAGTGATGCTCCAGAAATACAAAAAGGGAATAAATCAAGTTATCACGGAGGGTCAGCTGTTCAATGAGCCAGATCTGACTGTCCTCCAGGCACTCGCCATTTTTGCTGTGGGTTCCAATTCCCTGACCTCAGTTACCTCAGCCGGCTAATTCCAGATGTTTAATAGACTAGTTTGAGAGTCCACGACAACAGCCGGACAGTCTGGATTCTTATTGGAACCACAATAAGGCTGGCGCAGTCGATCGGAATCCACAGAGAGGGGGCGTCCTTACGGCTAAGCCCATTCGAAAGCGAGATTCGACTTCGTCTTTGGTGGCATCTTTGTTTACTAGATTCCAGAGCACCTGAAGACCACGGATTCGCAAGGATAGAGAGCTTCAACCACGATTTGAGGCTTCCTCTCAACATCGATGACAACCAGCTGTTTCCGGCAATGGAGAAACTGCCGTCGGACTCTGAAAATTGGACAGACACTAGCTTTGCCATTATTCAGCTTGAGGTTGCTAGGCTACTTCACCAGGTGCTAGGGGAGAGAACAAGGAACATCGACATTCTACAGGAGCTCACGGAAAAGCGGAAAATCGTTGACAATCACAAAGCGTGGATTGAAAAAAGGTTCTTCCCTAAAGGCATCTGTTCTACGCTACAGAAGGCAGCCTCGAGTCATTATTATGCCGCTTCGTCAAAGATGGATTTCATGCTTGAAGTAAGAGAGGATCTACGCGTCAACAACCATCGAGCATGTCCTCGCGCGGTTCACCAAGGTCTCAGCGAAAGGCCTTTCAGATCAGCTTGCGAAACACTCCGAAAGGGATGGTCTTTGCTGAGCGGCGAAATTTCTCCCAAGTTTGTCTGGGTCTTCAAGGCTTATACGCAGTGGTATGCACTGGCTTATGTTTTGAGATACCTGTGCGCATTCCCGTCCAGGCCTGGGACAAGAGAAGCGCGAGTCCTCGTTAACAAAACCTTCGGCACGATATCCAGCGGCTTGCATGAGCATAACTCTAGTAAAAGCAATATTTGGCGATGCTTGCTATGGTTACAACGCCAGGCATCAGATGCCGAAACGAATACAGGAGGCACTTCGGTTGATCACCAAAACCATGTTACTGGCCATGATGGCATGGAAGTAGTGGCAGATAAGCCTGCTTCTCATAACCAGCCCGGATCTCCACTGCCATCTCATAAAACAATATCAAGACACGACAATAAGAATTTACCCGCATCAAACGGCTTAGACATGTCAAGCATGCTAGATCACTCGATAGGGATGTACCAAGATCCCGAAGTCGAATGGCAAGATGGGGATTTCGCCTTTGGAGATTCGATCGCCCCAGAAATGCTATACTTGCCAGAGTGGAGTGATATTGTCAATAGAGGGTTTGGATAAAAGAACAATTGGCATTAAAGTAAGCTAGACCAAGGACAGAATGCTGAAGGCAGTTTCAAGCGTAACTCTATCAAAGTCTAAGGATTCTATTGCATCTGAAAGAACTGAAACAAATTCTTCGTCTTTCCAAAGCCTTGCTGCCGGAGAGACTCTTTGACTGTGTCAATTAATTCATGTTCAGAAGTGATGAGAAGCTAAACTAAACCAAATGTATCTAAAATTCCATCACATAATATATAAGACGTCAAGTTGGCAACATTAACTTCCTTTGATCACTATCTTTTAATATGAATGGGCAAAAGACCCATGAGAATAATGTCTTACTGGATTCAGCCAATCAATATTATCTACCCAATCGCCAGGTGGTTTCTCCCGCTGAAGGTTTGGATCAAGGTTATGCAAATGCTCAGGTAATTGCAACCTAAGAAGCACGCATGTGAGTACTCTGACACGTAACAGCTATAAACATCATATAAACCACCGCGATCCCTGGAAGAAGGGGGGGGGGGGGGGGGTTGTAACAACCCGCACAGCCCTAGGTACAGCAGCTATTCAACAATCCAATCATTTGATACGACACCGGCAGATAGATGGATGGTGCCTGCAAGATGGGTCGGGAACCCAGCCATATGCCTGTTGTGACATGCTTCGCTCCCAGATTATACGATGTATCCAATTCGACTCTCCAAAGATGCCCTTTTGATACGTTCAGTCTCATAGGCGGGCGAATTGGAAGCCACGGGGCTTCACCGATGATCGTAAACAGAGCTATCCCCGGTTGGCAATGATGTCCGGCTGCTGAATTCCGATTAGTAACTGGAGCCTCCGTCTCGTGGCCGGGGTCGCGCTCGTTTGCGTGCCGATGCGGATGCTTGTCATGGATCATGGACCGAGCTTTGATTCCAAAAGGCTGTTATCTTTCGCCCATGGCATCGTTTAAACGCCACCTTAGTCCCAGAGCACTTTTGTAAGTCCCCCCGCTGCCTTTTCAAGTCTTATACTTGCTCCTCCACTTCCCGAACCTTCCTTCTACTTAATTTCTATGCATAAATAAGTAACGGCCAAAATGCGAATGTTACATCGTTGTAACCTTACGGCACCCACCTTGGTGCCTGGCCCACTCTCTTCCAGATTCAGAAACATGTAAGAGCGTACCGAACTACAACAGGAAGGAGTTTTGAAAGTCCGCAATAGTCTAGACTTTGGAAGCTACCTGTCAGTTCCCTAAGCACATGTACTTGACCAGTCGGGGTGGAGTCGCCTTATTCCCTTTGAGCAGGTCTCATGACTTTTGCTGACTCAAGTCATGTTGAGAATGAGTCGAGAACAGCTGTAAGACTGCCGTTAATTGAAACAGACGGCAATCTTATCACGCGGGCTAAGTCTCCTTCCTAAAGTGAAACAAACTGTAGACGCCAAACACTCCAGTCATAAGGGCAGTATTCCCGGTAACCATCGCACAGCGGCGAACTCCAAGGTGGGCACAACAGGAAGGTACAAACCCATCGACCGAATTGACGCCTTGAACCATTCCCATAGTCTAATCATTGGTTGAACAGTCGTTTAAGCATGGATGAATTCAGCAGTGGATGAGACAGCCTCAACTCTTCTTTCAGCTTCCATGTTTAGCGCCAAGAACTTCATAGGTTGTGAAAGACTGCCGCTAACCGGCAACTTTCATGTTTCTGGCCAGATACAGATACATTGATGAGCTCGTATCGCCACAGTCCGGGCTACCCAACCGGTTTAGGGAGGAGAGGGAATCAACTAGGGAGCATCTTGCCGAATTGCAAAGGTTCCGGCGTTTTATTATCACTAAAGAGCAGCGTTAGGCTGTCATCAACGAGTGGGCCGAAGATGTCTTCATCTAGGGATTATGGCATCGTCGCCCCATTTCCATGGAGCCATCAACAGTTCGGATGAGGGAATTGCGGACGATTGTAGAATGACCAAATAGGAAGTAGATGATTCTATCCGCTTGTTTTCTCTGTTGATAACGAACTTGGAGTTCGAGTATAAATAATAGCTTCCTCGTCGACTTCTTCAGAACGAAAAAGTCAGACCAACAACTCTCCAACCCGCTGTCCTTAGTTCAACAGAAGTAACAATGGCTCCCCAAATCTCGCTCAAGGCCGCGCTCCTGGTGCCACTGGCAGGCATGGCAGTTGCTGCACCAGCCCCAGCCGACGTTGGCATTAACATCGTTGGTGGAACAACAGCTAGTTCTGGCGAGTTCCCCTACATTGTTAGTCTGTCTAGAAGCAGTTCGCACTTCTGCGGCGGTGTCCTGCTGAACGCAAACACCGTTGTGACAGCTGGTCACTGCTCTGACTACAGCGCTTCCTCTGTCAAGGTCCGCGCGGGAAGCCTTGTAAGTTGACCCCATCCAACCGCCACTGGTTATTACCAACAACAGCCCGCTCTCCTCTTGCTGTCTATGGACGTGCTGTAACTAAACTTCTCGGGGAACAGAACTGGTCTTCTGGAGGCACACAAGTTGGTGTCTCTTCCATCACCCGCCACCCCGACTATTACGTCTCCAATGACATTCCTTACAATGACATTGCCGTCTGGAAGCTCTCGACCAGCATTGCTGAGACTAGCTCTACTATCAAATACGCCAAGCTCGCCGCCCAGGGCTCTGACCCTTCGGCTGGTACTACCATGACTGTTGCTGGCTGGTATGTGCCTCCAAGACCCCTCATTAACCATAAACCTATTCTAACAAGCCACGCACTTGTAGGGGTCTGACAACCGAAACTGGAACAACCTTACCCACCGCTCTCAGGAAAGTTTCCGTTCCCGTTGTCTCCCGCGCCACCTGCCAAGCAGAGTACGGTTCTGGCTCTGTAACTGACGCCATGTGGTGTGCCGGTGTCACCTCAGGTGGAAAGGATTCCTGCAGCGGAGATAGCGGTGGCCCCATTGTCGATAGCTCTGGCACCCTCACCGGCGTCGTTTCTTGGGGCTATGGATGCGCCCGGGCTAACTATGCCGGTGTATACACCCGTATTGGCAAGTTTGCTACCTGGATTAACAGCCTGGCATAAGTATATCTTACTATGACCGAGGCTTTGTGTAGCAGGATGGCTCAGGAAACTAGTTGTTACTATCGATGTTCTCTTGGATATTAGCAAGTCAAAACAGTTGCACTCGTACATATGTTTCTATGAAAGAAGAGAATGAAAATATTTCCACCCCAAAAGGCATCCTATGAAGTACTTCCATATTTGAATTTGCAGGCAATTCCTTAGAAGATCGCAAGGGCGTTAGGCGGGCTTGCCGCACCGCCTTTCAAGTTAAGAGGGGAACTGGTGAGGAAGAATGTCCATCTACGTTGCTTTTTACATTCTTTGGCCAAATCTTCAAGATCCCACATTTCTCCAATAGGCATCCCCCAGCCTGGGAGCAGGAAATCATGCAACCCTGAGTGCTGAGTGTCAGTCTTAAGTATATAGTACAATACGAGAACATACTCACGCCAAGCATCATCCATCGGGACAACCTCAACACCATTATTGTCACTTGCGATGGCGGCGAAGTGATGGTCCCACAGCCATTCTAGAGTTTCCTCACATCCCTTGATACCGGCCCAGGCATACGCATTGGTAATGTACTTTGATCGTTCGCTGTCTTCATGTTCGTCGTACCACTTGGTCCAGCCCACTCGAACTAGGAGAATGTCGCCGGGAAGAAATTCGATCCCACAATCCTTGGCAATATCGTCAAGCTCTTTCACTAGAATCGGATGGCTTGACATTGGGCTATATTTTATATTCTTCCGCTCTGCATAGTCCACGTAGTCGAGTAGAACACCGCGGCCGACAATACCGCCACGCTTGGTCCAATATTTAGACAAATCAGTCTCTAGTCCTGCGCCGTTCAACATAATTCTCAACGCTACTCACTTTCTATTCCAAGCTGGTTGCTTTGGATAAGGTCATTGTGGTGTATGCCATTGTAGTAGAATCCCGTGTGCGTGTTTCCCCAGTGGCCTAGACTAGATTAGCATTAAATCGAACCGAGTCTCGCAATTACTTACGCAATCCATCCCACTGGCTGCCTAGGACAAATTCTTATTAGAAACGTTATAGATATTGCGCAGAGCCCTGATTGCTGATGCCTACTGCTTTGGGTATTGAGACTGATTTCATCGTCCCAGGAATAAAAACTGAAGCCTGGCTTATTACGCCAATCCACAAGCTCATGCTTCAAGGTAGATCGACCCATGGTTGACTCGGCAAGATTCTCCAGTCCCCAATTGAGGGAAACACTCTTTCCAATTTGGATTTCATCTTTTGCGCGAAGAACCACCTCTGGTGTGAGGAAGTTGAGCGTGCCAAGCTGATCTTTCACGCCATCTTGATCAAATAAACCCCAAGCGAAGCCTTGTCTACAGGTAGTTAATAAAGATGTTTTGGGAATATCATGTTCAGCCAGGGCTTACGGTGCCCCTTCGATGGGTGGCAAGTCTTTCCATTTAGGTAATGCGTCCGATTTCATAGTAAAATTAAGGTCACTTGGATAAATACAGGAAAGGTTCAAAGTGAAGGTGAATAAGATCCAAATTAAAATCAAAATACATATTCCAGATATGCAAATATCGGGGAAGCCGCCCACTCTTCCGAAAAACGATATCCGCTTGAGAGTCCCTCCAGAAGCCAGTCGGTAGTCTTTTCCAGTGTCATCATGGCGAAGATGAAATAACTGAGAGCTAAAAGCTTGAAAGCGGGCGACAAGTTCTTAATGATTCTGTTACCAAAGAAACTTCTCGTACGGAGGACGATTCAGAAAGTAATGTCCCAGCACTAGCCACATAATTGCTTTTTCTTGCAAGGATACAAAAGATACATTCTTCCACTAAAAGCCCGCTACTCATTAGCACACCCTTGACGCCTGTATCTTCATTTGACCTCCCTATCTCCGCTAGAATACTGAAAACTCTAGCACAGTAGACACTGAAGAAGAATGTACCATCAGGTCCTTCGCAAGGATCTAGGGTGTGGCGCATTTAGCGTGGGACATTACTTTCTGAATCGTCCTCCGTAGTGAATTATGTTATTACTTCCTAACGGCAAAGTTTATCCGCCCCTGTGAAACCTGCCCCATCCTCGATGTTTTTTACGCAGGCATATTCACCATTAGCGCACCTGGGCGTGATTGCTGGCCGATACAATCGCCCGGAACTTGTTTAGCGAATCTGGATCAGCATCATCGACAGGACTCACAGCCAAGGTCTTCACGCAGCTTGCCAGAAAAATGTGCCGGCAACTATTATGTTCTAAAGCTCTCGTTTTTTTACTGCCTCGAGATCAGATACCATCCTGCCGTTCAATGTAATCATGCTGCTCACCAACGTCGGTTAATTTATCATTCATGGTGAAGATTAATACGCCTACCCCGTGGAGAAAGCAGAAGACAAGAGAAAAGGAAAACATATTCAGGCTGGAAAGCGATTGGCTTTGAATAATCCATGATGGCGAGTGCTCCTACGCCATCACAGATCGCCGCGGGAACACGCATATTGTAACACTGCATGCCCTTTGATATAGGGTAGGTAGGTAGCATTATTGACACTCGTGATCCATCATTTAGGAGCACTACATCTGGGGGCTAAAAGCATTGTTAGCTAGGAAAAAATCTCTCTTATCTAGTCGCCCTCTCTATCCTATAAGAGGGAGGTCTTTCAACTTATCCATCAAGTAATACTTGATCAGCGCTAATTCCGGCATGCTTTTTCGTGATCATTCTCCCCAAACAGTGTTTCATTATTAGGCCAGGTATGTAAGCAGGACAATTGTCTCACACGAAAGTGGATCAGAACCAATTCTGTGCTTTTTTTGAGTTTAGTCTTGGATCATCATTTCAGGGTTAGCTCCTTTCTGCTGCACAAAACTCAAATTTCCATCTCTGACATTGTTGTGAAAAAAAGTCTCGAAAAGTGTTATCGGCTTCGTTTCTTCGTCTCATCTGAACCACGGCATTTGCGTCACTCAACACAGGCTTCAAGATGTCAACGCCACATGGTTCGTACAAAATTCAGAAGACTGAAACCGAGAAGGTCTCAATCAAGATAGCCGAAGCACGCTGCGAGGCTGAGAATCTACCCCTGACGACATGGGCATCGTCTTTTGTGCTGTCAGATACTCTGTACAGCCTGAAAATTGACGCTGCGAAATTGCGAGACGGCCCCCAGGACGAATACGCCATTCTCGAGCTCGGTGCTGGCACGGGCCTGACCGGGCTCAGCGCTGCAGTGATCTGGGGCGGAAATGCATTGCTAACTGATCTTCCTGGCATTGTACCGGGCCTGCAAATGAACGTTGACCTTAACGAGGACTTGCTCAAAGCTGGCAACATAAAGGCTGCTTGTGGTGCGCTGGATTGGAATTCTCCAGAAGTCGTCCACATCAGTCAACCAGGCGGGACAACGGAGTCTGTGAGCACCAAGGACGGTTTCTCAATTATCCTTGCCGCCGATACTATGTACACCGAGGACCATCCCGAGTTGCTCTCGGAATCTATTGCGAAATGCCTGCGACGAGCGCCTCATGCAAGGGCTATTATTTGTCACCCCCTGAGGGTAGCATATATAGACCACATTAGAGAATTTTGGGAGAAAATGGAGCTTCTGGGTCTCGTGGTTGCTGAAGAAGGCCGAAAAGAGCTCGATTTGACCAACTGGGATGATGAACGGCTGCAGGAATGGAGCAGTTGGAAGTGGAAAGATCTATAGTTCTGAACAAGAGCGCAAGGATCCTTCCAACGCTCTCATCTAAGTTACTTACCGATATTTATGATCGATCGTGGTGCAGCAAAGGATTGGCCGTGGCGAGGTGTCTTGGGTATAAAGACTCTGGCAACAACTGGTTGTAGAATATGAAAAAATAGAGCTAGAGGAGGAGGTAATGATATTCAAAGCTAGACTACTAGTTACAGATACCAACCAAAAAAAGCAATCTAGACGAAGTAATTTGAAGAATGAAATGACCTATCGATAACTTGAAGACTTCTCAGACTATGTATGTCCTTTAGTGTGTTTAAGAGCACTTTCTAGCAGCAAGGGTCCATCCAGTGAGGCGGTTAGCCACATCACAAGAATAGCACTTGGTTGCAGTAAACGGGTTGTTGAGGTTGTTATAGTCGACGGAACCACTGTTGTAAAGACGAGCAGCGGCAAATACAGCTCTATGTGCGGCGTTGGTAACAACCTTGGACGTCTTGGCAAGACACTGCTTGATGCCATCACCTGCCTTAGTACCAGATGTTCCATCGCGGATCATTTGCAAGATCTGGGCATTGGGGCAAGGGTTGCGACCGGCACAAGTTCCAGCGCCGTTATGGGATTGCATCAGCCCAGGGTTGCGGACACCGTTGTTCGTGGTAGGAACGCGCACACAGCCACCAGACTCTTGCATAACGATCGAGAGAATGAAGCGAGGCTCAATTTTAGCCTCGCCTGCGACCTGATTAATGGCCTTCTGTAAGTTGCTGATCTCCTGGGCACTGTTATCCGCTCCCCAGTTGTTCCAGCCGCAAGATTTACGAATAGTAGGGAGGTTGGCGTTCCAAAGCTGTGCGAAGGTTCCCCAAGCGGCCTTCTTCGGCCAGTTTGCACCGTTGCCTTGCCAGAATGTATACTTGTCGGCAATCGCAGCGAGAACATCGGCATCATCTCTCAATTCGAGGTTCGGGTCGCTCTCGATGTCAGTTGGCATGATCACAACTGGGGCAGGTCGAGTAGGGACGTCTCCTTCAACCCATAGTGGTCTCAACGCTGCTTCGGGGGGAGGGGGCCGAGCAGAGTCGTCCTCCTCAGCCCACAGGGGCCGAAGGGCTGCTTCGGGTGGAGCGGGGATCTCGGTCTCTCCAATATAAACTGCTGCATCAATTACGGTTGCGAAGACCGCAATTAGAGCAGCAGCGTTGACAGCATTAACGAGCATCGTGAGGATATGTTGAGGAGGGTGAGTTGTTCAATCTGTCTGACTGGATCAAATAGAATTGTTGAAGACAAGTTCCTGAGTGATAAAGTCGGGGCAAGGATAGCATACCTTCTTATATGTACATCCATGTTGGATATCTCTCTAGGCCACCGATGACGGAAAATACAAAGAACTTCGGTAAGGCTGTGCAGAATTGCACATTCCCAGCCCCCGCTTCAAAGTACAACTCTGGACTTCGGCGTCAGCCTGAAAGATCTTACCGAAAGACCGTCCAATGGTCACTTGACAAGATCCTAGAAATCCAACTCTCAAAGTCCCCTAGGATGACGTGTTATCCCCTTGATGGCTTACTTCGCTGCAAGCTACTTACCATATTGCACGTCCGGTGAAGCTGAGCACACACCGCTGCATAAGGTTTCTCAAACACTGCTTAAGATGGTGGTGTGTGAAATCTGACGTTTTTACGACCTGCCTATTGCTTACCATTAGGAGTGTGTAAGGCTTCTCCTAGAAGATACTTTAATGTTAAACACCATGCTTAAGACATAACAGTATCTGATATTGGTCTAGAATGGAGAATATCGTCTTACTCGACTAGGCTAATATTAGTAGTACTCGAAATGGAATATTCACCAAAGTGTCACAAGATATAGGACCAGAATGTGTATCCATCGCACACCTCTGTTCACTGAGGGGGCATTGCAATTGGTAGTAAGCACAATATGGGTGATGCAGCTGGGAGGTGGCCAAGTCGGTCCCGGTCAGTCAGCAGGTCTGACGAGAGGCGTGTCTTGCGGGCTAAAATTGTCGAATCGGAGGCCATATCTCCCCAACTTTTCCCTAAATGTTTCATCACTATGCGTGACATCAAAAGACTTGTAGCCGCACTCCGCCCCGAGAGTGAACACCATTCCTTCCGCACATATGTGCCAATGGGAATCTCCCCAAGGAGGCATTATTAGGACTTTGAGTGGGTATATCCACCAACATTGCATATGCATCAACACTTCCGACCCAATCGGGGGCTGTGAAATCTGAGCAGCTGCATGATTCAATGATACCGAAAGTACAATACCAGATTCAACCACATCCAGTGTATCATTAGTGGTTATCACATGTAAGCATCAATATTCAATGGTATGGTGAGCATACAGAAACTGTCCGTCTTGCGTATCCGACACTGTCCCTAATCCCGCCTCTTCCTCAGACATGAATGATTCACAAAGCGGCAAGAATGTCTCTATGAACTTGCTTTGCAGGGCCACATGACTTGAGATAGGCTTTGCTACGATCCTTTGGTTGAATTTCTCGTTATGAGCGTGTGTACAGTGAACGAGTGTTAGGGCTCTGCCTAATCCTTCACTGAGCCAAAGTGAATCAACATTCGCCGGTAACCCCATGCGGCAGACCAACAACATAAAAAGTGCCATATTCCGAGAGGACATCATAATAAATACAGAAGCCTATAACAAAACACTCGGGGTAACCCTCGGCTGTCCTTTTGTTACCCATCTTCCTCGGAATGTGACTAAAGGAATGACGTAAGGATTGGACGAAAACTGCCTCTTGTGATGAAGTTCTTTTTCCTGCTTCGGTCTTACGTCAATGACCTAACCCATAATGGAATATTAGTGATTGATGGGATGATTGTCTGAATAAATTGCTCAAAGCTGAAGGTCAAACAAAGCCAATGTGCAGGTGGCTTGCTTAAGTCAATCCGCTCATGACATCCTTCTTGTGCTTATGGCTTTGGCCTTTTGTGCGCCCACGTAAGATAAGACACTGCGTGATCTGCCAGGAAACAGTAGGGGGATTACGGATTTGTTTTGAAGGCACTGTATCTCAATTTCATCAATAACATGGAGTCTGAAGGCTATCCCCGACGAGCTAACACGGTATTCACACTTATCATTTGTCTTGGCAGCTATGCGAGTTACACAGGTATTATCCAGTCGCCATTTCAGTGTCAGATAAAGTATCAACTTCCTAAAACAAGAGTCCAAAATGTCAGGCATGAGCGAAGTAGGTGATTAACAATTCATCATTGGCACCATCCAGAGCTCAATCATTCCTCCAAGCATACCCAAGCGAAATAAAGAAACAGAACGGAAAGCTAGTGTTCTTTAACCCAATCAAGCTCCCTTGAGAGTCTCCAGTGCTTGGATACGGTTGTCCACAAGCATACACAATGTCCCCAAGCCGATCTTCTCATCGGCATTTCCAAGACTTAAAAGATGTGCTGTCTTGACAAGGTTTTTGATCTCTCGGCCGTTGAGTTCATACTTGGAGAGCTTGTCTAGGTCCTCGTCGCTGATATCAAATCGCGTAGCGCAGGGCCCGGAAATGAAGTTCTTCCACACACAGTACCGTGTCTCCTGAGTAAGGTCCCCGTACCGGAGGAATAGATCAACACGGGACTGCATTGCGAGGTCAATACTCGACATTCGATTTGTAGTCATAAAGCATATGCCTTGGTAGTACTCAAGCTTTGTGAGAAACACTATATCTTAAATTAGTTGCTGATCAATTGGTCGTAAATCTGTCCGGTCACGGCTACAGATTGAGCATAAGGAACCACTCACCGGCAACAAGCTCGTTACGAGTTAGATCAGCATCAGATCGAGAGCCAAGGAAGATATCTGCTTCATCCAAAAAGAGCATGGCATTCCAGGCCCGGCATAGGTTGAGCGCGTACTCCAAACAATCCCCGACGCGTTTCGGGTTGGTTCCCAATGTTGCTGCGCTCATTGTATAAAGCGGCACGCGGGCTCTTTCGGCGACTGGGTGGCAACATGGTCAGCAAATGCTAGATGGCTTGCCCGTCTCAAAAACATGCACCTACCCGCTTCAGCCGTGTATGACTTGCCCACGCCAGGAGGTCCGAACATCAGAATAATTATGCCGCGTCCTAATGGTGGGATTAGTTTCATATCAGTGGCTATTGGACGTGAACTAAGTAGACAAACCTTTATCCTTGACGAAATCCTCGAACTTGGTGCTGTCAGCCAATGCCTTGTTCTTCACAAACGCCCAGGCAAGCTCCTTCTCCTTTTCCGGAAGGATGAGATTCTCGTATGATTCGTCGTTCCAGTCAATGGACTCCAGTTCATCAACACGGAACCTGCCTAAATGATAGATTATTAGCAGGGATAGAAGTGGGAGCCCGATGCAGCTGAAAGTCACCTACCCCACAGCTTGGTGTTCATGTCCAATCCGATGACCCAAGGCGTGGCCAACATGCATTGCTCATCAGTAAGCCGGTCCAGATTCTCGGATCTAGCTTCGATGTTTGCCATTATCCTTTTTCCTGTCGCCAAAGGTCTATCCGTCGCTACAAAGCCCCTTCTGCGACCCCCGGGGAGTGAACCACGATACTGACGGCCTGTATTATGCCGTGGCCCCGCATGTCCTTCATCATCGGTATAATCGGACTCGGAGGTAAAAGACTTTCTGCGCTCTGGAAAGTGTCCAGGCCCCCCTCGTGGTTGTTCCCCGTTGACGCGTGGATAGTTATTGTGGGTTACGGGAGCCATGGGACGGCGATCTTGAGGCTGGGGAGGTTGAGTCGGGTAAGAAGATTGAGCTGGGTACGATGGATGGTACGGCCCATTCGTCCCATAGTTCATGATCGGTTCGGGGCCTAGTCCGTGCCTATTAGGCACGGGTGTGAAGTTGGAGTAAGACTGGGTTGGCGGCGCGAAAGGGTTTCCGGCATGGCCGTTGTACGGAACGAGACCCCCCTGATTATTGTCATGATAGGAAGGCGGAACTGCTGGATTCCTGCCCATGCTGGATTGTCTTGTCGTATCCTGAGTCGCTCCAAGCAACTTTGGATTATTTGAGGGAGGTTCGGATTCCAAAGACCCAAGACTTGGGTGCTTCCTGTTGCGGGACTGATAGTACGCATGAGTATCTATGATCACTCTTCCCGAAATCTAAGATAGACGAATTATCAGCATACATGCAGGAGGAGCTTAGAGATATATGCGTCACCAATATCATAGAGATTTACTTTGAGAAATCGGACGTACCGGTCGTTCTTCGTTCAGTGACTCTTCCAAAAGAACCTGTGTACCAGTGCAAGACTTGAAATGGTAGCCGCGTATGGCTTCAAACAAACGCCCCCGCTTGAGCAGCCGCTCCTTGGCCTCCTCCACAGATTCACAGAATTTGACAGGATAAACAGGTAGAGATGACACATGGCGTTCTCCCGCGTAGAAGCTTACATCAATAGACCACTTAGCGAAGCCACACTTCTGACCATTCCAGTCCACGTATTGGAGTTTGATGCTCCAAGAGTTTCCCTGTCTGGAAAACTCGTAACGCGTGACACGGCACATGATTTCGACACCGTGCAAGGTCGTCATCACCAATTCACCAGGTGGGAAGATCTGCCAAATATCGGCGAAAGAAATCTGCCCAGTCTTGTTTATATTTGCTTGAGCTTGAATATAGACCTCCAAGATTGGGTGCAGAAATTTCACAAGCGAGTTGACCGACTGTTCCGTTTCTTTGGCTGCTGATTTGGACAGCTCAAGAATGCGGTCCCATCGATGAACCAGTGCCTTGTAAGGGCTCCTAAATGTCCAGCCGTCGAGGCCGGGGTCGAAGTCCTGATAGTTGGCTAGAGCACTTTTCAAAAAGGCTCTCATCTCTGGACTTTGGATAGTAAAGGAATCGGTCAGCCATTTCTTGCCATTCAGATAGTGGCGGTGAACTATTGGATCTGTGGCTATAGCATCAAAGAGAACCTTCTCTTCATCGTGATGATTATCTCTGATGGACCATCTGCTTGGGCATTGGCGCGCCTGGCAGTCATGCCTAAAGATCTTGGTGACCACATGCCCCGACAAGGTAGGGCCAGAGTCGCTATTGTTAGCATCTGAAAGAACCATGTTGATCGTTTACTTGGTTGTGAAGTGATGGGCAATCTGTTGCGATGGTAGACTAAATGTAAAGTCAATAGACAGGATAGAATTTGAGATGTATCTCATTCTGCCCAACGTGCGGACGACCCCGCGTTTATATCGTTTCATTGCGTCTGACTGGCAGCCTCAAACACGTGATAAAGAGCGCCTTGCATCCTGATTCGTATAGATCGCTTCATTTACTGGCTGCCTCGAGAGACTGTAACCAACCAATGTGATCATGGCCCCGCAGCTGAGGGTGAGCTGCAGTCAGCAACACCCTTAATATCTGCACTATTAAACTAAACTAAAGAGAGACGAGTATGTTCAAATAAAAGATATCACTGGGACGTGGGTAGATAGAATGAAGCTGACGTTTTGGTGTGATGAGTGGCTCTCATTCAAAGTAGCAGAAGAATAACCCTCACATGTCATGGGCATATCGTGTTCCCCAAACAACAGCCATCGAACCAGAAGATGCGACACACTCACTTCGTATGAGCTTACGCCATACACCAATCATTCCTTGTGCCTTGTAGACATGTGATAAACAGCGACCCCGCCCAAGTTCACAATGAAACGCATACGTTCAACCGGTCGGTCCCACCATATCACCACCATTCTATCTCTAACCTTAGAACCTACGCATAGCATCAGTCACATCGCAGCAAAAATGGGTGCCATCATACCCTCACTCCAGACAGCAAAACACACAAATCCAACTTCCAAACACCGCCAAAATATGATAGAAGAAGCTAAGGCGCGGTATGGTGTCACGATAGCGTGCAGCTGATTTTAGACACGGCATAGCTACGCTGCTTCAGGAAAGAGACATATTGCTCAACTTACTTGGCTTCCATTCGCTAGTAAATTTTCCCCCATTAGAATCTTCCATTCTTTCCTACTTAGAAGCATTCCCAGATTCTTGCCCTGTCTCATCTATCCTGGCGAACACGATATCCTTTAAGCCCGGTCTTCCTCAAATCCCAACCGCGTCCTGGTCACCGCACGCTTAAATGGCCTTTCAAGGCCTTAGCTAGCCTTTCTAGTTTGTCTTTGGGCCAGTAGTCCTTAAAATCATAGAATCCGTCGACAGAAGGCACACTTGGATCCAGAGTCACCCAGGGTTGCTTGTCCGCAGTGTAGATGTGCATATCAGGTACGAAGTTCCATCCTACCGGGTCGTCTAGTGTGCCAACTCTAATTATCCTGAGGCTTTCCCCAGCATGCGCACCGTAACTGCTCCAAACTGCTACGTGACAATTTGGACAGCGTGCGATCGTCTGTCCTTTCCCAGATTGTGTTGGGGTTTTCACGTAGTCTGGACTTGTCGGTGTGGTAAGTTGCACTGCTTGGGCTTCATAGATGGCGTTCAGGGCAAATGCGGAACCGGTCTCTCGCTGGCAATAATGGCAATGACACGCATGTATGCGGATTGGCCGTATATTAAGTGAGTAGCGAATTGTCCCGCAGGCGCAACGGCCGGTGTAAAGTCGGTTATTATTAGAAGGCGATGACCCCATTTTGAATATAATTAATAATATAATGGCAATGAACTCCAATCGAAGTCAAGGGTAGTGATGTATTCAACTTATATTGATTTTGCCATGGGGTATATCTCTAAGGTTTTGCGTGATACTCAGAGCGAAGTCGCAATCACCCCATAAGCACGCAATTTCCTTGGCTACTTTGCAATTCTCAACTAGAATCGACTATCTACCATTTATTGATCTTCGCGATAAGATTAAATTTCCTATACAAGCAATACTGAATTAGCTAGACAAGCCGCCCACTCACTAGAACCTGATGGGTAAAGTACCTCGCCCCTAACTCACTGTCTACTTAATGTGTCCCACGTCCCGATCAAGACCCCTTATAAGCCTACCAGATACCAATCTTGTTACATGTGACTTAATTTAGTAATGAGCAATTCCTTTTGTTTCCATCCCCTCAAAGAAGGGTTATTGGTGCGTTTACTGTCAAACAAAATCTCACGAACAAATGGTGTTTTGATACTTGACAGGCCTACAGGGTGGTGAGATGTGTTGCGCAGTGAATCACCTAAATTGAACTATTGTCTTGGCCGAAACTAAAAGCTTTGAGAGTTGCCGTCCAATCTGCTCTTGAATTCACATTAAATAACGTCCACTGCGGATCCCTTGCGGGCAATAACATTGGTGCTCCCAATTTGTCCACCACTCTGCTCGGGCTGCGAACTCCTTTTTTGTGGTTATCCGCCAAGTATTCCAGGGCCTGTGGGCTCCAGAGCCCCAGCAGCGGCTCGCAGTACCCTTTGAGATTACGAAAACAGGTGACAGGCTGCTCGTATTGTGAGACCAGCTGCCTCAGAGCGTCTGCTGTGAGAAACGGGAAATCACACGCAACAACAAGCCACGTGGTGTTGGGACGCATGTTGGCAGCTGCCAATATTCCAGAGGCGGGACCTGCAGAGTCGCTTGACAGGTTGCGCTCTTCGTCGAAGATGACTTTGAGCCGGACGCGAGGGTTCCCTTCGAGAAGACAGCCGTTTTCGGAGGAGCAGGCCATCTGCAGAAGGTCGTCCAATTGAGAGTCTTGGGCGAGGGAGATGTAAATTTCCGTTATTCCGGGGAACGCCTCGCGGATGACCTCGATTTGATTTTCGCATAGATGTTTTCCGTTTGGCGTGGACAGGAGATGCTTGGGACACCCCATTCTGGTCGCTCTCCCGCCTGCAAGAATTAATGGTAGAAACGGTGGTTCTGGTGAAGACGACATGGCGATGATGATCGGCTTGTTGATTGCTCTTTTGACCGCCTTCGTTCTTCTCCTAAAGACACTCAATGTTTCAGTAACCTAACAAATGGTGATGGCGCCATCAACTTACTCTCAAGGGATGAACAAACAGAATGCTCTGACGTAGTAATTTTCCGTCTCTATGGTGAACATACTTGAAATGGATTCGTACTTATAGCCCCGCATTTCCGGCCTGGCGGGACGCAATTGGAGGTTCGAGGTGGCGGAGAATCATGACGCAACCCGGCGATGATCTCATCGCCCGCCCTGACTGACGCCCAGTTTAAGCCCAGTTTAATGCGTCTTCCCCAGAGATGTGTTGATTATGTCATTTCAATCGTGGGCAGGCGACAAAAATATCTGTCAAGAATTGTCGAAACCTCAATTTCCTATTTTCGAAGAGTTAAATCCTAATCATCCGTAGCACATGTCTGCTGTGCATCGGATCAAAATAGCATCCTAGACAAAACCCTCAACGACGTGCTTTGAAAAGACAATCCAGAGAATGCTGATCAGAAAATCCCTCGTCAGGGCTAAAAGGACCATGAATATTGAGCCAATGATAGCTCTGACGATCTTGGGCCTTCAGTGCCACGTATCGTAACGCAAGCTGCAAACAGAAACTGCATGCTCGCAGGAAAGTCAGATTAGAGCCTCTGCTGGAGATGTAAAGTATTCATCTGATGCCATGTGTTGGTAGTGCACCTGGAAAACAAACAAATTCTCCAGTCGCCCCATTCCAAGAAGTCCGCGTGAACGTAAGAGAAAGAGAATAAAGTTCAACAGCAATGGAAGCTGCTAGAGCCCGACAACTCCCCCTACTTAAGAGAAAGAGAATAAAGTTCAACAGCAATGGAAGCTGCCAGAGCCCGACAACTCAACACAATGAATAGTCCGCGTGAACAGTCCCATCATAATTAAGATACCTCAACATTACCTCCGAGCTAGCATGAATAATTTTCTTTCTCCTCTGTAGAACGAGGGGTTCGGTAGTTATTCGAATCGATGGGTTAGGGAGGCTTTTCAAGTGGTGTATTTCAGCTTCAGTGACGTAACGGGCACTGCAGCGTCTGGAGATAATTCATCTACCACCGTCGATAGATGCATGATCAAGAAGTCATGGTATGGGTTGAAAGCACTCCGTATGGCAGGAAGCCAGGAAACAGCATTCCTTAATTTGGACAGAAGTTCTCGTTATATACGCCTGAGATACTCATTTCAGAGGGTCTGGGCATGGTTTGTGGCAGCGTCGGTGGAGAGGTTTCGAAATGTCGAAGACTTTAAATTAATAATGAGGTGCTTGTTTCAGGTTTCTCGGATACTGGACAGCGCCAGCACCTGTGGCCTTCGTTATTCTCGGAGCACAGCAGGCTCAGCGACGGTGTCTAGATAATACTACACACCGATTCACAAGTGGTTCGTAGTGTATACTTCTCCGTCGACCCATAGAATGACTTCCCGTCACTGTGAGCAGGCACATGTCAGAGTCGGGAGACGGCAAACTCGGAACGAGTGTCATCTTCTTCTGATCAAGATAAGCAAGGTGGCTGCTTAGTTTGGAAGACCATAGAACTTGTCAAGGAACAAAATAATCGAGAGAAGGTGTGCTGACTTTCGCAATCATTAGTCGATGGAAGTGATATCTGGAAGCACCGGATGGAAGAAGATGGCAAATGCCGAAACTAGTCCCAGCTTACTATCGGGTAGGCCACCCAGATGTACCTGTGCCAAGGATGAAGTTTTCCCTGGCGGTTCTCGATGGCCTAAGCTCGTCGGAAGACTAGAGCCGATGTACTTTGACCTCCTGGCTCAGAACAACCGGTTAGTGGCAACAGCCGAAAAAAAGTCTGTTGGCCAGCCTAACAAACTCGGCTAAGGGATCCAAAAGAGAGTTTGTACCAGTCGGGTTGCCCGAAATGCTTAATGCATTTCCGAGCCAGAGGTACAATCCAGTACAGGAGACTGCCTTGGTCCTATTTTTGGAATGCCAGCATTGTTCACCACCGGCGGCGTTCCTACATAGAGCATTAATGTTGATCAAACCTGTTGCACCACTGGCTCGCCAACCAGGCAATCTCAGGTTGCATCGATACGAATGCAGTGAGAGCAGCGTGCATCGATGAAACAGTCCATTCGTTTGATGGTGTCCTCAAAATGGCGCCCATCCCCGCACCCGCAGCGTTTATGCGGAGACGATCTCAGGCTAGATCGAGGATACCTAAATCCGGGGCTTCAACGTGTGCGTCTAGACTCTTACAGGCCTGTTAGCGCATGGGCTGATAACAAAAGGCAACTTGGGGGTGCATATTGGCGGCGCTCGCAAACGTGGTGTTTCTCCGTCCTTTCCCATAATCGACTAAATAATCGCCATCCCCCTTGATTCCGATGATCCTCATCCCCCTTTTCAAGCCAAGTATTCCAATAGTGCTGTCCTAGAACTTTACTACAGGAATCTCCAACGCCATACTATTGCTTAGCCTTTGATCTGTCTCCTTGGCACACAACATGGCACCGGATACCACGTCTGGCCCTGAGACCAAGGGGCCTGCGGCAAGCCATATCGAGTCCAAAGATGGACGGACCCTCGACGACATATCACAAGTGCTCGAAAACGATGGAGAGAGGGCAAAAGTCGTCCACGCTGATGGCACTATCGACTATGTCGATGCCCACGCCCTTGGAGGCGATGTGGATGTCATGCCACCAGGCTACTTTCGTAGCCCCCAGTTCATCGGTACCGTTATGGTATGGCAAAAAATCATTCCCAATTGAAGATAACTCTAACGACGATAGGCACAATGCTTCGCCAGCATCTGCGGATACCTCGGATGGGTGCTCCCAGCCAACACGCTGTACGTAAAACTCAGTCCACCCCTTGAGTTTATACTAACTTGACTCATGCAAGGTCACTTATCAACGCGGATCTCGGAAACTCGCCAAATATCGGCTGGGCAGCTACAATCTGGACCATGGGGTCCTCGATTGGATTTCTCTTCGTCGGTCGACTATCAGATTTATACGGGCGCAAGTGGATGGTAATGAGCACCACGGGGCTCGGACTGGTGGGCTGCATTCTGGCCGGTGCATCACAGAACGTTGCCATGTTGATCGTCGGAATGGGATGCAACGGCGTCGCTGCTGCAGGCCAGCTTTCGTTTGGAATCGTCCTCGGCGAGCTGGTCCCCAACGACAAGCGAGGCCCCATCATCACCATCGTCTTCCTTTCCTCGATGCCTTTTGCCGTCTTCGGTCCCATCATCGCACGGTCTTTGATCGAGAATACCCAGCAGGGGTGGCGATGGAGCTTCTATATTGGCATCATTCTCAGCACCATCACGCTGTGTCTGTATCATTTCCTCTACCATCCGCCCACTTTCGAGCAGCTCCATGTCGGCAAAACTCGAATGCAGCAAACAAAAGAGTTGGATTGGATTGGCATTGCCTTATATATCTCCGGGTGTGTTCTGTTCCTCGTTGGTCTGTCTTGGGGTGGCACAACCTACCCTTGGAAGAGCGCTGAGGTATTGTGTACTCTTCTCATTGGGATCGCCCTCGTCGCTGTATTCTTCGTTTATGGTAAGTACAGTTTAAAGAAAGTGTGGGAGATAATGATAAACCTTGCTAACTTCAATAGAGGGTTTCTTCTGCCATGTTCAGCCACTCATGCCGCCTCGCATGTTCAGGAACATCGGCTTCGTGGCCGTCATAGCCACAGCAACCATTGCATCCATGGTTTATTATTCCATGACCGTGCTGTGGCCCACAATCATACAGACTGTTTACACCACGGACGTCAAGTCCATCGGCTGGCAGAGCTCCGTTGTCGGTGGTGGCGTGCTGCTTGGTCAAACCATGGCCGGCTTCGCCCTCTCATACGTCCCCAAGGTCAAGATCCAGTGCATCATCGCGGCGGCTCTCGTCATGACTTTTGTGACATCATTGACGTCTCTGTCAGAAGAGCGCTGGGCAGCAACTATCGCATTTGGCGTCCTAGCGTGCACTGCCGTCGGCTATCTTGAGAACATCACATACCCTGGCGTCACCCTGTTATGGGAACCGCAAGACATTGGCCTAGCAACTGGAGTACTCGGGTCAATCCGTGGTCTCGGTGGTGCCGTGGCCCAGGCCCTGTACACATCCGTCTACTCAAACAAATTGACCGAGTTGATACCTGAGTATGTCGCACCAGCAGCTACAGATGCCGGCCTTCCATCAGACTCGCTCCCCTTGCTCTATCAAGGAATCACAACAGGGAACTTCAGTGCCGTCCCTGGTGTAACAGGCACAGTAACCGAGGCCGTGGGTGCTGCACTAGTAGCTGCAAACAGGGACGCATTCAAGTTGGTGTTCTACACGACGATTCCTTTCTCAGCCATCGTGCTGTTGGCGGCCTTCCTTGTTCCCAATTTTGAGAAATTCTTAACAAAGAATGTAGCAAGAAAACTTCAGGACAAAGAGTTTAGAGCAGACTTGAAGGCGGAGAAACCGCAAGATGTGTAACTACATGTAATGGAGCTGGAGTCCGCGGGCCAGTAGAGTAACCCGAGAATGTAATGCGAACATCGTTCTTCAAAGCAACAAAATTTGTGTAACGAAATTTATTATAGAAGCATGAAACTCTTCCAGATCGTAGAAAAGGGTCTTGCTACCATTACTTCTGCCCATACAATAACTCACGTCCGCGCGTCAGAGAAAGGAATCATCGATATACCGGCGAGCAGCAAGATGAGCCGTCCCATTGTCCGCCTCATAATATGCGCGGACAGCATGATCCTACAATTCATATTCTATTTGAACCACACCAAGTCATCATCGGGTGGCTCACCCCACTGCAGCAACTTTCTACACGAACAGCCAAGTAATCGCTCAATTGATTCGGAAAGCAAATTCTTCCATGGTATCTTCATACCGACCTCCCTCGCCACAACCTCAGACCGTACCAGAACCTGCCAGCAAAACTTGAGGTACTTGTTCAACTCTTCGACGTTTTCAGGGTGAAGAGGGTCGTGGGGTACTTTCAGTCTGCGTTGGGGTCTGTATAACGCCGTATCAAGAATGAGCTGTGATATTTCTACTGGAAGACCCTTCTCGCATAAAACCCAGCGCACATGCAGGACATCGGACACTGAGGGTAGGAAACCCATTATCTTTTGGCTCTCCAGAAACTCCTCGTAGGTCAGACGGCCATATGGCTGGTTCGTACCGGAGTATTTGTCCTTCCTTTTTGACGTCATGGGAAATTTGAATCCGGAATGTGAGTTGAACTGGCCACGTGCGATGCCAAAGAACTGACGATGAGGATGCGTGGCCAGCTCGGATCCCTGCCTTATTGCGGTAACTCTAAGGATAATCATCTGATATATTCTGGTACGCCGGTAATCTTGATCGGAGGAGCGGCTAGGGGCCCATGATTCGGGGAAGGACGACAGAAACACATTTAGCACAAGGTAAGCGTCCAGCGCGTGCTCCAAGTAATCCCGGCCAAGGTCTTGTGGGTAGCACAAGCACAACTGCGCATCCCACCAGCTTGGAAACCCCACGTCTGGATGGGCGCAGATCTTGAGGAGCGTATCCATCTCACCGTGCATGAGAAGCGTTTTGAATACCTCAAGGCCAATGTAACCATCCTTGTGGTCATCAAAGAACTTGTAACAGTCGGGCAACCTATACTTGTGGAGAAAGGAGCCCATCCTTCTTTGATTGTATGGAAGAGGGCAGCTACATCTTTCGTCCGGCTCAGAATGATGGCAAACCTCGTGGGTTGGGCTCTCGTCAACTTCGCCAAGCTTGTCCCGCCTCTCCGAACGCCACAGGCGTACTGCGGGCGTGATTTTGCGGGAAACACTATCGTCCAGGGCTATATCATCCGAATTTAAGACCTCATATGCCTCAGGGTATTTCTGGCGCTCTGAATCTGCATGCTGGTGGATGTTTCGCGTAAAGGCGTCGACGAAGTGCGTGAGCTCCTTGCCCTGCGTGGGTCTGAAGCGGAAATGTAAACCAGCTCCGTCGTCCGCACAGGGGACCCTAGTGCGGAATTTGAGATTGGAGCCGAATACATTCCAAGGAATGTTGTGTGCCTGGTGAGACATCTTGCAGCAAATGTCGGTTTCAATCTTGGATGATGCGGGAATGCAAAATCAGAAGCACTTTATCCATCATCTGCCACGGCAGAAACGTTGACTAAGCACTCTATACTTATGGCAGTCTTATATAACCACAGCCAGTGTCTCTCTCTCTCTTTTTTCTCCGCTTAAGTCATTGGTTAATTATCCATCACGATCCCCTTTTTGAACCATGAGAGAGATGATTCTGGACCCTTTCACCACTGAAAGAAATTGTGAGAAGTACACGCAAAAGTGTAAAAGTAAAAGATTCTGCCTCGTGGTATGACCCTAAAAGAGCCTTATTCATTGCACTGCCCCATTCACTCTATGATGGCCATGTGGCTAGTACCAATGTGCGGAAATATGCCGCAGCATCTGGATGCCACGTAGACAATTGGGCTGACAGGCTCAATTAAGTAAGTAATTAGGCATCATCGGGTCACCACAAGCCCTATCTGGTCACTGGTTCATCCCAGAAGTGAGGGTGTTTAGATGTAGCTGGATTTAACAAGCTGCACACCCGCGGAATTCCATATCCTTTCATTCGAAGGGCATACATAATTGATTAGTAACTTAATCCACTTGCCCGTTCATCTTCCGCACGATGGCTGCTGGCATCTCGCGTCAAGATGCCCAGGCGCATATACAACGTATTCAAGAAAAGTATAGTCTTTCCGGGCACGACGAGCTGGCTGATCTTATTGACAATTCTCTCAACATGTATGTTGCTGACGTAGTGTTTATTAAAGCTTTGCTGTAGCACTTTTTGCTACTTTCACAAACCTCCTCTAATTCTTTGAATCTGTAGTCTTGCCAACGAATTGTATGACGTATCGACTCACTTCATCCAGGAACTTCTACAAAATGCCGACGACAATGACTATGCGTGTGAAGCACCGACAATCAAGTTCACCTACAAGCATGGTTTCCTTCGGGTCGATTGTAATGAGGTTGGTTTCACCCCGGCCAACGTCGACGCTATTTGTGCCATCCGCAAAAGCACTAAAATAGGCACCGACACGTCTGCTTGTTACACCGGAGAAAAGGGCATCGGCTTCAAAAGCGTGTTCCGTATAGCTGATGTTGTATGGATCTCAACTGGAAATTATATTTTCAAGTTTGATAAAAGCAGACGATTCGGCATGGTGAGCCCCGAATGGGCCGAGTTTCCACAACAACACGATGGAAGCTGCACATCATTCCTGCTTCAACTATCGTCAGATTGCGACCAGGATGAACTAGTAGACGTACTGACCAAGTTCGACCCTGTCCAACTAATCTTCCTCAGACAACTCCGACATGTCGATATTGAGTTGATTTATCCGGACGGGCAAGTATTAACAAGTGGCATTCACCGTACCGATCAAAGAATTGGAGACGGTGTCATGACTATGCTCGAGTTTGGCAAATCAAGAAGACACTACTTAGTTTGGAGCCATAAGGTCTTTCCCATGCCCCCCGAGGCCAAGAGGCCAGTCAAGGGACTGACGCAACGTGCCTCGGATCTCGTCCTGGCATTTCCCATCGGCGATGAGAGTACAGAATTACGATTGGAAGAGCACAATGTCTACGCTGGACTACCAATTGGGCATCTCCCTGGGATAACGGTAAGAGCATGAGATAATGCCAATCAAGAACCTCAAGAACCTCGTGTCTTGTGTATAGCTATGGATATGTTGCTAATAAGAGTGGTGAATAGTTTTTAATACAAGGAGATTTCTTGCTCGCTGCGAGTCGGCTTCACATCGATACTTCACGACAATGGAACCGTGCGCTCCGGGATGGCTTAGCTGATGCATTCGTTGGTGCTATAGAGTATTTGAAAACTACTCGATTAAAATATCTCTGGCCACTATTTGTCCCGTTCCAAAACGAAGATACCGGTTTTTTCAAGTCTGCCTTTAAAGCTACCCTCGTTCGACTAAAAAAGATGGAGCTGCTGGAATCACGTAAAGGTTCAATCTGCAAGCCTTCACGTCTGTTTCTTGTTGACCGTGAGGATTTTCTTGACATTGGTGGAGTCCCCTTCACCGACAACCCCCAAAATGCCCATCATTACTTGTCGGACCAATATACTCCCGACTCCTTCGAAGCAATGAAAGCTTTGGGCGTCAAAAGTTTATGTGAAAAGGTTGCTTTAAAGCACTTCAAAGCTATGGTTACTCATGACCCAGGGACATTCAACAGTTGTCCACCCGAGTGGCACGAGAGCATTGCGAAGGCTTTGTCATTATTGGCACGCGATCCCCAGCTGCAGAAAGAGCTTACCAAACTTCCCATTATTCCAATTGTCGGCGGGAATTGGGTTACAGCACTCGATAGACCAAGACCTTTCATGATATCAGAAAGAATGAAGCTCGAAGACCTGCCAATAACTGATGCCGTCCCCACGGTTGACCCCATAGCATCTGCCTCACAAGGCCGGTGTGAGCTATTTCGACTACTTGGAGTTCGACAATTGGAAGGCTCTGAGCTATTTGATTACATTTGCCGACGGCACTCATCTCCCTTTTTTCGCCCTGAAGAGTGGAGTGTAAGCCAGCTGATTGCTCACGCCAAGCTGCTGTACATGACCTCCTGGGCACCATCAACGGATCGTAAGATAGACTTGTGGCTAGCATCGGCTTGCGGCGGAAGATACAAAGGCTCGGAACTCTATCTTCACAAGGTGTCGGGCCAGAATACCCCCCAGGCAAGGCTGGCCCATCTGCTGAAGACGCACTCCTTTCCCGAAATTCACCCCGACTATTACAGGCAATATTCAGATCCGAGGGGGTCCGGTCCTGGCTTTGAACGCTTTCTGACGTCTCAATTACAAGTTTCGACTTGTTTAAGGCTGGTTTCTGGCCAACAAGTCTCCCCAGAGCTCAGATGCGCACTGACACACAACGCTGCCGACCTAATCAACATGCTTCTTACGAAGTGGCGTTTATATAGTCAACTCCTTGAAAAAGACCTTCTTCAGGAAGAATCCGCAGAATTAATTGAACTGAGAGAAAAGATTATCATGGCTATCGGTGAAGCCCAGGTTTCAACCCCGATGGGCCTCCGCCGTGTGGATCAAACGTTTCTTGGTGTTATGGATGAACTCCTCGAGCCGGATCTTATCCCCAAGTTCCCTCTTGACCGAAAGGTGACTCAAGGTACCCTCTATAGATTGAGTCTGCTTGGCGTTACTGTCAAGCCTGCTGTCACACTATACCTTTCGGCACTGAATTCCCTCCAAAAACAACACAGGCCTTCTCGCAATGCCATCTCCCATATTTACGAGCAAATCCAAAATAAATATGAAGATGATGATAAAATGGTCAGGTAGGTTGAAGAGGAGGCATGACAAATATTGAATGGTCATTGCTAATTTGGTTGCAGTGATTCGTTCAACAAACGCAAACTAATATACGCATGCTACAAGAATGTGAAGCAAGAAGAATCCGAATGGCAATGGATGAGTATATCTGATTGCGCAAAGCAGAATACAAATCTAGAAAGCATCTATCCCCGGAGCAAATACCTTTTCCGCCGTCTGTTAACAAACCATGAATCTCCACTTCACGAACTGATTGCGAAGATTGTTAAATGTGGAAAATCGGCAACTACTCATCGTGATGTTGCTGAGTATTTCGACAAGCTTGATGACATCCTCTCATTAATGAGCACACGTCAGGCTGTTCGGTCGGTGAAACCCTTGATGTCGAAAGCAGTCTTCCCAGTTCTAGAACCAAACGGAACCAAGGCCTGTCGGCCGAAGATGGTCTCAGTCAAGGACAGCAACTGGTTTATTGCGGACAGGCCGCAGCTACGAAAAAGCTTCTTGGGTAAAGTCCCACTCCTCGATCTTAACCCCGACCAAATAGAGCTTGTGCCCAGTTTACTCGAAACATTCAATCTCAATTCAAGAAAGCTATCTGAATTGGTAAAATCCGATATGCGGCCTAGGGGATGGCTGGAATTTGATGTCTCGTTGACTATGTTCTTCCGGGACCGCTATAATTTCATCTTTGAGTGAGTAAATTTCCACATTCTGTACTGCCAGCCTTTTCTAATCCAAGTTTTCCTCGATGTAGCCTTATCCCTCCGCAGAATTGGGGGAGTCTTTCGAAGCAAATGAAAGAAGTCACTGTCATCAATGTGGTCGAGATATCAGAGAACTTCATGTTGAAAAATGGAGATGATGAAGTCCGCGGGCGTTCAGTTAAGTCACTCGCAATGTCTTCAGCAGCCGGAAACAATCTCCAAATATTTATCGCAGGTGGACAGTTTCCAATCCCCGAGATAGTTCAACTAATCTCGAATCACTGTGGTATTGAGGAGCCATCACATTTATGTCTTTTGTATACACTTTTCAGCCAGCCAAATCAAGAGAGGATCGAAGAAGCATTCTCAAAAGCAGGATATGACACGCACTTTGAAATAGGTTCGTATTGTTTCGGCCACCCCTAGAGCATACTCTTCTTCTAAACTAACCACAATCATTAAGATTCAATGAGAATTAATCCAGCAGCTCGATACTGGGGGAAAACAGGCGGTCTCATTACTGTGCCGAGTCCGTACGATTACGATAGCTTTTCAGACTCGGACTCAAGTATCGACTCGAACGGTCAGGGGCCAAGGTTTGGAGTTAAGTATAAGCCATCCAGGGAGCGTCACAAAATATACAAGAAGAAGCGTACCCGCGACCGGAGATTGCCAATAATGCGGTACGTAGGTCGCCCTGATTATACGCATGTTGTGGAATCCCTCCACGATGAGACATTGGAGTGTCTTGGTCAGCTTTTGGTAACTGAGACCGCCTATGCCTTCTTATGCCATTGCCACAATCTCGCTGATTTTTAACATCACAGCTATCCAGATATTTTGAGAGGAATCTAGGAGAAGCTTATTCGCCCGATAAACATTGGACGAGTTCACTCCGTACCCGCAGCGGGTTTGACTCTTTCAAGGCAACTGAAGGTGTCGAAGACCATTCCCCTTTCACATTTCGTGACGTTGGCATTTCCAGGGTGGCATCGGACTTCATGGTAAAGAATAATGTCTCCGCGGCTCGACGTTGGCGTAATAAGACCCCAAGCTTCCATTTTGAGCTTGCAATCTCAGTTGGCGGCACCAGTGAACCATTCCTATGGACATCGAAGCAGCTAGATAGGGTAGGTTCTAAGTCTCCGAACCCAATCTCATTTCAGTTCTTCTAAGCGATAGAAAAGTCTAGACAAGTGTATTCGCGAACTATCGAGGCGGATGATGAGCCTAGCGACGTTCTAATCATGGTCAGGATTAGCAACATCTATACGCACCCAACATATCAGTTTTTTCTGGACCCCTGGAAAATGATCTGGTCTGAACATATGAGAATCATGCAAGGAACTGTATTCGAGGCTGTGATCCAAGTTCACGGCAACGGCACCAGCAATTTACAGAAACAACTGATAAATAATTCAGCCTGCTCGTCGACTCAGAATCCGGAACTCGCTTCCTCGGCCTTGGCTCAAACACACCAGATGAAGTATACAGTACGGAAAGAACTCCAAGACTTTCAAGGGGCTACTTCCTATACTAGCCGGATTGAACCCTCGCACGGATTTCGGTCCATCCCCATGACTGACATTAGCTGGGAAGATCAGGCCCCATATGCCTATCGTGAGCTCGAATCTGGGCACATCCGCCTCTTCTGTTTATTTCCAGGAGAAAAGGCCGATGAAATACGCGGAATGATCCTAGTCATGCCTTTTCAGGAGGCAATTTCTTACTACGCCGTATCATACGTATGGGGAGACCCCGAGCAGCGACGATTTAAGATCTACACCCCAGATGGAGTCCTGCGAGTACAGAAGTCAATCCACCAAGTACTCAAAAGGCTTCGAAATCCATCCGAGTCGGTTATACTCTGGGCTGATGCCATATGTATCAATCAACAAAACAACCAAGAGAAAGCCAATCAACTCCAGCTCCTTCCTCGAATTTTCCAGAATTCTGAGAGTACTCTGGCCGTCATAGGACAAGACATAGAAAATGAGAGTGCTATTGAAAAGCTCACTGAATTTAGTAAACGGCGAAAGGCTTCCAGAAAAATCACTCAAGATTCGCGAGAAGAGCCTCCAAATTACTTCAGCTTATGGGAGGACTGCGACCTACAACAAAATGATGAGTACGAGTCCATTATGCGACATGTATCTACTATATTCAGTCACCCGTGGTTTGAGAGAGCATGGATAGTACAGGAAGCTGTTGCCTCGGCCCGTGTTACATTGATCTGCGGCAAATATGCCGTTGATTGGGGTGATCTATACGAAGCCACCCTCAATCTCAGCCGCCAGATGACATGGCTAGAGGCAGATTCTCCTCCTTCTTGGCTTTCTTTCCATACACTCAGCGAACTGCGTGTTTGGGAATCGCGCGGACAAAGGTGGTCGATCCTGCTCCTGCTTGAAACGTTTCGCAAGGTTAAATCAACCCTCGCTCGTGATCGATTCTTTTCGCTGCTGGGAATTGCTTGCGACGGTAACCTTGACGGATTCGAACCAGACTATGATGTTCCTCTGGAATGTGTCGTCCGAAAATTCGCACGGTGTCTTGTGACTCAAGGCATGGGTATGATGCTGCTTTATCGCGCCGGTCTAAGTACCCAGCTTAATCGCTTCCCATCATGGATTCCCGATTGGACAAAACCAAAAGCCCCAAGCTTATCTACCTCTCTTTCCCGCGGAACCGTCTTCAACGCGTGTGGAAACACCGAAACCGATATCAAGTGCCCCTGTGATGACGAAGCCACTTCGGATGAGCTGCGGGCAGCGGGGTATCTTGTTGACAGGATTCAGTGCATCAGCAAGTCTCGGAACGTCCAGAGTCAATTTAAGGCCTACTTTGACGAGATTGATGAAATGACAACTTCGCCAGAGTTGAGGTACTCTGCCCCCATTGCTGGAGCAAAGCATGCCCAAGTCGCAGTGGCGGAGGCTCTTGACCTCAAGGAGTCATACAAAGCGTTCCGTAAAATCTGCAAGAAACAAAAATGGACCAATAAGTATAATAGCTCAAGTTCCAAAACATCCCCTCAAATCGGTTCGTCAAATGAAGAGATGGGGCTAGTTACAAAGAGCAAGAGTTACCTGTCTTTGCTCGGTGGTACGATTGAAGGTTGGAGGTTCATGACGACTGAGGCAGGGCGCTGTGGAATCACGATACCAGATACTAAAGTCGGGGATATCATTGTCATTGTAGCTGGTGGCGAGGTACCATTTGTGCTCCGTAAGAGCCAAGAGAGGGAGGGTTTGTATCGGCTACTGGGCGAATGTTACGTCTCAGATATCATGTATGGGGAGGTCTTTGAAACTGGCCAGCCAGAGAAGGAACTTTTTACCATATACTGAATAAGGGGCATTCGACATTGCCCAAATATACTGTCCCCCGATCTTGTCAATCGTTTTAGCTAGCAACGAAGCTGCGCCACGGAAATATTCGCGGACAAAGGCTTGATTTCTTTCTTTACGTTTATGCATAGCTCTCAATTAATCTCCCAGACGTTAAGTCTCATCTTAATGCCCTATGAGAGGCTACAAACAAGAGGTTAGCCTTGTCCAAGTCCAATGCCGAAAAGTGTACATCCGGCTGGCAATTGCGTCATTATAAGTACAACGGATCAACGCACGACCAGCAATCAGGAAGGCGAACACCATGCCTCTTATCTCGTAAGGATCAGTGTGTCCGGGATGGAGGGTGGAGAACGAATCACCTGATCTTGAGACATCAATAGCTAAGTGTATCATCGCAAATGCATGGGAGTCTTTGAGAGGCCGGTAAATTATGAGCCGCGAGTATTCAAGGTTATTAATTGGATACTAAGTCGTTCCAACGCCCTTCACCACAGCTGAAAACCACAGTATCCAATCACAACGGTATGTGAAAGTTTCAGTAAAACAAGATCTTGAAATTGACTTCCTATCCGTGTTGAATATAGCCCCCTATATGGCCAAACAGAATAGCTAAGATGAGTCCCTGAGAAAACAAATCGATAACCCGCGTTTATACACTCCACAATCATATCTGATACTGCATGGCACTTCAGGCCTTGGTATGAAGATGAAATTCGACTCATGTCATCTTATGTAGGGTTTAGGCAGGAGGCGGGATAGATGGATACATCATCCACGTTGACGTCAAGAGTGGCGTCCCGCTTGCAGAACACGACGAGATTGAGCTTACTATTTGCGGGGGCAGTGAAAGTCCACTCATGCAGACTATACGTCCCCTGCGGAGTATCGGACAGGTACAAAGCGTCGTCACCATGAAAGTTGTCAAGCGAGGCAGAGATTTCGCAGCCGCCGCTAGCAGCAAATGTGCCTCCTACAATTGTCCAGTAATACCGAAGCGTGTAGGATTCTCCTTCAACCAAGGGGACGGACTGTACAATAGCATTTCTCTGTGCGGAGTCTTCGATTTGGCTCAAACTGGGACTGTCAGACAAATGCTTTCTGGGCGAACTTGGTCGCTAGATGTTACTTACGCTGCCTGGGGAGAACTCCTTGGCTTGTATGAGGTGACCTCCATATTGGAAAATATCCATGGGGAGCCATCTAAGGGCGAATCAAACCCGCCATTTTTAACGAGATTGGTAGTGCAAGGGTTCGCTTTGCATTTACACTTTTGGGCGCTCGCGCCAGTGACGGCAAAAGCTGTGAAAACAGCAAAAAATTTGGGGAACAGCATTTCGATGTGTTAGATACCAGTGGTTAAGGGAGGAAGGGATACACAAATCTCATCGAGGAATCGGTTGAAGAAATGCGAGGACACGAGAGGGCCTTCAAATATACAACAAGGCAAGTGGACAAGGGGTTACAGCTTTGAAAGTGAGAGGCTGGGTAGCGTACTGATCAACAGAAAGTATAATTCTTATTCGAACTATTGGCTTGGTCTAAAACCTTGTTCTCTTTTTCGTTTTTTTCATATTCTCCAAACTCAAGTATGCTGTGTACGGCAACAGCAAGCACGAATCAGCAGTTGGGAATTAAGCCAATACTAAACTGAACAGAAAGAACGAAAGAAAAAGCGGCTCCGGCATATCTTGCCCCGGACTTGGATCACATCATGGGCGACCACTACGGATTGGACTATGGCGCAGATATACGCAGATCTAGCCTGCTGCTGGACAAAGGTAGCCTACCGCCTTGGTCAAGATCGATGTTGGTCTGGAACGCTCTACAAGGCCGGGATGCCGCTCAACAGTCTCAGGGTGCATGAGCTTGATGGTTCATTGGCTCTGTGATTTATTTGCGAACAATAAGATGCATCCAGATGGATCTATACGTCATAAAACGCCAGCATCTGGTAGCTCAGGGAAGTCACGATCGAACATGAAGGATCCAGGAGGCTGGGGATTACCCCAGAAAGGATAAGCCAGGGGCTTTGGCTAAATCCCACCCCCACGGATTGATGGATTGTTTACTTTCGGTGGTTCTGTTTCGTAATCGCATCCACGCAAGCTTTTTCTTTCCAGATTTGGGCAAACTTTAAGATGTGACGACATCGGAGGGGTTGGGTTTATGTATAACTGTACCGTTATTGAATAGCTAGAATCGAGACGTACTGACCTCAATATTGACATCATATTAGACACCGCCGTTACGTCACCAACGGGTTTAAGAGATAAACCAGATTCAAGATAACCCTCCTTCTATCTGCAAATCTAACACGCACCATGAGACCTAGATAATCTTAATAGTTTCTACGGGTGAGAGTTCGAAAAAAAAAAGTGAAAAACAGCAATGGGAGATGTGAGACCTGACATCTCAACACAATGGAGACGAAAGGCAAAAAAAAAAACAGCAAAGCTAGCCCAAGGCTAGATCCATGCAGAAGGAAAACTCTATAAGCCTTCATCTCGATAACTCGATTGCCGTCATCTGTATCTTGTCCTGGTGAGAGTTTGAGTATAAAGTAAAAACCAGCAATAGAAGATGCCAGACCCGACATCTCATCCCAATGAAGACGAGAGGAGATTCACCAGGTGTAGCTTTTATCACCCGATCAGAGAAAAGGGGTTGGTAAAATCTCTCCTATGAACAATAAAGTTCGGATTCTTGGCATCGTGAATATCACTGTCCGTCACAGCCCTTGTATAAGCCTACAAGCAACGCTTCTCAATAAGGTTAGGGAGTGCGCGCGTTGCGCAGAGACAAGAGGGAAACCACGGCCACGGCCAAAATAGTGCATATCCACTCATGAGAGGGGAACGAGGCAGAAGCACATAGTAGGAGTGGAATGAGAACCATGAAAATGTATTCCCAACCTCCTTCCCCCACTGCCAGCCTTCCACCATTACAGCCCTCTTGCCTTAGTGTGTTGCCTAGTTTCTCTTTGTGCGGGTCGTTAGGTTTTCCAAAATAGCAATATGAACGCAATCGTTAAGGAGAATAAAAGGCAAGGTTTTGCTATCACCAGTTTATGAACAGGAAAAGAATAAGCACCAAGCTTGAGTCCTCCAGCTTCTGCCTATGATGTTGTGGCTTGAAAGGGCATCTTTCTCATATCCTTTGTAACCAAACTCTTGAGTATTGAATATCGTCATCAAATCTTCATACAGTCATAAAAGGGTATCAATATTTATATCATGTCTCTCCGTCGCTTTGAAATCCAACAAATCAATCAATAGTTATACGGCTCATCCGATGCTGTTCGTTGACGGGACCTGGAGAACCCATCTCTTGGTCATGGTCATTCTTGCTTCGCTTCCCAAAATAATCTTTAAGTCCCTTGCCGAAGTTGTGCATGCAGTATATCGCGTTGATGATGGTTATGACGATGAGAACAATCGTGATCAAGGCGAATGCCGCGAGGGGTTTTTTGACCGCCTTGTAGTATTCTTGCCAAATAGTGTCATTAGACAAGACTCGGGCGGACTTGAAGATGAAATAGGACAGTGCGCCGAGATAGAGGATGATTGTAACAACCATGCCCCATCTGATCTCCCTACGCGTGCAGAAGGCGGCAGCGGCCAGGATGATGAGCGTAATGGGCATGGCGGCGATGGTTAGACCAAATTCAGGATCGCGGCGACCAGTGACGACTGAGACGAGCTGAATCATGAACCCAATCACGAAGAAGAAGTCAAACTTAAGCAGTCCAATATAGATCTAGATAGCGGTCAGAATCGTCCTGTTAATCAGAGGGTATGATGTAAGTCCTCCGTACCTGATAGCAAAGAAAACGCTTCTTCATCTTGTAGTCAGCGCCAATAATTTTAAGCACGCTCCAGGAAAACTCCTGGTAGAGTTTCCAGGCCGCAAAGACCATGATGATTGTGGCCGTGCTGATGAGAGCGCAAATGGTAAACAAATATGGCTTGGTTGCTTCGAACACCTTGTCGGGGTCGATTGGCTTTTGCAATTGGTTATTCTCTTTCGCGAGAACGAGTGCTGTGTAGACTTGGTCGATCTGGATTCCCGTGTAGATTGCGAGTGCAAAGTTGGCAAAGCAGGCCCCCATGATTTGGATGGTGTTCTTGGCCCGAAGGGCGTCCCATACGAGTACATTCTCGTAAAGGAAGCCAAAGATGAAGAGGGGTAGGAACGTCGGGATGATCTCGACCTGCTTCTTCACATTGTTCTGGATGCCGAGCTTAAGCCTCGACTCAAGCTTCACATAAACGTATCTATGAATGGGAAGCATTAGCATACCTGTTTAATCGGGCTGTATGGGCTATTAGAGATGGCCATTGTCTACTTACACCTCAAAACTTAGGCAAATGATTGCCTGTACAAGAGTAACGGCGGCGAAGGTGACAGCCCATTTCCTGCTCAGAAAGCTGTTCCATTCCGCACGTCGCTTAGATATCGGCTTGGATTTTTGCAATGGTTCCTCGACAGGGCTATCTCTCCGAGGCCAGGAGGGGCGAAGAGATCCCAGCGTGAATTGACGGTGTGGTTGGCTTGCAGCTGATTCCTGATACACAGGCTGCTCGTACGCGGGCATTTTGTTGAGGAACGACGCTGTGTCGTGCCCATTATTAATATTCGGACTTGCCATCTTTACTCGGCTGAGGCAAGGTATGCGACTCGAGGGTGAAAGTAACGACTCTGGCTGAAGTGTTTGCAGGCTGAGCCTATGGCGATGGGTTATACATGGACGAATTGCGGGGAGGAGATACTCGACTTATGCCGTTGGTCTCACTACAGTCGACTTCGAAACAACGGCGCGTATCTATGTCGTGGTGAGACAGAGGGGGGTTCCTCCACGGGCAATCGGCATATTTCAACCTAGCCACGAAAGCAGCATCATCACCCACAAGCGCCCCATTCGACGACCAAAGTCCCAAGGGGCGTTGGGGCGTTGCAGTAGGCTGTCAGAGTGGCAGATTTGTGCAGCCGTGGTAGGCAGAAGTGCCAAAAAGAGTGGCTCAGTCGGTGGTCAGCCCCAGAGCTGAGATGGAAAGGATTGGCACTTCGCCACTCTCTTTGCCTCCCTGCCAGCGATCCCTCCCTCAACCCCTGTTTTTAGCAACGGCTAAAGTCCTGATTTGCAAAGCAATGCCACGCCCAGCGTCATTGCCTCGTTTATCTTCAGAGGCCATGCCGATGCACATCGGTGGATATCGAGTTACCAGCATCTCCTTAGTTCAGCCCTGTCTAGATCTCGGCAACGCAAATCCGTGAGAATATTCAATTTAGAAATGTAAGCGGTACTAATTCCTCATGAGCTTAGCCAAGATTCCTTGGTTGATCGCTGTAGTGAATCAATCACCCCTAGCTCAGGGCCCAGACCCTCACTAGCTACTAGCCAGGTACCGGTAAATGCCTTCAATTGCAACCATCCGTTAATAGATTTTACCATTTTTAGGCGAATCCGTCATTTCGACAACGGTGAAAGAGAACCTAGCAGATAGAGGGACCCACAGTCAAACTCGACGACGGGGAATTCCAACGATGCGGCCCTACCGCCCAGTTGTGACTGCTCTTTTATCATAGCCGAAATCATGCTTAAGGATTTCGTGAAGTGAAGACGACCACGCGCAAGTCTTGCTCGATCAGGTGGCTGTGTACTAACAATATTGAATCGGCTGTCCTACGCTAAGTCAAGTGTGACAACCTTTACTGCCGCAGTTGATGTGGCATTGCATTATTGGAGTATGCCATGGTTGAACCTGGAGCCCATCGCCGCTCTATTCTTGCACCTAGTGTCGAAGCAATTGACGAGGAGTTGGGAGCAATGATAACACCAGCACGATGAGTGAGCAAGTGGGTGACAGATGAAATTAGACAGCACAATTCTACACCACGGATTTGATTCCCTTATAACGCAACCTACGATGGGTTCTCCATACAAAAGACAAGCAATTCAACTCTGATTCCCACCATCCTTATGTTGATCAAAGACTGAACGATGATACTCCGCATCCTGCTTCGCATGGTCAAAATAAGTTTCATGTTGCTGCCTGGAACCGGTCGTATAATATCCATACGGATGGTTATTGAGATAGGTATATCGCCCACTTGCTGCACTGTACCAACCATAGTCGTCAGTCATTATTTCAATAAAATTTAACACTGATACTGACAGTTGGGTCTCCAAGGCAGCCTCTGCAGCTGAATAAGATAGGGAGGAGTGTTGTCTCGCGCTCAAGGTGCTTATATCCGCAGACCCTGCCTGTCGTGTATACTCGGTTCGGTACGCGTCAGTGGACGCGTTAGCCTCCTGTGTACGAGCTGAATAGGTCTGATGATCCTTCTGAGCCTCTGCCGAAGGGTATTGATCTTGATGGGTGTTGGGGTAAGTGGTCTGCCGAGTAGCTGTGTAGTTTTGGCTAACGTATTGGCCTTGAGGTAGCTTTGGTGTTGGTTTGCCCCCAATCCAAGTACCACTACCTTGGTTCTATAAAGAATTATTAGGATACAAGCAAGAAAATAGGGATGGTCGTGGCAGGGATTTTTCATACAGTTTGGTTGGAAGCCATGTTGGAATAAACAAAGTTGTTCGACCAGGAATAATGATGTGGGAGCTAATGAATGTTGATAGATTCCATAGGAAAGACTTCCAGAGAGGGATTAAAGGCACCTTTATACAGTTGCAAAACCCAACCAACATTGACCTATGCAAGGCGCATAACATGATCAGGCTTCTGCACAGTTGTGGCATCGAAATGGATGCACACCATAATATGCATTAGCAGCCAGGCGCATATAACTAGCTATGTAGCTTGTCAGATAATGCCGCTGCCGCCTCATTATTCTAAGCGATACCATCCAACCAATTTTACCCTCCCACCAAGTTATTTTGCCAGATCAAGCTTGTTGCAGGTCTAGGCACCAGCTGATCCTGAGGCCAGTATTAAGAAACCAATCAAATCCAGTAGTATACTGTTGATGATGTGTTAATAAATAAGCACTAGTAGGTATGAAAAGGTCACATGGTTGTCGAATGTGCAACTCTGATAACACTTTCAGGTCGCCTCGCTTATTGTGGCGTCTGAGCTGAGTACATGCATGAGACATTTGATGCACTATTGTGTCTCACAAAGATGATTGATTTCACGTGATTGATGCCCAGCAAACACGTGATTCATACCCAGCTGAAATAGTGGTGAATTGAGACTCTCAAGGCTCAGTCATCCATTCTCATCACCACTATTGATTTATCCGCACCACCAGCAGTAGCGATGGCAGGTCATAGCATAGAAAAGCTGTCGCCCGAGCTACTCTATCTCATTCTTGAGTCGCTTGCCTCTCCACAAGATCTCCTCGCTCTGATCCTCTCTTCCAAAACATTTCACACACTCTTTTCGCAGAGCCGCGAAAGAATTGTGAGCCAGGTTCTTTGCAATAGCTATGGCGACAATCTACAACAGGCCTTGGGTGCCTTTTACGCTTCAACAATCCACGATTCCAATGATGACACCTGGACCTCTGAACAACGGCGCGAGGTGGAAGCGCTTCTAACGAACTACCATAACCGCCACCTGGAACTACCGACTAATTTTGAGGATATTGTTGAGATGTGCCACCAGTCTGCCTTGGTGGAGAGAGTCATCGGCCATCATTCCAACTACGCTTCTCTATTCTTCGCCGAGGGCCCCGAAACATCCTCCAGGGACAGTTCACATTGCCTTGATAACCCTATTGGACTTCAAGATCCCCCCCTATTTTTGTCCACTGTCGAAAAGGGCCGGATCCGCAGAGCCTTTCTTCACTTTGACATGTATTGTCACCTGTTCCCACTATCCCGGTTCGGTATCTCTCCGCAACCCTTTGATGCGACAGGACAGTCGGAATTGTTTCTCTCAAAAATTTCCATGTGGGAGGTTGAGGAATTATGCGCGGCACAGCAATTTATCTGCAACATATTAGATCAGATTGTTCAAACACTGGAGGATGAGTTCGTGCAAGAGGTCCTTCTCCTACCAAAGTTGGATGCACCTCCTGATGGGGAATTCGATCCCTCGGTTACGGATACGGGCAACGCTCTGGAGCTATTTGGTTTGGAATTGTTCACTTCTACTTCACCACAGCAGCGATTCGACATACTATTTCAAGTTTCATCCCAGGGTTTGCGTTCCCTGGAAGACATTATGATTGGTAATGCGGCCACGCAGCGACAACATATTTTGAAATTCTGGCCTTGGCGAGGAGATTTCCTATGGCAAGGAGTTCGAACGCTCCTTACGGACAGCGCAGCTCGGAAGTCTGTCAAAGACCACCCTTTTGAAGGCGAGGATCGGCTAGATGGTTTCAGTGGCGGTTGGAGCTTCGTATCAAACCGGAAACTCGTGTCAAACCGCAACTCTTGGGCCCCAAATCGGGGAGACCAGGCCGGCTGGGGGAACGCGGCAGATGCTGGATTTGCTTTCTGGAATTATGCCCGAGGCGAAGCTTTGAGCGTGAGCGGTAAGGCGAAGCTTCCTCAAAAGGAGAGAGCCAGCGCAGAGAAGAGATTATGGGGTCATCACGTTGCCTTTTCAGAATTCCGCGACATCTTGGAAAAATACAGCCCTGAAGATTTCCTCCCTAGATAAACAGTCAGAGATGAAACTCTAGAATGGACTGGCTAGAGATAGGAACGAGGAGATGCGCGAAGGTTCTGATTGGTTAATGATTCGACTTGTTTCCTAGGGACAAGATAATTGGATTCTGATATCCAAGAATAAAGACACTTATGAAAGAAGAGGCTGATATAAGACGACCGTCTTTCATCGCTTGAGCAAAGAAACGACTACATCGTCGAGGGTCGTTCAATACTCCAAGATCACCCCTCAGCAATGCCGTCTTCTTGGATGAGTCCACCTACTTTCACAATTCGCGGGAGAGGGGGTCGGAGGAGATGGAACAGATCAAGGCTGCAGTTTGTAAAGCCTGTGTCTTCATCGCTCTAGGCCACGGCGAAAGACACAAAGGGCCCATGTGCATTGCTCAGGCAAATCCGGTTTCACTTCTTATTTATGGACTGTGTCGACTTACTTAGAATAGTAGTCACATATTGACGAGACGGGTACGAGTATTCACTATCGCAGCAAGCTCAAATGCGCCTAAGTCGAGCGGGCCTATAGGAAATTGGCCAAGCCGATTCACTGAAAGCTGTGGCTCCTTCATCTTTTAGAAACATTGGTAGACTAAATTGTTAAGAACATGCCCGAGCTTTACTCTGCTACTGCCAATACTCTCTTTTCGGCTATTGATACCCGGGCGATTTCAAACGCCCAGACACTCAGCAACCGTATTGCAAACATATCTCGACGAGCATGTAGTAGCCATTGCAGAAGTATAGTAATAATCTACCTATCAAGAGAATTCTAAACTAAGGGGCCTAAACTATTCCGCAACCCATCCCAATGAAGTACACTGAAAATCACACCCCTGGAGACCCAAGTATCGGAGACTGGTCCGTGAGGGGCACAAATCAGTGCACGTCGGACAAGATGCCGAAGGGCTTCAAGGCATAAATAACCCAAATTGCAGGACGCGATCCTGCGACTCGTCTAACGGGCGCGATGTCCGTCAAGCGGCTTATTAGGAATGCTACAAAAGTGATTGACATTCTGCCTGGTCTATTATTCAATTCAAGGCCTCTTCTTTTGCGGAAATTTCGCTGCTGGAAAATCGAGGATATGATACCTTGGAGTTTTGTCAGCCAGCAGCAGCCTGACAGGATAGCAAGATAGACTCTATCATTCAACATTCTAAATCAACGCCCAAATGCGCTAATCTTCCGAGTTACAAGCCAAGCTCATAACAAGCAACGAATATATAATCGCGTAGTCCCTGTGTGGCATAAGTCACGACGATGGAAAGGCAGCATCTATCACACTATTGATGCATTGAGGTCAAGATGCTTTCGCTCTGTTGTTATACTAAATACTTTGGTCTGCTACTATAACCTATCGATAATAGTCCTAGCGACAGTTAGCTTTGTTATTTCACGAGAAAAGGGTGGGCTGCGCTGTCATTAGCTTTCATTTTAGAATACTCACCGGAATAATAGTATACTCGTCAATCAGCAGCTTGCCCTCGACAGTTCTAAAGTGCATGCGGGCGGCCCATGTGAAGGTTCTCTCGCTGCCCTCGAGATCGACATTACGACTGCGGCCATGCAGCATGATTTCATCGCAGTTGGGCCCAAAGGGGAAAACCTTGTACACTGTGTGATCTCGACTTTTGAGTGGCTTCCAGCTCTCCTTGCCGCTGTCGATGAGGGCTGAAGACTGTGTCAGTCGTAAATCAGAGTTACTCATTTATTACAGCCACTCACCCTGCCGGCCCTTAATCTCAGCAGCCTCTTTCTTGAATACCGCGTCCTCGGTGAAGTGCGCGCCCCATTCGTCAATCTTATTCTCATCCATTGTCATGTATAGTGTAGCAAGCAAAGACTTGACAGGCGCGGACAGGACGCTATCGTCGCTCTGGAAGGTTTTCGGAGAAGGCGCCATGATAATGTATGTGCTGCCAGGTCTCAGTGTAGAAATCGCGTCAGCCAAATGATTGATGAGAGGAGCAAAATGGAAATAGGAATGAGCTCTTTCAAGCCATTTTAATAAGTGTAGCAGAGCTGGTCATGTCAATGTTACAGTGGGGATTTATCGGGGGACATGTCCGCCTCCCAACATGTATCGGCCGGCCGTGTCCGGCACTGTTCCCCGACGACATGGGCCACTGCGGAGTGCAGTATGCTATAATAAACTGCGGGCTTCGGTTGGAAAACGCCCTTGCACGTACTTTAGTCGGACTTTTCAGACCGACATCTACACTTCGGTACATTTGACTGACGGGAAACTCACACCTGGCCGTGAACTGCGTCCTGGAATGGAGACCACCCTCGGATATCCCTTCATCACCCACGGTTGAATCTTTACACCCAGCATTGTACTCGAGCCCATCTAGATATGTCGCTGGGCTGCGTCTCAGCGCCGACCGGAAACGAGATCCACGCCGCAAGCCAGGACGATTCAAGCAGTGTCCAGCTCTTGGACTCGGCACCGGGTATCTCAAGCATGCAAGTGGTGCTAGGGAGAAGGATCAAATGCATGTGGAACTTCCTTTATTGTGCGATATATATCCAACATAATAAGTGATGCTCTTATGGCGTCTCAAGAAGGAACACTGGGTATGTCAACGAATGGTTTCCATGCCGATACAGCAATGTTAACAATTAATCAACGGGCCATCCACCATGCTATCACGACAGAGTCCACGCTTCCATCGCCCAACGAAGCCGAACCGGCTCAGGCCAGCGGTGGAGAGATTCAGTCGACACATGCAGCTAAAAGTAGTGTCGCGACGACCCCAGTGACCAAGGCGGAGTCCATCCACCTGTTTAAGAAACCAATATAGCCTCTACTTTACAAACCTATTTTTAATCTAATCAGTTATCACTGACTGGCTAATCACTTACCCAAGGTAGTTATTTATATAATTGGCGCTATCGCATCTTATCTATAGGGCGAGTATGAACTCGGGTGCTAGATAGTAGTAGAGGAGGAGTAGGGGTAGCCTCGAGCTTATGACTTCCTACTATAGCGGAAACTATGTATTCAGCTAGAATTGGCCCATCGTCGCTTGCTTCTACACTCCTATGACAGCATATTAAATTAGGGTATTGAGACCAGAAAAGCAAGGGTAAAAGTAGTGAGGACTAATTTCTTCTGATCCAGTGATCGCATGTGAAAATTCAAGAAAAAATACATTGGATGAGAGGGAGGCTTATACTGAAGAGCCTCATTTTTTTACTTTATTTTCGAGAAGATGCAAATCTACGTGCAAGTCTAAAAAAGCCTCCTGCGACCCTGACGGCCAATCTGCCGCATCCCAGACTAGTAGACGCGCGTTGTTGCACTTGAGCCCGTTGAAGTTTCATCGAGAGCTGAGTGTGACGTAAGGTCCAGCTGGAGACAAGGACGGATCTGGCACATTCCCTTGAGAAGTGGAGGTTGGAGGGACACTGTCGGCTGAAAATGACGCACGGCGGGGCAAGGGGAGGGTATGACGTGGTTGTCTTTATGCCCCGTTCTGGAGCTATGGAGATCTTGGAAAACCCCTGTCCAGCGTTATGGCGTAATGGGCCATCAGATAAGACGGCTTGAAGTTGAAGAGTATATTAGACAGCACTCATCCGCCTACTCTCACCCATCACCATCTTCAATCACTCAGCAAGCATCCAGTCCTATACCATTATATACCACCACTACCTATACACTTCAACAAACACACTTATCTCAACAATGGATTTCGTCAAGAAGGCCGCTTCCAGCATGGGCAACAAGGACACCAACGCCCAGGCCCAGGCTCAAGGAGGCCAGCAGGACGACTACGTTGATAAGGGTAAGCTTATCTCGATTGCACCCGCTTACCCATGACGGGACCAACCAGTTTGACTACGCCCAATGCTAACCCTTGATTCATTAAAGCCTTCGGTCAAGCCAACAAGAGCCAGGGCTGGGGCCTCAGCAGGGAGAAGCAAGAGAAGATCACCGACGGTGGCCGCCAAGCCTATGAGAAGCTCACTGGGTATGCCACATTTGCTCAAGCTCCTTCTTACACCCCCCCTTCACCTGGGAACCTTTACTAACCATATATTTTCCTAATTTAGCAACAAGGTGGACTCCAAGATCTCCAACTAAGATCTCAAATGCCCATCACGACGACGATTGTATTTCTTAATTTAGTCTCTTAATGACCTACCGCAGACCACGTGCTAGCGATAAATCAAATATCTTTTTTTTAATTAGATGAACATACCTTATTACGAGCTTACCATGCGTGTGATTTATCCCGTGATTTATGGTAAACACAGCCAAGAAACTGCCAACTTGACAGGTACGGATGAGGAATACCAATGCATCTGATGCGGTGTCGGAGAGCGTTTTATCTAACCTAAATTGATGATCGCAGCGTCTGGACAACAAGATGGTATGGATACTGAAAATCACTACAAAGCTCACATAATACGTTCAAAATGGGTGGGCAGTTCAATCATGTCAATGAAGCATATTCCTCTGAGGCCATATTTGCGCCAACAGTCACCAGCCTCAGTTCAGCCAACCACTCTGTACACAATGGCGTTTCAACAGTATCCCAAAGCTCAATCTCAGTTTGAAATCCTGCTTCGAATCGGCAACAATGTGCTCCTTGGGAAACGCCGTATCAAATTACAAGACCAACGCTGAAAATCTCCTGGTCGGGGGCTCCTATAGGTAGAACAAGGGGCAGTCCTTGAAAGATTTCGTCCACCGATTTGACGAGGTCAATATCATGCTCGAGGGCGAGGCCACTACCACAGGTTCTCAAGGGAAGATAGCGACTGGCAAGCCTGGGAATGTCATCTTCTTTCCAAAGGGCAAGTCGTTTACCTTGGATAACCCCGACTACATCATGGCCTTCATCGTTAACCAGAGGCCATCGCTCGACGCTTCCAATGTATAAAGGAGATGATAAGAAGGATAGCAGATAAGATAAGAATAGAGTGGGTTTTGCTATTCATTGTTTTCAGTCAAATGCATGTATAGGCCGCGAAAGCTGCATCCTGCCTTGGACCAGATGTTAAAATTCCATGGGGCTGACTTGTTGCCGCTGGACCCAGAATTAGAAGTATTAGCTAGCAGATCTCCTGGCGTTTAAGATGGCTATTAAAAGAGTAGAAGCACAAGGTAAATGGAAGGGGAAAATGGGAAAGCAGAAGTACTCGACCAAGTCGAAATACGGCACAACTACGCGCGAGGTTCTATGAGTGGCTTGCCGGCGGCGTGTGCTGAGGCTGTTTGGGACTTTCACGCACAGTGTCCCCTGTTAGGAAATCATGCCACACCCAATATAGCCCCCTCGCGATCAAGTTCATAAGATACACACATAGAGCGGGTACGATTAGAGCTTGGGAAAGAGGGAAGTAAAAGGCGGATAGATGACAACAATACACGGGCACGCAATGGCCTTTGATCAATCTTCCCACAGATCACTTGTTATTCCCTCGGAAATGTGCGCAATGAAGACTAACAGCCCTCAAAGAAATATTAGTTACAATGGACACCCTCTATCAACTACATGAATCCTAGCATAATCACTCCGTCTCAATTACCACCACTGCTGGATTGAGAACCTGTTGATCGGACCATCTCAGCTGCACATCTAAAGACGTCAGGCTTCAACCCCTTGGTGTTGCGTCCTAGTAGTTCGTTCTGCCATTCCCAGCATATGCCCCAAGCTCCACATCCTCTCCCCGGCCGTCTGCAAGCCCCCTCACCTGCTCTTCTACAGGTAAATCACCTCCGACACCTGCCCAGAAGGCGTGATGTTTGTCACGAGGGCCCCAGGCCCAGCCACTGCCCACGCTGATAGGAGTCTGGTAATAACTAAACCCCAAGAAGGCAGTGAGCAATCCAACGAGGAAACTCACAATAACGTCGAAGCCGTGATGCATGAAGTTGAACCACCGAGAAGCGGCAATGAATACAGAAAGGAAGATTGGTATGAGGCACAGGGCAAGAAGATAAATCGGAGGGGCGGCAGCCTGTGTACGAGAGAGTCGAGGTCGAGAAGTGATTGTCCGCGTATGAGAGTCGTACTCTGACCCATGATGATCTGTCTTGGCTACCCAAGAGTCGAGCAACCCGGCAGAGTACGGCGATCCGGAGCGTGGGAAAAAAGGAGTCGTGATCCTCAGTTTGCTGGCCAGAAACAGAGACAGGTAGGTGAGCCCAGCGGCGCTACACGACGAATGGCCACTTGGGAAACTGCGAAAGGCCTCATTCAGTAGCTTCGTGTCGGTCTGTCGGCAGATGCTTGCTGCATATAACTTTCCGCTTCCTACAAGATGATCCGCCGCGTTTGCTAGATCAGGGTCGCAAACTGACAGCATGTAGGGTCGAGGCTTTCCGAGCAGGCCCTTGGCGGTTTCGGCGATAAAAAACGCAGTGATCACGGATAATGCGAGTCCCATCCACCCAACATGAATCTCCCATAGCTTTCGTCTGATTATAGTCGATCGGCTCGTTGGCTTTGAGAAGCTGTTTGTGCCAGGGACGAGAAGGAGGACGAAGAGGAAGATGATGACGAGAGGAACAAGTGCGCACAGGACCATGGCCAGCCAGATCGGAACAGTCTCGCCTGATCGAGGAAATCTGGAATTTGTAAGCTCGAATGCACAAGATCACAGTCTTCTGAGCTGAGATCGGAATACCCACGTTAGGCTTTGGTCCTCTAGCGAGAATGGTCTCTTTGTGGGAGACAAGCGCCCGAGAAGTACTGCCGCGATGACTACGACGACCAAAACCAGCCAGTCAAAGGCATATGATAATATGAGCCGCTTCGAGAACGAAGCGGGAGTCTGGTTGTCATATCTGTCCATCTTGCGATAGGTGTGCATACCGGTTTTAGAGATTTGTCGAGGGAGCAACCAATACACGGCCGTGCGATCGGAGGTATATGAGCTTCAGCACAGCGACCAAAGGATGATACAGTACGCGTCACCCAGAAGCTGTAGGGCACGAGCATGAATCCCCAATCTGACTAGCTGCAGCCCCTAGAGGGCAAGCCATCGAATTTTCGGCCCCTAATCTAAGCCTCGCTGTCATACGTTCACCCTTGTTCGGACCAACAAAAGATGTTTCGCTCTAGACGTGGGGAAGGGGCCAAGCCACGGCAGTGATTAGCGACGGAACAGCCAGATTGGCAGTTGAGAGGCAACGGAAGACGTAACCATTTCTAGCCCGTTTTGGAACTGTGTTCCATGTACGGCCAAGTAGAAGGGGAGGAGTCTCAAGGTAGATGTACTCATATTTAGACTTGAATTAGGCATGTTTTCTTCTTTTCAGGTCATGTAGCTATGTATTTCCACGGACTCAGTCTACGACAACTCGCCATCCATTTTAGCTGTTTATGCACTGGGTTCATGATGTATTCAGTTATCTAAACATCAGTTCAGCTCAGCTACTCATTTCCATGTCATCCGCTGGGTCTTGACCTCATGATTATGAGTTAAGGAATTTTGGTTGACTCGGGCATGGTACTTTCGAAAGATATTCTGCGCCACGTTCAATGGGGCCATGGGGCCACTGTCCGAAGGAATTCCTTACTCACCCTTGCAAGAAGCAGTGCCATTCGGGCAGACAGAGCGTTCCGTGATCTCCTGTCGCCCATGGGTATCAGCTACAAGGGGCCAACAAATCAGCGCATGGGCATTGGTAATACGGCATCTCGTGTTACCCCCTCATTCCCCGATAGTACTCTGCGAGTCCCTTAGTTGTTAGATCCAAAATGCAAACACAACCTCTTCCTCGTGGGCGCCTGCTCGGTGACGGCTTACCTAGCCTAGGAAGACTGGAGATGGACCAATTGGTCAAGAAGGCGTTTGACGATCTCGATTTTGAAAGTCATGCTATAGCTTCTATGTTAGGGTCTAGACCGTGAAGAGGTACATGATGTTCATGTTAATCCCCGGCCGTGTAATGATGAACGGCTTTGTAGTGTAAGTGGAGAGTCAAATCCGAGAAGTCCGACATGGTGACCCTGGTTTGCTCCACTTCTCTGTTCTGTGGGCCTGATACGCCTGGACCGTCTCGACTTCACCATGACTCTCACCAGAAGATGCTCGTAACTCCGAACGAGACTAGGGAGGTTCCTCCCACTTCCCATAAGCCAATTTCAAAGCTTGAAGAGAGAGCTGGAATCTCTGCCCACGTGCTTCGACTTCCGAGAACTTCGAGGACGAATCAAGTCGAGGCGGTTGGGGCTGCGGAGTCTTGGGTCTTCTTCCTTTCTCCATGTACACGAGATATCTGACGAAACCGGTCTAGAGTCCGGAAATAACAGCTCTGCATTGAGTAATTACCCGTATGACTTTTCCCGTATCTTCATACTGTGGTCATTACATTACCGCAGACTCTTATTGTGAAGAACACAAACGAAAAGAGTTCCCTTGGCGACGAAGAACGAGTTAGACAGGTCACGAGCTAGATAACTTGTTGATGAGGCCACGGTCACAGGGCTACTGCGAAAATAGGATAGATAGCAATAGCAAAGGGCACCTTGGCAAAGTATGAACTTTATAATGTACAGCATTGGATCACAATTCGCGTTGATTCATAAAAGATGTCTAGTGGCAATGAACTCCATTACCGAAGGGGATATTGCTAGCATCGTCCGGGCTACCACAAACGCGTCTTGTATATCACCCTTGGTTGCTGTGCACGCGACTCCAAATGCTATGGCCCCTACAACCATGATAAATAGAAAGAGAAAGTAAATACTCTTCCAGTGCTAGCCTTCCTCGAAATAAAGCCCCCGCCCGTACTCCTCGGCTTACCAAGAAGTGTTGTTCGCAGAGGGCTTCAAAGGCCCCGTTGCCAACTTGGGCATTTGGCGAGGAAGGTGGCTCTTGGGAACTTGGAAGGAATGTGGCCAAAGGAAGAAATGGGTCAGCTTTCGGGAGCTTCGTACTGGCCGGTAGCCGACTGGGTATCTAGGCGCTAGGTCGCACTAGCATTCCCTAATTCGGCCCTCTCCTTAGGAGGAATACATATGTTCGCAGGATAGCGAGAAACATGGTCTTTATGGCATGGATATCGGGAATTTGGTAGGAGTCCAGGTTAAACTACAGGATGTTCAAGTCACTTGTTGTATTTCTCGTTTCTTCAGGCCATTTCGAAAATATACTCTGCTAGCACTTAATTTAGTCAAAGATACAGCCTTGACATGTCGAAAAGCGAGCCATGACCTAGGTGACCCTTCGATGCTTAGTATACTTCCGCCGTAAGAAACGGAATAGCTCCTTGTCATTTGTGATATTGTACCTAAGATTGGTTTGAATATAGTTATTAAGATAGAAGGAAAAATAAATGAACTAGTAAATAGCCCTTTGAGCTATCTAGAATTCCTCTGAATTGGCTGTTAATTTGCTGTTATGTCAGATAAGGTGTGTGTGTGTGGACCGGTTTAGGTTTTAGTGTCTGATTTCTTATGTCACCCTCTTGGTGAGATGAAGCCACCATCTGCATTTTGGCGCCGGCCTTTGTTTGCGACGCAAGACCTGGTTGTCGGAGGTTTGATGCACGCTAAACCCCCTTCCCTACGTACTTGTGGTCTGTGCCAATTAACAGTTATCACAGCCTTCCCCTGTTGACAGACTTATGAGTAGAACAATTGTGTTAAAAGTTAAGTTACTTCTACACAAGTCAGACCTGATCGTGCCTGGTAGCGGACTAATGTTTACCCGTTCCATGATATGGGTAGCTCCAACATCCCTTCCAGACATGACTCAGCTCGGAATATATTTTATCCGGCAAGCTGGGAAAAGCTACCCACCCTACACCCGTAAAGTCCGCTGATGATGAGCAGTGACGGTGCGAGCCTTTGCTAGAGCTTAGGTAAGAATTTGTTTGGTAATTGCCTTAGGTTCGAGTAATTTCTTTGAGTCTGTGGAGAGATATCCATGCGTTGAGAAAATAATGATCATTGTTGTGAACAAGGTGATCTTGTATCATTACAGACGACGCTTTATTCTTCGATGTGATCTGAGCTGCCTTTGATCCTTTTGACAATTACCCTGTAGCATTGAGCGTTGCCAAGCCACAGCCATCAGCCACAACCACGTCCTCAGCCACAGGCCATCGTAGGTTTGGGCGATTCAATGCCTGTGGAATGTGCCCTAAAGCCGCCTAAAGGGCCTAAAGGGCCTAAAACCGGCGCATGACCTCACCACTTGGCAGTGCATCATTTCTTGGAAGGCTACGTCATCAGCCTTTCAGCTACAGTGCTGGATGCGCGTCACATTCATCATTGCCAAGCGACAGTCATTTTTGCTTTTATTCACCACATTGTCACCCAGCTGAATCATTTCCGTTTCTCTCCTCTTTTTCTCCCTCACACACCTCATCTTCGATATCCAGCATCGTTTCAAACCATCCACCCATCCTTGCTATTGTTTCGCTACCCCGCCTCGGTCGCGACGACAACCAAACCGATCATCCCTAATTAATTTCGTTTCCCGCCAAGAGCTTGCTGGAATCTGATCACACCACTGGCACAGCCTATTCTTCTTACTCCCCCAAAAATCATATTCAACCGGCATCATGAAGACCGGTTCCTTTGGCATCCTCACCATCATCCACGCCGTTCTGGCGCTGTTCCTCATCATTGAGCTCGGTCTCGTCAGCTATGGTCAGTACCCGAACCCTTTGATGCCCAACCCTCCCTCCCGTCTTTCCATCTGCTAACATCTCCATAGTTGTCGACATCACCTGGCGCTGGTCCGCCGTCCAGTTCCTCCTCTTCACCGTTGTATGGTCCATCCTCGTCCTCGTCTACCTCGTCTTCGCGCCCGCCTTCCTCCCGAGGGCTCACATCCCCATCGCCGTGCTCGCCGTTCTCGGAATCACCATGATTTTCTGGTTTGCCGGTGCCACAGCTGTCGCCGCCGACATCGGTGTCCCCGACTGCAGTGGCAGCCGTTCTTGCCAGGTCACCCAGGCCTCTGTCGCCTTCGCATACTTCATCTGGGCTGGGTTCCTCGGTCTCCTTGGCCTCGAGGCCATGGCTTACTGGAAGTCCAGAGGACCTGCCGCCAACGCCGATAAGGTCTAGAGGCACTGCATCAGATTGTCGCGCGCACACTAAGAGTAGACTCGCTTGCCTGATCAACCAAAAGACTATTTGATGTTGAGCTGGGCCGAGTCTTGATATCCTCTGCACGCTGGAATGCGATATTGGAAATGTGAAATCATAGAGCAGCATGCTCAACAAGATACCCTGGTGGTTTGGAGAGTATACCCGCGCAAGCTGGGGGTCGTCGGAAGGAGAACTAATGAAATTTGGTGGATGTATTTTTTGCTTTTCTTTCTCTCTTGATGAAATAATGAATCTTTAAAGTGTATCCCAGTCACATATCTATCATTTGAAATGCAATATAATTGTCTGTACGAACCTCGTGGTGCACCCATTATCCCACACTGGAAAGCATAACTACTCTCTTCCTACATTCTCCGTAGCCGATCCCGGAAACACCCAATTGCCCTTCCGCGAGAGTTCCATAGTGACCCAGATCTCGACCGCACCGTTGTTGGCATCTCACCTGTCAAGCCAGACGACTACGTTTCCTGGCGCAATCTTGCCCATGGAGTTGAACCAAGTACGACTGGCGAGAACGCTTCATCTGTCATTTATCAAGTGAAATAAGACAGGCACATCGGTGAACGAAGAACATATGTAATTATGTCGATATGAACATTGTATTTTACTCTTTTTTACTTTGTACAGTTATGTGAAAAAGCAACGAAGACCGGCGTTGCTTATATAAACCCATTTAACCAGATTTTTCCCATGAATAAGAAGTTTCCCTTTCTCTGTATCCCGTTTCCCCCGTCCCATTCCTTTCCTTGATTTCCCATTATTCTCTATACAAACAACACAACCGCGGCGGCAACACCAGCTGCCAAGGAGAGGCTGCCGACGAACTGCGCAGCCCCGGCGGTGGGAACAGCAGTGGGCGATGTGATGCTGGCGGTGGAGTTGCTGTGTGGGTGCGAGGGCACGGGCGAGGCGGACGTGGCGGTGATGAGGCCAGAGGGCTGGCTGGAAGAGGGCTGGTTGGGAGAGTTGGCAGAGGTGTGGCTCGGGCTGGCGGGGCCGGTGGTGGCCGAGGGCTGGTTGGGGGAGTTCCCGCTGGTGACGCTGATTCCGCTGCTGGAGGGCTGCTGGGGCGAGTTGCCGCTCGTGACGCTGGGGGGAGAGGAGACGTGGCTCCCGGTGCCGATGGGGCAGACGGTGGTGGAGATGGCGATGGTCTCGGTCACTTGCGTGGAGCCGCCGGCAGGGCAGTTGGTGACGGTGGGAGCGCACGAGGTGATGTAGACGGTGGTGCCGTAGACGGTCGAGGTGGTGAAGTCGCCGCCGGTTGCGGTGGGATGGGCGACGAAGGACGAGTTGAAGGGTCCGGTGTGTGTGTACGAAGACGCCGGCGTGTTCGTGCTGACGGGGGTGGTCGCTCCGGGGGTGGTGATGGCGGACGAGAGAGGGACGGGCTCGCCCTTGACGATGACGATGCTCTCCCAGGAACCGGTCCTGTCGCCGTACTGGTACTCGCGGATGCTCTCGGTGGGGGCGGAGGAGCCACCGGCATAGTCAACGACCTTGATGGACTTGTACCAGGCGTTGAAGGGAGCCTGTGAGAAGTCGGTAAGACCACCGGCCCAGTCGATGGTGCCCTGGCTGTTACCGGGAAGACCTGCAACCCAGGTGCCCAGCTTCACCTGCATAGGTGTCTGGGGGTAGCGCGTGCCGCTGGCGGCATCGGCGTAGTTGAGAGTCCGGACGACCTGGCCATCGATGATCCAGTCAAGCTTGGAAGCAGTCCACTCAATGGTGTAGGTATGGAAGGTGGTCAGGGGTGCAGAAACCTTGTGGAAGGCGCCGCGGTCGTAGACGGTAGTATCCCCCTTGCCGAAGTAGTTGGTTTGGACATTGACCTCATCATAACCGAGCCATTCCCAGTCGATCTCGTCAAGATCGGCAGACTGAAGCACGATGGAAGTGACCAGGCCACGGCCAGGGGCGGCTTGGGCCTCCACCTCGAGGCGACCGAAGAAGATGTACCTGCTGCTGGCGATAGTAGGTGCTTGCTTGTCGTTCTCAATAGAGAAAAGAGCACCCTTGGAGTCATACGTCAAGGTGGTGCCGGCCAGAACATCGAAGCCAGCGCATGCACCCTGCGTCAAGTCACAGTTGATCGACTGGGTGCCCAAGGCAGGAGCAGCAGGGCAATCTAATTCATCATGTTAGTCTTCCAGAACCCAAAGGCATTGTTCATGTATAGATTGTCATTACCCTTTTCGAGGGGATTGCAGTCGGTGAAGGTTTGTGCTGAGACTGAGGCGGCCAGCGCGATGGATGCAACGAGTGCCTTTGCAATCATGTTTGCGGTATTTGCTCGGTTCGAGTCTTGAAAAGAATGTATGTATGTATGTGATATGTAAAGAAGGTTGGTTGATAAGTGGTGAATCAATATGTTCAAATAAAGAATGGTGTCAAACAATCCAGTGTTGGCAACAAATAATCGAAAGAAAAATGAAGGTAAAGCAACACACAGTTGACTCGTGAGGAGGAGACAGAACAAAGCCGGGCAGATCAAGAAGAGAAACAGCACTTGGAGCGAGTTTCTTATCAAGATGTTTCAATTCACCTTTCCCCTTGGCGTTCTGAGCCCGTCAGGGGCTAACCGGGATGGCCGTTTCACCAGAGTGGGATTGGCATGACCGCGGTGATTTTCCAACCAATGGCTCCATGCCCACGCCGGCTTACGTTTCACAGCGCGCCAGGGGCTCACCCACTCGACCTGCTCTTTTGGAGGGCCTTGGAGCCGCCATTGGCCTCAGTCTGGCCCACGCGTCCAGCCCGATCAGGGAGGCCATTGGCCCGGTGTTACGTGGTAAGACAGCTAGTTAATGGACTATCCGAGCCACTAGCCCTTGCCGCCAGCCAAGCTTTTCGCTCATCAGCAGAGCATAATAATAGGGGTTGATGCGTTGCCGGCATAGGTTTGATGGCCCAGTCCCCAGGTCTCCTGCTGGACCCAGGACACAAAGATGAGACGAGATCAATCCAGGGTTCTTTCTTCTTGCTTTTCTTTTGAGTTGGTGATAATTTTGCTAAATGACCCCTCTTGAGTCTAAATTGCATTTTCTTAATCTTCTCGATGGCCCCTCCGGACATCAGAAGCAACCAACTGAACATGGTCATCCTGCGGTGACTTCTACATCGCTTCTCGAACGCAAAATCGATCCATGTTCGGCAGCTGGAGGGAGGTGGCAGGACCCTGCCGCTGCTCAGACAATATGCATGCCGAACATTAAGCCTAAACGGGGAAGTCATTGGTAGCTGGATGCATACAGTGTATGAAATGCTTCCATCCCTTGTTGATCGACTTCCCGGCGCGTATCTTCTCCACCGGACACGGAGCTGATGACGCCTGACAGTATTAAGCACCGTGGTAATTAAGTGGCGCATAATTGCATCGATCTGATCGGCCACTTGGTCGTTTCAACAGCCAGCCAGGTTCAGAAACTAATGCCTAATCGAGTAGTGAAGATGCGCTGGTATGTCAGACTCCAAAGCTCATGAGCCCACCTCGGTCTCATGTCCAGCCACCTGCCCTAAGGGTTGCACTCCTGGATCACACAGAGGTGGCTGAGCGAGCCCAATACGAAGGTCTAGCATGAGAATGTTGTTTGGAACCGATATCATCACCAAATAATTCGCCATGGAGTCGTCGTTGTAAAACTTTGGTGCGTTATTTCCCCCCACCGGATGGAGTGAAGTCGATCCCTGATGTCAGTGTGCCCTTGGAATATGAACAAAGAGAACCATTCAATGAAGGCCAGCTCTGTATTATTATTCACGAGGCCTCGGAGTTATGGAGTTATCTCACACATCCTGCGCAAAATAACAGGATGAAACGTTACGCACCCTGTGAGCGGGAGTTAATGCAGAAGCTTATTTCCTATAATTCTATTATTAATCGCCTGGTAACTATTTGATGATCGTTCGGATCCGAATATTCGCATCATCTAAAAGATATTCAATAATGTGAGAGAAGAGCTTCTTCTTCTATACTAAGGGCGGAATAGCAAGATAGCTTCTAGTCAACCTTTTTCTAACCTACATCGCAAAGTTTTCATATCCCCTTCCAATTGAGACAGGGAGTAGCTTGTCAATGTAAGTTCTTTCGCCGCTTTTCGGTCTTGGTTCGGGTGAGAAATGCACTTTAGTTAGCTCATCATATCTACAGTTATGAAATCGAAAGCCGATAACTTTGTCATTACGTACAACTGTTATGCTGCTGTCTTGAAAGGCAAAGCGTCGCCGATGTCTTTGACCATGTCATACCCATCCCAAATCATGATCTGATCCCAAGTGTAGGTAAACCACCACGCGATTTCCTGATATTTTGTTACTATCGCATCAAAAAGTGAGAAGGGGGGAGTGGACAATACCATGTTGAGATTGTTGCAGGTAAATCGGTGGCGTTCGATGGAATCGGACTCGTCTTCGTTCACAAGAATCTCTTGAACAAATTTCTCCACCGTCTCCCCCGCACTGGAATAGACAAAGGTAATACTTTTAAGGGGCCCTTCCGAATCCCGATACAAGGAATAAACTCCGTCCGTTTGGCTTGGGTCCCATTGTCCAAGCGTAGTCAGGCTTCCATCATCACATGCAATCAAAATGCCTGTGCAACGGGGCCCAACTCGCTGTATCTGCAGATATTTGACTCCAGAAAAGGAGGTCTTATTCACAAATGTATTATTGATACAGTTGGCCGCGAGTGAGGACGGATCGTAGTGACGGGCTGTGGGGATGGATAGCTTTATGGCTGGTTTTGATTTGCTGCCGCCGCTCACTGAGTGTCTTGGTTGCCGTACAACTCCCAAGGTGCGATGTGCATGATGTTTGACCGTCATCGGATCAGTAAAAACCCCTAGAAGCTCATGGTCGTCCCCTAGAGGAGGAGAAAGAGCCGAAATATGCGACTGCAGCTTTATGTGATAGTTCGAGTTGTACGGGCCGAAGTACAAGCAGCAGCCCGAGGAAGTTGTAGCCTAAATACAGAAGAAATTAGCAGACAAGAATAACAGTGACATCGCTATTTAGGCTCGTGGAAAGAGAAGGAGATTTTCATTTACCAGAAGATACGGGCCCTGCGCAAGGAACGGATCCTTGGGACCTCGGGTAACAGCGTAGAGGTTTTCAACGAGTTCGCCAGGCCCAAGATGGTGCGTGAGAGAGCAAGAGAGGTCAGAGGGCTTCCCTAGCCTTGCCTTGGCGTTGCCATTGATCTGGATACAAGAAATTCCAGATACAGTGCAGAATACGGTGAGGCTTTTGATTGGGCCGCCCAAGTTTAGTGGCAAGTGCAATCCATAGCGTGTATTTGGGTTGCCTCGAATGCGTGGACGTCCTATAAGACCCTTCTCGGCGAGAGAGAAATAACTAGATCCCTGAGGGCCCATGTCTCGATCCCAAATCATTCGGGTGGTTTGGATGTCGGGGGTTTCCTTCGCGCTAGGAGAAACGTCCAGAGACAGAATCTTAAGACCCTTTTTTTGGTCAATATCAGCACTATAGGAGGGAGATGAGTGTTTGGAACCGGGGTGGTACGCACATCGGTATACACTTGTAACTTGCTAAGCTCGGTCGTTTTGATAGAACGGATCCATTTCTGTGGCGTTTGCTGGCCAACCCATGCGGAATTCGACCCATCCTGATAGAGTACTCTGAGCGCAACCACGCCGTATATTCCCAATGCAAACTGAACTCCCTGGATAGATTTAGCAGGTAAAAGTATCTCCAGATCAAAGGTTCCTTTAGTACCCAGTCCCACGTGCTGTAAACAATACTCTCCTAGAAACGATATCATGTTTACCCCAAGAACACTGCTTGAAGATGATGGGAGTTCAGGTAAGCTGTAAGAAAACAGTTCAGGACGGTGCTTTGTATTTTCCCATGTTTTGTTGTTGGATTGCAGCCAATTCAATGTCTCGATGCTGTTTGAAAGCGACGTAAACAATGACGGCGGGAGAAGATCACGAATCATCTTCTCTAGTTCGGCGGGTAATCGAGTTATTCGTTGTATCAGGCGACCAAGACTAGTTGTGTATGAAATACCCGACCGAGGAAAAGTAGGCAGACTGGGTCGGGGATCACCCAGATGACGCAAGTCTACCCAAGGAACCACTGGCTGTAAGCACCAGGCAATACGGCATAACATCCCAGTCGCAAGAAAAGGCAGTATCCCTTTGGCAAGCTGAAGACACGAAACATGAGCCATGTTGGCTGGAGTATCCAGACTAGGCCCGCAGCTATCACACCCAAAGCATAGCTCCGTCCTGGCGGTGTCTAGCACCCTTTGCGTGCCGGCATCTACTTCCACAAATGGGCTTTTCATCCAGATGGCATTGTTACGAAATAGGTGGCTGTGTGAGCTCTTGAGTTCGCCGCCTGGAATGTCGAAAACTAAACGCGGTATCCTCTTCCAAGTTAGCTAAATACGTCACGTTTCTCAGCTTTCCCCTTGATGGAGGTCAGACTTGCAGCAAAAGGAATGTAGCTCCCATTCCGTATCTTCAGACGGATCACCAAGACTGGAAGAATAGTATCGCAGATCATGGCGACAGAATGTGCAATACTCCTCAAGAAGGATATGAATTTGGGGCTTCATAATATCGGAGTTCCTGAGGAGGCCGCGGCTGAGTTGGATGATTGAGAAACAACTGCGGTTTTGTCCCGCGACGCATTCAAATTTCAAACTTACACCGCTACTCACGTGATGCTCTAGCTTCTACGTGGTTGTCTTGAAGCTGATAGTTCTCTAAAGCTAGTAGATAATATTGAGGGGATGGATGTAACCATGGATAAGACCAGAGAATGAACATATATAATCTACGCGTACGGTTGGAACATGGCATAGGCTAACACTTGGCGACGAGTGCCTCACATGCATGTATCATGGCCGCGATTCCATTCTTTATACATATATCACGTTCTGATTGACCCCGAAGCCTGAAATGTGGAATTGGAGCGCAAGGCTTGCACAGAAGCTATTCGCTCTCATTGTCCTCTTCAAAACCGGCCGCACCAGCCTCTGTAGCCGAGACATCATTTGCCTCGAAGTAAGAAAACACGGCAAACTCGTTCTCATCATCCTCGTCGTCGTCGTCATCGTCGTCATCCTTGTTCTCATCCTCGTCTTGATCCGTGCTATACTTGCCATGCTTGCTTTCATCTTCACTATTCCTTACAAAGACCTCTTTCCTCCTCGAATACCTGAACCGGCGAGCTCGATACGCCAGAACGACATCCCCCTCCACCTTATCACCGTACTTCTGCTCTGACCCTCGATTTGCAGACGCAGAAGCTGAGACATCCAAGCCAGTACCCGCGATACCAACGTCCGCCCCAACCTTTCCGTCCTTACTATTGGACCTAGTGAACTCTCTCTCGATGGAGCTCGCGACCGCTACGCCAACGACCATATAAATAGGTGTGGTGAAGAAGGACTGGCGCACATAGGCCTTGATCTCTGGTGTCTGTAGTGCCCTGTTCACGTAATCTGCCGTGGGCGAGAAATGCGTAGCCCGGATCTGGGTCGCTTCAATGGAGTTGGAAATCCCACTCTTCCAATTTCCCTCTATTGTTGGAGCCCCTCCTATGATGGCTGCCAGGGCCGAGGAAGCCCCAAGCTCGGCGCCGAATCCCACCTCGAAGGCGTTGCCGATGCTCTTCTTCACCTGCTCCTTCTCATGGATGATGTGGGCGATCTCTATGGGCTCGACAGCATGGCGGTTCAGAGTATCGATCACGTTGTTTGGCTTCCTCAGGACAGTTCCGAGGACCAATTCCTCGGGGCCAAGAGTCGCTGAGGGCACGATCCAGTACTTCCTCGTGGTGTCTCCGAAACTCATCGTGTCCACTCTTTGGTGGCGGATAGCAGAGCCCCAAAGTCTTGAGAAGAGGATGGACCGGTCAGCTGGACGGTATTTTGGTTGAAGCTAAAGCGAGATCTCAATTATGGCCGGGTATTTGGACGAATTCTCTCACGGCGGGGGCGTAAGCTGCTGCCAACCGGATTTTTCTCACAACGGCCAACCGATTCTGACATGTCACTGGCTGGATGAGAGAGGGGCGCTTGGATGTGTCCAATGGCGTCATGAGCCCTACAGTCTGACCCGACTAATCATGCATGTAAGCTCACAGTAATCCCCTCTTACCCACAGGTTTGCGACGAGGCAACCAATCTCCCAGAAGAAACAAACCAAATCAAGAGATGGCTGCTTCCGCCGAGCTGGAGAAATTCCTCAAGGAAAATGGCCTGGATCTTGAGAAGCGGAAGAAGGATCGGGCGACGGCCATACATCGAGCTGTTTTGAAGAACAATTCCGCTATCGTTGGGGAGCTTCTCGATTTATACCCTGACGACTGCCGCGACGCACGAGATAAAGACGGGCGCAAGAAAAATCGCACCCCAATCCAGAACGCGGCTCAGCTGGGACTGCTCCTGATCGTCGAGCAGTTGCTGGCCAAAGGCGCGCAAGTGGACTCACGCAGCTCGTTCAAGTGGACCGCATTGATCCTCGCCGCCTCCGACAACAGGCGCGAGGTGGTGAGCACGCTGCTGAAGAACGGGGCCGATGTCCATGCGAAGACGGCGCCCGACGAGAGGGAGAAGGGCGGAGGAGAGATCACGGCGCTCCATGTGGCCGCGCAGTTGTGGTCGGCGCAGACGACGCTGAAGCTTCTCTTGAGCGGAGCGGACCCGAACGCTGCGTCTGCGAATGGCGACAGGCCTCTGCATTTCGCCGTCAGGGCTCGGAGCATCCCGTGTGCTGCTCTTCTCCTGTTCCACGGGGCGTCCGCGACGGCGAGGAATAAAGAAGGGATCACAACCAAGAGACTCCTTGAGAACCTATCGACGACCGAGAGAAGAAGATTCGACCATGTGTTCTCCTGTGCCAAGGCCAAGGGTAACCATAACGTATTCCTCCAGGAATATCCCAAGAAGGAAGAAATTCCAACTCATATAGGTCAGGCCATCCACTGGGCAATCGACAAGAACCTGGAAATGGCCGTCGCATATCTGCTGCACGCCGACCCGTACGCGGTAGAAGCAGCGAGCCCTCGAGGATGGCATCCACTTCACAGGGCGGCAAGACACGGGCTGGAGAAGTGCGTCCAGGTGCTTCTGCAGCACGGGGCAGAGGTGGACTGCCTGAACAACGAGGGCTGGACGCCGCTGATGTTCGCCGCGAGGTTTGACAAGACTCAAATAGTCCAACTACTGCTCGATAAGGGGGCAGATCGCGACGTGACCAACGATGCAGGGGAGAGTGCCTTGCAGCTTGCCCGGACGCACGGCCATCGCCAAACGGCGTTGCGGCTTGCTGTCAGATTTGTCCCGCCTTCCGCAGCCGGCCAGGAGAAGACGAACCCGCCAAACCAGAATGTTGCAATGGAATCTCTGAACTTGGGGGCTGACGGGGAGACGCGGCAGGGGAGACCCGAGACAAAGGATGGGGGGATGCTAAAACCTCCCAAGAGCCCGCGAAGGACACCGTCCCCAAGTCCAAGCGAAGAAGTAAAGCAAGTCCAAGGCAAGCCTCATCATCTCTAGAAGACTATTGACGAGGGACTAACATGCGTAGGCGAAATGTTTGCGCTTACTGATGCAAGCATAACAAATGATTCGACGCCGGCCCCTGAGAAGTGAGTTTATATGTACAAGCCCACCATGAACCTCGGGATACTAACCAGCCGATAGAGACGCATATCTTGACAATTTCTTTGAAACCCTAGAGGAAACATGGTACAACAGGATACAATGGACGCCTGACGATGACGAGGCCACGATAAATTCCGGCTTCCACTGGAACGGCCCCGTCAAGATCGCAGTGTTGGATACGGGTGTGGATCTCGGGCACGAGGATTTCACCAAGCCCGCAAGGAGAAGAACCAAGATCGGACGTAAGAGGGCCAAGGGAATCCCTGAGAAGACCCAACGTGAGAGAATCATTGCGGTTCGAAATTTCGTCGGCGAACCCGGGGAGGAAAACGATGTCACTGATGAATTCGGCCACGGAACACACATCGCCGGGTTGATCATGGCTGTTGCTCCCCGGGCAGAACTGTATATTGCCAAAGTGAGCACGGGAAAGGAGATTTCCGGCGCTCAGCAAACAGGGAAAGGCCCTTCAAAAGCAGCCAAGCGAAAGGCTCGCCGTCCCGTGGAAGAGGTAAGTAACCAACGCCGGAACCGGGACTTCTTGCAGCATTGGAAAATAATTGTCTAATCTGACCCCCTAGGCAATAAGATGGGCGATAGAGCAAAAGGTGAATATCATCAACCTCTCATTGGGATTCCCCCAGTTAGGGTCTTATGAATTAAACCTGGCTCTGGACGATGCTATTATGAACGGCATCATCGTGTTCGCCGCCGCTGCAAACCACGGTAACAATAATGCTATCGCCTGGCCGGCGCGTAGTCCAAACCTCGCCATCTGTGTTTCATCCAGCGACAAATTTCAAAAGTTATCCCCATTTGCTCCCCAGCCGAGCCCAGAGTTCCCTATGTTTGTGGCGCCTGGGGAAGAAGTCTGGAGCCAGTGGCCAACTAACCTGGGAGGCGGCTTTCGTAAGATGAGCGGGACCTCCGTGTCAACTCCCATTGCTGTGGGCATGGCCGCAATCATTCTTGCGTTTCTCAATATGACGAATGTATGGGACCCGCAAGTCAAGGAGGACTGGCTTGGTCGCATTTATGAGAGGGAGATACGACGGACCAGGGGCATGCGCAAGCTCTTGACGCATCTGTGCCGTGATCGGAATGGTGTCAAGATTCTCTCGCCCCATTTGATGTGGGAGGATAACCATGGGATCGGGGATGATCCGATCCAGGCTCTAAATCTTATTGCATGGCCTTTCAAATCGATGAAAGGGTAGCATGAAGGTTCAGCTGGGGGCATCATTCTTCTACATAGCTGATGTCGCCACTTCAGAACCTCTTGTGCTACTTTATCCATCTGCAAATAAATATGCAGTTGCTATAATAGGGATAGAGATGTCAATTCAGCAATTTCTTCTTTTTACTCTAGAGCTATTGTATCTTATAGGGGGAACGGAGAGCATCAATTATCTGAAGGTGATCTGTAACACTGATGAGAGTAAGGTAATGGTCGAGAATTGGTGATTGTGTATATCACATCGTTTCTGTTTTTGACTGGAAATCTGTGATTAAAGGAAAAAAAAAAGGTATAAAGGAAAGTAAATGTGAAGTAGCTGGTCCATGACCGTCAACCAAAAAAGAGCGCCGCATGGTAAGGAGACCGCGCCGTTTGAGCGAATGCATCACTGTTCCACCTCAATAACAAACTTGCCGACTCCTCCCTTGCCACTGAACACCTCCTGGCATCCTTCCAGAACCGCATCCACGTCTCTCAACTTTGCTACCCTGCCGACCACCGTTCTGAGCGCTCCTTGATCCACCCACTGCCCCAACCTCGCAAGGTCTTCTGCGCTCGGGTGCATGGGGACGTAGTCGAAGCCGACATTGTATCTGCCGGCCCTGAACTGGCGCCAGGATCCAAAGGCTGTCAGGCCATATCTGACTACCGTAGGCAGACTCGTCATGACCTTTAGCATCTCGCCAAAAGGAGCTCCAGCAATGGTAAGAATCAGCCCCCCCTTCTTCATAAGGTGCAGACTTCCCATCGCTTGACCGGTGATGTCAAACATAAAATCTAATGAACCTGCTTCGATCTTTGTGGCGTAGTTGTCTTTCGTGTAGTCGATGGCGACATCAATCGCATCTGCGCCAAGGAGGCCATCTGCCTGAGCAATCTTACTAGTTGAGAGGGTGGTGATGACCTTTCCCGCTTGGAAGACCCGCTTGGCCAGCTGGATTGCTGTGCTGCCTACTCCTGATAGACCCGCCGGGATGAAGACGGTTTTTCCCTTGAGCCCTCCGACCAGTTGCTTATCCGCCCTGTCAAGGACCTGCAGGGCCGTCAATGAAGCAAGGGGTAATGATGCCGCTTCGATATGGGTAAGGGACTTGGGCTTGGGGGTTGTGGCACCCACTGTAGACAGCGCAAACTCGGACGCCGTGCCCCGGTATTCCTCCTTGACACGGCTGTAGACCTCGGTGCCAGGTTGGAGAGTGGAGGGGACATCCTTGCCGACGGCTACTACGGTTCCAGAGACGTCGTACCCAAGTTTGAAAGGAAGTCTAGTTTGTGAGGTATGATTAGTTGCAATCAATCAGTAGAGTGAAATAGTTTACTGAAGACCTACGGGCAAGGAAGGATATTTTTGCCCATTCCAGTGGCTAGCTTGACATCGACTGGGTTAATTGACGATGCGTGGACTTTGATCAAGATTTCATCTGGGCGCGTGATCTTTAATTCAGGGAGATCGAGGATCTCGTAGTTTTCTGGTTTGCCAAATTTTTGAGTAGCGAGGGACCGCATCTTGAGTTATGGAATGAGTTCCCGAGGGAGTTATTGAGTGAATTCTTGAGGTAATGTCTGAACTTGTGCTGTTTGTTGGTATTGTTGATGATTAGATTCCTCGACAAACGCCATCTTCCAGGAGCTTTAAGTACTTCATCATGGTCAACTACGGGGTTCTAATCAAACTCAGTGGCCGACTGGAATCTTCTAATCAAAATTGCTGGTCTATTGGAATATTCTACTCAAACGGAACTCCGGATTTGCAACCAAGAAACCAGCTGGAAACAAACAAAGCACGACTGACTCTCGATGCAACCTGACTTACACCTTACAAATGCCCCCGCGGAGTTCAGGTGGAGTTTTGGTTCCCAATCCAGCTTAGATCCGGAATCTGGGTGGCGTCAGCTTGGAATTTGCTGTGAGACGACGACCCAGATTCCGGATCAGACGCGGAGAGCCGGTTTTCTTACTTACAAACAAACCAAATTCAAGTCGCGCCCCAATTGAACGCCGGTCCAATCTATACCGACAATGCCCCTCTCTCGTAAAAAGTCGTGCGTCCGCTGCAGGGAAGCAAAGACGCGCTGTAACCAGGTCCTCCCGACCTGCTCCCGGTGCCTCGACAAGAATGCGCGGTGCGTCTACGAGTCCGAACGTCTCGCCCCTTACCCTCAGGCAAGCCCTCGCCCTGCACAGCGTCTGCAGACTCCGAACAGGCTCCATTCGGGCCCCATCGATGGGATCTCCCCCGGTGACATATTCCCGACCGGAGAGCCCTCTCCCCCGCCGGCGTGGATCTCGGCAACTGGCGTGCTGCATGCTGAACTGAACGAGCCCAGCCCGCCCAGCAGCATACCCCTGGACATCATAAAGGAGGTCGAGCAGAACGTCAACGAGGATCTCTGGCTGCTTGAGCAGGCCGACAATGCCCGGAAGCAGAAGAACATGCAGCTCGTGACCGCGCCGGACAGTGCTCTACTAGGCAAGGCGTACTCCCGACGCAGGATAGGTGGCCAGGACGTGCTGGCGTCGGTTGTCCTTGGGCAGCTCAAGAGCTACCCGCGGATGCTCATAGAGGGAGATAAGCTCCCTCCGTTCATACATCCGCGGTGCTATTTGGACGAGGAGCTAGCCCCCGCCTGCCGTGTCAGTGGGCGACACGTGTGCTTTTCCACGGAGCTGTCGATATGTGTGAGTTTGGTGCAGATGTTTTACTCGAAGAGTTCGAAGAATTCCGAATTTGTGTGGAAGACGATACACGATGAAGGGGAGAGGATTGTACAACAGGTGACTTCTCTCCTTTATTTCATTTTTTTTTGGGCCTGAGGATGGATAATGGAGCTGATAATTGAATAGTTCGCGTCTTTTACTAGTCAGCAGCAGCTTGAGGGTCTGCAGTCGGTAGTGATCCTCTTGCTCCTACAAGCCGAGGACCCAGCGTCTGTCGAGAAAACTGGAGGTTTGTATCTCGTAAGAATAGTGACCGTCAGTACCTTCACACCTAGTTGAAAAACGTTGCAATATTGACCTTTGATCAGGGACTTGTGGGGCAACTCGTTCGGTATCACTTATGGCGCTCTGAGCCGGAAAACGAGCGACCTCGAAGGGCGGATTGGATTTGGAGAGAGAGTATTCGAAGGCAAGTCATCCTAACAGACATACACACTTCGCCACTACTTCCCCTACTGACTTGGCATGCATAGGACTGCTTTAGTTCTAAGCGTTGTTGATTTTTTGGTTGAGGGCATGATAGGACCGGGCGGATCCACGTGCAGGGCAAGCGAGACGTTCCAAATATCAACGCTCCCTTGTGGTCGTGATTTATGGGAAGCGCGAAGTACGAGAGTATGGATGGATGCCTATGATTCTCTCATCAACAACGAGGGCAAACACCCATTTCTTAAAGTCCAAGACTTGATAGTGTCGACTGGCGAGGGGGAGTGGTTGATATCCGCTGAGAGTTCTCATGGCGAGCAAGACAAGCAATTTGCCATCATGAGGTGGTGTGAAAACATGGAATCTCTCGGGAAGCTCATCTGGATGTCCTTGCCCTTACACCTGTCAATTGTCAAGCACGAGGCTCGCACGATTATCTCAAGAGGATAATGGGGATCGGAGACTTTGCTGATATGTTATTCATGACCACAGCGCATATAAGTTTGGTTAGCAAGATAAATAGAACCAACTAATGATGGAAATTACTTCGAACGGGACACACTTTTACTTTGAGGTTTCTTTTGTTCCATTGATGATCCTAGAGAATGGAAGGATATAACTTATCAATTTAGAACAAAATAGATAAAATTCCAGGACACTCGCCTTCTATTTCAGACTCTTAATGTGTCAAGCACCATTATAGGAAACATGACTTCTATCGATTCTATAAGTAGAGGTAGGGCTGGAGAATGATGGCTTAGACGATGAATCCGCCGTTCTTCTCCGCGAGACCGTCCATCCCGACTTTGAGGAAATTGATATCTTCTCCAATCTGTTTTGCAACCTCCCCATGCTTGACCTCATCCACATCCCAGTTGGCCCAGAAGAAGCGGCCGTGCAGGAATTTGGCCTCAGGGGTAGCCGCCCAGACGGCCGTCTGGCCTGCGAGGTTTACTGTTTGGTGATGTTGTCAGCCAGCCGCTAGCCGCATTGTCAAGCCAACATAACGTACCGTCGTCCCATTTAATCGGGAGGTTGTCAATCCCATCCCTCTTAGCGGCTTCGGTTAGCACGGCGCCTGGGTGAAAGCTGACGATCTGGATGTCGTCCGCGCTGATATCCTTGGCGATCTGCTGAACAAGGAGGGTGCCGGCACTCTTGGTCAAGCCGTAAGTCGGGCGCTCCGCGGCCAATGCCCACATGTACGCAGCAATGGTGGAAACATTAACCAAATACTAAGTTCGTGATCAGGTGAGTAAAAAAAACAATTTAAGGTTATGCATTTGACTTGGAACTTGTCAAAATACGCAAACATACCTTTTGTCCCTTTCCAGTTGTCTGTTTGTAGAAGCGTTGGGTCAAGTCAAGAGGTGCTCGCACATTGATTTCAAAATCGTTCCAAACATCCTCAAACTTGGTCTCAAGGATCGGCTTCTTCTGACCAAAGCTGGCCGCGTTCAGCACCAGCGTGTCTACGTAGACCCCGTCAGACTCCAGACGGGCCCAGAGCTGTTTCGACTCCTCAAGATTCGAAACGTCGATCACTTTGGCTTCGACGATGGTCGCTGGGCTAGACTTCTGGGTGTCCTTTTTGAGCTGAGCAACAGATTCTGCAAGCACTCCAGCCCGGCGGCCCGTAACGATGACCCGATCCGCCTGAGCGGTGATGAAAGCTTCGGCGATGGCGTATCCAATGCCGGTGCTGCCTCCAGCTACCAGTACGGTCTTGCCCTTCTGGCTCAGCTCCGGGCGGGTTGGAGAAATGCCAGGATATGGTTCCTTGTGATACTTCTTGAGAATGGGCAAACTCATGATTGCGGTATTGGGCTGTATGAAAATTGGATTCGGAGGTGTAATTCAAGTGTTTTCTGGATAGAGACTGTATTGAATTGGTCTGTAAATCAGCCAACACGCATTATATTTATATTTCCCCCATCCTCAACTATGATCTATATACACTGCCAATTTGTAATAGCATATGTTGCAATCTCAGCAAACTCTTCATCTTGCGGGCAGTTCCCGCAACATATTCGAGACAAACACGCGGTTCTAACACGTGAGTGCTGCGGGAGTATCCGCAACCTTCTTGTCTGCAAGCGAGGGCTTACTCTGGGGCTGATGATGGCTTGGCCAATAGCGTGCACAATCTGAGTTCGTAAAGATGGTAGCCTGGGCTCGTGGTGGATGATTTCAAATCAAAGCGGCGGAGAAAGCCCGCGACACCCGCCTCCGCACCCGAATCGTATTTAATATATTCCAGCCATTCCCTCAAGCAGGGTCGCATGCGCCTCTCGGCATGCGCAAAACACCCGCCAGTTGACCCGTGAAGAATGCGCGCCAATTTACCGTGAAGAATGCATGCTTGTGTAGCGTGTAGCAAGTCGAAGCGCAGATGCAGTAAGCAGCTGCCTGCTTGTCGCCGATGTCACGGAAAGGGGCTCCGCTGCGAATATCCTCTGGTCCGCATTGTAGCAGCCTCTGATACGTCCGCATCTAGCGGGAATCTGCCCACAGACACTCCGTCGTCAGCAGGTAGCCTCTCACAAGAGCATTCACCTCTGTCAATACATGCCCAGAGTCGGGGGACTCCTGATCCGCCCGTGAACCTTTGGTTCCTTGCCCCATCGTCTTGGGACATTCTGCGAGAGCATAGTACTCTCTCAGTGGTCATTGCATATCCCGACTCCGGTCTGAGATACTTTATCGACAGACTGAGAGCATGGGTGAGCCAATGGACGCTGGGACAGCATTCCAACTTTATCCACTCCCACCTTTATGGCAGCGACATGCCAGAGTGTCTGCAGCATGCTTATGCCGCCTTCCAGGCTTACCAATACTCGACCAGCTCTAATAAACATATTGCTCTCCAAATCGTAAGAAGCTACACAAAGCTGGTTATCCAGGACCAAACCTTGTGCGAAGGCTTCAACGGCGGGGCATATGACATCCGGAGCCATCTGAGCCGAACACAAGCTCTCTTGATCTTTCAGCTTATCCGACTCTTTGACGGCGATATCAGATCCCGGGCCGAGGCTGAGTCGACCACGGCAACTCTGATCCAGTGGGCGAACAGTCTCATGGAGAAGGCCAAGGCCGATTTGGAATCTGGGACTCGGCGGAGAATGGACCAACTGCATCCATTCCCCACCACGAGTGATCTTCATTGCGACGGCACAACCGCCTCTCTGTGGCGGGCGTGGATCTTCTCCGAGTCGATCCGCCGGACTTGGATCATTGCAGGACTGATGGAGGCGGCCTTTTCAATTCTGAAACAGGGACATTCCCCTTGCCCGGGGAGCATATGTTTCACGGGAACCAAGGGCCTGTGGGATGCAGCGTCACCACAGGCATGGATGGCGCGGGTGCAGGATGCTAAGCAGATGAGGTTTCGGCTTAGTTGTGCCGACGTTGTGAACCTATTAGACGACAGTAAACCATCGGATGTCGACGAGTTTAGTCGTGCATTGCTTGTTTATGGGCAAGGGCTGGAGAAATGCCCGGAATGGTGTTCAACGGATTAGAAGATAGATATGGCGAAAATAGAGGCTAAAACGGGTAGCGCGATGGGCATTATTGTTCGGATGTATTTTCCACTTGATGTGGAGGCATTGTACAGCTTTTCCTTTTGTTCTTTCAAGAGGTTCATTTCTCCCAGAGATATTTTCGGACCCTCTACACGACGTATTAGATTCAACACTGAAATCTAAAGCCAGGCTCATTTAGATAATTAGACCGTTCAAATTCGTGTTGCTTAAAATTTGTCTCGACCTGCGTGATGGAAGCCCACGAGTTCAGCTGTTTTCAAAAAACATGAGCTAGGTATGCGGCTTGTTCTGTCTGTTGCTCTAATGATTTTAGATTGTTGTCTTGGTGATGTGATAATCTAGGCACTCCGAATTAAACAAACTAAGATCGATCAGATGAATTGATTCCAAACCATGGCTAGACTCGAGGATGGTAGGTAATTCAAATATCTTCCTTTTAACGTTTATAAAAAAAACAAGTACTTTTGATATAGGGTAGGCATAACGTGTGGCCGAGTTGACTGACTAATCCCAACTTCGGCTCGTCTTTGGAACATCCGAGACATTCGGCCTGCTCACTAATCGATCGTTACCCACCATGATGATACAGGCAATCCAATCAGCGATCCAGACACAGACATGCCGATCTCAGCTTTGAGCAGAGACTGTCCACGTAACGAGCAGATGAATTGGAGATCCAGTGAATACATGTAGGTGTTCTGTAAAGCGGCTGTGGAGCGTCAACCGCGTCAATGACAAGTCCCCAAGACATGGATTAGTTGCTCGCTGCTGACAAACTCGCCATTCGGTCCGCGGCGGTCAATCTCGGCCAGCGAATGAAGTCACATCCACAGACGAGTGAGGTTTCAGGAATGATGTGCCACCAAATATGCTCAAAATCGCCATTTGAATCGATTAGATATACACATCCTTTTGAAGTGACACGCCATCACACCTATCTCGGCTCTATTATGTTTCATCGCTTAGAGCTAAGGCTCTTCAACCCTATAATACCCAGGGTAGTAACACCAGACTTGGGGATTAGCAAGACCCTCTAATTTCTGCACTCTCTAACTCGCTGCTTGTATCCGCCCCAATACTAACCAAGATAGGGCCGATATCTCGGGTCATTAATAGACGAGTGATTTCGCGCTGTGTATTCCTTGTAATCAAAATATATGGAGTGAGGGGATACATTCGGACTGTCCAGGTAAAGGTGGGGGGGCCAAAGTACTTGTTCATATAATTTTTTATTTGGATCTACCCCCAAAATTCCTTCGCCTCTTACATCTTTTGAAAACTCCTTGATGATCCATTTGTGATTAAATCAAGCAAGGGAGGGCAGCAAATCAAGTTCAGTTATTAGGCTAAGCTTTTCCGTAACCGGGTGGTATCTAATGGCATGAAAGAGCAGCCCACCATATGTGGATTAAAGTGCCATTCGTTGGTGACAGAGGCAGAAATGGGGTAGGTTTAATGGAGAAAACGCGGGGAAAGCATGGGGTGAGGCAACGTAATGTGCCGATTCAAGACGGTCCGAAGGATCGGAACTGATCACGAGTTCCAAGTTTCTCATTGTTCCCCACCAGGACAAGGTTGAATAGTCAATGATGGTATGAAGGTCTCAGGTCCACGTGAGTGATTTTGATGTTGAGCAAGAGCTCGGGACAGATTTGCGGCGAGCTGCCTGAGAGTCTGCATGTACGCGTTTGCTTTCTAGCCTGAGTGATAATATGACCATTTCTATGACGTGCTGCCCGAACAAGAACTCGGGGGAGATGTTCACGAGGTGGAAACAGTTTGATCTGATGTTTGGAGTCTAGCCCAGGAGCCATTAGTCCTCGGTACATTGATCGGCGAAGCGAGTTCTACAGGATGAACGATGATCGACTTAGGCGACCCTAAACATGAATATATAGTCTCAATGGGATACCTTGAGATAATGATGGGAGGTGCCACACAATACTGAAGACCCTGTGTAGACGTGTAACATGACGTTCAAGCGACTGTATGTCGGTCTGTTGTGTTTCGGTCATCTTTCGAATGGCCTGACTACTAGTCGCAGACATAATACAGAGGCTACGCTTGGCAAGCCGACCTTATACCAGTGCCCCCGATTCCGCTGGTGGTGGCCAGGTGGTTGGATTGAACCAGAAGAGGTTACTGAAGAAATCCAATCAATCATCAATTCTGGGTTTGGAGGTGGAGAGATTGGCGATGTTCGTGATAGCATCAACGAACCATCTGACCCTAAGATATACGGGTGGGCCCAGGAGCGATGGAACAAAGGCATCTTGGCCGCTTACACGCAATCAAATAAGTGAGTGCTCAAACAACAAGAGACACAACAGAGACTCTAATTCTGCTAGAATGGGCGGCTACGTGGATCTTACTCTTGGACCTCATTGGCCTACAGGCTTCCCCGGATATACCCCTGACTCACCCGAGACCATGAAAGAATTGGTGCATGGCCAAATTATTATTCAAGCTGGAAAATCTTACAATGGCAGCCTTCCTTTGCCCGAAGCTGCTCCTTCTGGAAACTCAACGGTCAACAATGTCAATGCGACGTTGAAACTTGTGGCTGTCCTCACCGCAAGGACCAGCACAACTAACGTCTCGGCGTCAGTTTTTGAGATTGATCATGATTCAATTGCTTTAGTTGCCGACAGAGTCTCTGACGATAACACCATCACTTGGAATGCACCTAATGACGGGAGTTATGTTCTCGTCGCCGTCTATGGCCGAGGCACTGGTCAGATTCAGAACATGTATGACAGTGAGTAGTAACTTAGTGAAGTATAGTCCAAGCCATGTGATTTCCATATTTACTGACGCGAACTATAGTGAACAGTGGAGGCCCTGAGCTTACATACCCATGGCCTGCATACATCGTTGATCACTTCAGTGAGGCCGGAGTCGAAGCTGGAGTGAAATATTGGAACGAGAATATCTTGACCTCTGAGATGCGAAGTGCACTTGCGAAGTGAGTTTTTCTGTTTGTTGATAGGAAGTAAGTAAACTGACTAGTATTCTAGAAGTGGAGGGTCCATGTTTGAAGACTCACTGGAACTCAAGTATACGCAATATTGGACATTGAATTTTCTCAATGAATTCAGATCCCGCCGAGGCTATGATCTCTCCCCATTTCTTCTCTACGTGTTGAAAGACACGAACACATTCTCAGGAGACACTCAAGTGGCGGCCCAAATAACGAACGACTTTTATCAAACCGTCTCGGATCTCTATGTCAATTACCGTTTGAAGCCACTCCAAAAGTGGGTGAATTCGCTTGGATTGAGACTTCGTATCCAACCCTACACTGCTTCGTTTGACAGCAGTTTAATGTCATCCTTATTGGACATTCCAGAGGGAGAGTCTCTAGGATTTGATGGCACTCCAGATTCATTCCGTGTCTTGTCCACTGGGCGAGATATTGTAGGGGGTATGATCCTTTCGGATGAACTCGGCGCATACTTTGGTAAAGCTTATGGTGTGACCTGGAAATTCTTGCTCAGTACCGCTAACCATGACATGTCCCTGGGTGTCAACCAAATTGTCATTCACGGGTATCCTTACCAAACATCTCAGACAAGCTTGTGGCCCGGCTATGCTCCCTTCACTCCTCTTGGCTCCACCTCTAATGGCTTCGCTGACGCTTGGGGTCCGCGGCAGCCTCAGTGGAAGTATGCTGCAAAAGCCAGCGGATATCTTGCGAATGCTCAAAAGCTTCTTCAAGAAAGCGGACCATCAGTAGACACCGCCATTCTCAACGAGGACTGGGGCGTTACTGCTTCATGGGACGATACTAGTCTCAATGCAGCAGGGTACTCCTATCAGTTCCCAACCTCTGAGCTCCTATTGTATCATGATGTCGAGGTTCGTGAGGGAAGGCTCGCCCCGAACGGTCCAAAATACAAAGCACTGGTTGTTAACAGCACAGCCATGAATGCTGAGACCGCTGAATTGGTTTTGTCATATGGGCAGAAGGCCTTGCCTATTGTACTTATTGGTGACCTACCTACGACAACTTTCAGCTACTTCTCTGACGGAGAGGCGGAAACTCGCAATATGCAAAGAGTCCTGTCCAATGTTAAAAATCTCAAAACTACTGCGACAGCGACAACTAGCTCAGATGTTCCGGCTGCTTTGAACAAGCTTGGGGTTACATCTTTGGCAAGGTATTCTTCAGACTCAAACGCCACCCTCACAACCCTGAGACGTACCAAGGATTCAGGCTATCTTTACTGGATTTATAACGAAGGCGAAACAAAGTTCAGCGGCTCTGTTCAACTTGAAGGTGAATCCCAGCCATTCCGAATTGATCTTTTCTCCGGATGGGTCTCTGGTATGCCAGTCTTCAGCATGGCCGGTGGCTACACTTCGGTGGCCGTAAACATAGCACCGGGCGCTAGCATTGCTATTTAGTGAGTTATGCTTTGTTCATATGCTTGATTGTTCTAACTAGCATTTAGTCTGGGAGAGAATAACCCATTTGGTGCCTCATCTCTCGACACATATCTCGTTTCAACGACATGCCGTAGCCATGTAAGAGATGGCTCGGTTTACATTGCGTCAAATGCAAGTTGCAATGCGAAGACGAACACTGGAAAGAGTATCAGTCTATCTCCGGCAGATAATCTTCCTTCCCCAATTTCTTCATTCGCTTGGACTCTGTCTGTAGAGGACTGGGCTCCTGCTGTTGTCAACGAAACTGGAGCGGATTCCTACAAGACGACGAAAACTAACCTTTCATCCATTGCCTTGAATGGCCTCCGCCCCTGGAATGAGATTGATGGGTTAGAGACCGCTAGTGGGATTGGCACTTACAAGACTGCGTTCGATATCAACAAGAGTATCGCAGAAACCCGGATTTTACTGGATGTGGGTAATGTGGAAGGCACTTGGGGACTGGAGATCAATGGAAAAACGGTGACCGAAGTTGATTGGCTCGGAGGTGAGCCTTTAGATGTGACTGACTACATCGAAAATGGGAACAATGGTAAGAACATTTGAGTGATTTTACCATAATACATTTGCTAACTTCATCAGAACTCGAGATTACTGTTGCAACAACTCTTTGGAACAAGCTCATGGAGACTTGGCTTGCTGTTTATGGGTCATCGGATCCCCAGGAAATTGGGCTGACCGGGCCAGTAACAATAACATATATCTCTGAGAAGCGGGTGAACTAAGGCTCGTGGTGGATTTTAGCCGCCATATTCGTCAGTCTTACAGTTAGTTTAGAAAAGCTAGATACTAAGGAATTGATACGAGTATCCTGGTTAAACTTGTTATCTCCCTAGACTATCCCCCAGGCTCCAGCAATACATTTACTTTCCACTTGCAATGGAACCAAGGCCCTATTTAATTTTGGCTTATTTAGTAATGTCCTTCAGTGTGACTCAGATATCTTCAAGCAACACCTCGAAACATTAGACCCATGTCAGATATCGAACTGTGACTCATTGTAGGCAACAGCTGCCTTTTGTGTGGCTTGCATGCAAATCCATCCTCGTCAGCAACGCAGTGACTCAGCAACACGACAGGGATCTATCTCTATGGTGGGTACTGGGTGAGGTAAATATTTATAAGAAGCAGACAGATCTTTGACTTTGGCTGACGTCTTTTCATTTAACAATTAACCACTAAGAATGATGAACGAACTCCCAACCGAAATCTATCTCCACATCTCAGGCTGGCTCACGCTCCGAGAATTGGCGAGGCTGAACCAATGCAACAGGAGCATCAACAACAGATGGGAATCCTATCTACTATCCATACCCGTGGCTAGGGACCAATTGATGTACTGGGGCTGCTGCCGAGGGCAAACATGGGCCATCCAGAAAGCCATCTCATACGGCGCTGACGTGAGCGCCGTTGGCGTCTGGTCGAATTTCGAAATCGCAGAAAATCCGGTCTATTCGACTTGTCTGAACCTGCCGGACACAAAATCTACACTTGTGCTTGCCGCGCAGCAAGATGACTTGGTCGCCTATGAGTTTCTGCTACGTGCTGGCGCAAGAATCGACCCAGCCGATAACAGAGGCAAGCGGTGGGAATTATTGGCCGGTTGTCTGTTCAACTTCCAGCGGCCGGAACCGCTGCGCCTATATTTGAAATTTGGATCGAAACGAGACATTCCGTATTTCCAGAATGAGCTCGACAGAACCCTCCGCAAGTCAGTGTTCAACCGTGTCGGCGAGGATGCCTGCAGAGCATGGTTGGATCTGGGAGCGAACCCCCTCGCCGTCGGTGGAGGCCACGGTTCAGAGGGAAGCGGATCTGCTCTCGCAATGGCCATGGTAACAGGGCCAGTTCCTCTGGCACGGTTAATGAGAACTCGGGCGTCGGCTGATCTTTCGCTCGCTCATCTTTATTCGTTTGTTCATTCGGGGTTTTGCGTTCCCTCGTATCATGAATCGGTGGCGTGCATATCCGTCCTTGCTGCCGCGCATAATCTGGCCGATTCTGGGCTACCTGAAATGATTGATTTGTCTTTGGAGGCGCACGAGAACATCAACATGACAGTTGTATCGCAACTTGATCTGCCTGGGCCGAGACAGTGGTACATGATGAACGCTGTGATGGCCTATGTGCTCCGAGTGGACTGTGATAGGGATCAGAAAGCCGGAATCCTGTCTCCTTCAGAGGGTCTGCAGTATTTATTTCACAAAGGGGCTCTTGCTATACACACCCACGCCGGCCACCTTGGTGGGTATCCTACCCACTCGTTACTTTGGCTATTCTGGCATAAATGGGATCGCCTGGAAGGTCTGCTGAACAACGAGGTCCATGCCATACTACGCATCCTCGCGCGCAAGAAGGCAGCCTGGGGACTCTTACTGGGTTTCCTGTCTTCAATTAGAACTGGGCGTAACAACACTCGGCTCATCAAGAACACAGAGCAACACAATATCATCACCAGTCGTTGGAGCAGCCTCCTGGACCTAGTGCTCATAGAAAGGAATTGTTTTCTTGTATTGAAAGACGAGATGAATAATCTACTCTTTCGGCTTTTATTGTACACCATGGAACAGATTGTCAAACTCGATCTTGCGCTGAGCGACATCACCCCGGGAACTGTTTCGCCGGATACTGATTGCTCAACTGCCGAGTGCGAGGTGATAACTATTCAAAAACTCATTAACAAGGGCGCCGACATCAAATGGACGCCAACGTGGGGTGAGTACAAGGGCCATTCTATACTGGACTGGATAGCTCGTTGGTACATTCGCCACGAAAGCCTCCATATGCCCACGGTACAATATAACCAGCAACGCTCGTTCGTGAATACTCTGGTTAGGCTCGGCGCAGAGCGGCCTGATGATCTTTTGTCGGGACTTCTCTCAGAACCAGACATCGCCTACGAGAGATGGGCCCGGTTCGTTTTTGGCGAGGTTCCAGAGGAAGAGGTTCTCCTGTGGAACTCAAGAGCTGCCCCTTTACTCGGATGTAATTCCAATGGCTAAACGGCTAGAAGCAGAAGAAAAGAATTGGTGGTTTTTCACTCACACGCTTGAGTGGCCAGCAATCTATTCGTGGGTCAATAGCAATATCAATTGTATAACGAAACTTGAACTAGAGTTTGACATATTAAAAAAGAAAAAGAACGCAATATCTGCTATTTAGTTACTGATGACCGGTGCCCTCCCATCGTACTGTGATCCCTCGGCTGCCTCGACCATGAACTGGGCTACACTGGAACGAGAAATCTTCGGCATGAACCTAGATCCAGTTCCGTCGTCGGGATATACTTTGACTTCTGCAGCCTCGGTCTCCGTAAGCATCCAAGGCCGGACCTCGACAGTCTTAAGGTCTCGGGCGGCTCGAAGTTCCCTGTCCACGCCGTCGTGATCCGCTCTGCTAAAGCGCATATTTGTGTGGGTGAACACGAAGCGCATGAGTAAGTTGACACCCTTCATGGACTCTGCAGTGCCGACGGAGGACATGACCACTATTTTCGGGATGGGCTGTGCGGCAGCTCGCATCGCGGATAGGGTGTTCTTGACGCAGCTGGTCATGAAATCTGGCGGCGAGTTGGGATCGGGGGCTGAGAAAGGACTGTCGGTAAGTCTTCGCGCACTGAGAGTGACGAGTACAGCGTCTATCGCAGAAGGGCTAGAAGCAATCGCCTTTGAAATGTCGGCTTCATTAGCAGGCGAGCCTAGGGAGATGCTGAGGCCCTCCTGTTCGCCGAGAGAGCCGCTCTTTCGAACCAAAGCCGTCACTTGATGCCCTGGATGCTAGTTAGTACTCGTCGGTTGCCATCATAGACAGTTGTAGACTGCGCTTACCTTTTTTCAAGGCCTCGTCAATGACGAGCTGCCCAGTGCGACCACTGCCACCGATGATGAAGAATCTCATGTTGGTTTGAGGTAGAGGCTGTATATAGTAAATTGAGAAGTAAAACCCAAGTAAAAGGGTAAAGAACTAGTGGCGGATGGAGTAATTTAAGCTTGAAAAGGTCGATTTGTAGTCGTGGTTTAGAGAATTGATGTCAAGATGCTGGATTGAATGGAGTTTTCAATGTATGGGATTCAGCAAGAGTATTTGTACCCCGAATTGAATCCGTAGACACCAATGGGTTCATTAAGCACTAAGAATTGTCCTATACTAGATTACGAATCTTGAGAGCTCAGATGTGACGCAGTTGGGACGTGTCGGACAATTCGGCATTCTCACAGCATGGACAATTCGGCAATTTAGCATCTCGGACATTTTACTTAGTTGGTCCGGCGGACAATTCATGTAGTCAGATTTTAGCCTCATTCTTGCTCTCGCTAAAGCAACATGCTCACCGCACTTGAAGACGTAGATATATATATTAGGTGGAAGACCGTTTTATGAAATATAGACAAACAGACCAAGCAGCTTCTACAAACTTTTCCCACGCCTCGTGTTAAATCAGTTATCTCAACATGTCTACCCCTCAGCCTCTAGCTATCATTGGTGCCGGCCTCTCTGGGCTCTGCCTCGCTTTGGCACTCCACCAACAGAACATCCCTTGTGTACTTTACGAGTCTCGCCCTGCACCGCTCGACATCGGTGGTGCTATTATGCTGTCACCCAACGCACTTCAGATTCTCGACAAACTTGGCATCTACAAACGCCTAGAGCCTCTCGGATACGCCTTTGAGAAGCTCTACTTCCAGAATGATGGCAAGCTTCTCGACACATTTGAATTTGGTTCAAAGGAGAAGTATGGATACAGCGGCATGCGAGTCTACCGCTATGAGTTGATCCAAATCATGCTAGACATGATATCAGAGGCTGGCATCAAGCCTCACTATGGCAAGAAGTTCGCCCGCATCACCAAGGAAGATGCGGACGGTGTCTCATGGGAGTTTGAGGACGGGACAACAGGCCAGGCACCCCTTCTCATCGGCGCGGATGGCATCCATTCCCGGGTCCGTTCATACATCTACCCACAAATCGCCCCCATTTTCACCAACATGGCCGGCATATCTGCTGTGGTTCCAACAAAGCAGGCTGACCCGAACGGTGAGGCCAACTTACCTGTCACAATCATGAACAAGGACCACGGTGCTTTCGTTGCTGCGCCTCAGCGAAAGGGAGGCTCGGAGCTGTTCGTGGGCAAGCAGTTTCGGTATACCGAAGAACGCGATAGAGAAGCATGGGAACAGCTGCTCAGCGATAAGAATTGGTGTGTGGATTTCTTGCGCACTGGGCATGAGGAATACCCGCCTATCGTTAAGAACATTGTTTCTCACATTGACCCTGACACCATCAACATCTGGCGGTTCCACATCATCCCCAAGTTGGACTCGTGGGTATCGAAGGGCGGGCGTGTCCTGATTCTTGGCGATGCTGCGCACGCGATTCCCCCAACGGCTGGTCAGGGCGTCAACCAGGCATTTGAGGATGTCTACACCTTTGCCAAGGTCATAGCCAAGGGTGGATCGAAGGCGATCCAAGAAGCACCACAAGTTCTGCGGAACTGGCAGCAAAAGCGTCAATCTCGTATCGATGGCGTCTTGCAGCTCAATGATGCTATTAACAAGAGGAGGTTGCCAGCTCAAAATGGAGAGAGTATCGTGACGGAGCCCTTTGATCTCCACTGGTTGTATGGTGTTGATTTTGACGTTATGGCCGATGAAATGACAGGGAACTAATATACAAGCTTCTTCATGATGAGCTATGTGTGCCTAAATAGTGCCGCAATTGTCTAGCCGTGATCTCAGGCAGTCGTATAGAGAAGACTTAGGATATCATGCTTCAGCCAGTGACACGAGCTATCAAATATAAGTAAATGAATGCTTTTAAAAAATGCGCCGTGTATGAAATATATATGAAAAAAATTTATGGTCATTCTATCTTTGGAAGCTGTTATTCACAAAGTGTTAGAAACAGTGTTAAGCCCCCAAGTTGGCTCCAGTCCAATGTCTAAAGGATAAGTCCAATCAAACGCAAAACCATCCATACCAACACCAAAAAAGCCACTTGTTAGATCCATAGTCATGTCCATTACGTCTGGCAACGAGGCAGAGATGTTTCCAGCCCCAGAAGTAATTGAAGTGCCCTGGCTGACCGGCACACCCAGTTTCTCAGCAACCTCTCGCATAATCCTCGAACAGTTTTCGACGTTCCTCAATGCCGCTTGGACAACGACCTGACCAAGATCAGTTTCCGGTCCCTGAGCTTGAAGAGAATGAGCGTATGCCAAACAAGCACCGACGAAACAGTAGCCTAGGTGGTCGGAGATTCCAGCCTGTAATCGATCTGCGCACCACGCCTCAGCCGCCTGGAGAGATCGAAACAACTCGTCGGTATCCCAGACTGGGAAAGCCCCAGGGTTTTCCAGTTCCTCCTCTTGCGAAGTTATGAGCTCTAATGAAATGGCGAATATAGCTTGGATCGCGATATGGCGAAAAAGACCTGGGCTGTTGACGAAGAGTCTCTTGAGGGTGGGAGCTGCAGCCGGATCACCTCCACAGCTACTCTCTAGCATTCCACTGACCTTGACCATTTCAATCGAGGCTGTGATGCAAAACCTCCGAGAATAATGAAAGGTCGGGTTTCTGATTGAATGTCCCAATACAGGGAGATGAAGGGCTAAAAGGTACCGAGAGATGATGATATTCGCGATTGAATTATGCGCGGAGTTCGTCGGGGCGGTAGCTGTGTAGCCAGCCCTGAAAGTTCGTTGCATTCTTCCTTTGGCTTTGCTCAGATCTGTGTGAAAACGAAGAACCTCATCATATGATATCGTTTGGCCAATGCCATTCAATTTGTTGACGAGTTCGGAGCGAAGTTGGAACGATTCGAACAGAGCCAGTTGGGGAGTTGTTCGAGTCTGCTTCCTTGCACTGGATTCTATCACTTTAGTGTCATCGGGCTCATTTGTGAGCTCCTCATCCGTCATATTGGATGGGGGACGAATATCGTAATCTGAAGGAGAGACCAAGGTTGTTTGGCCGGCTTGGAGGGACAACATGAGATTCAACTCAAGAACAGTCGTCCATAGCCGCCGGCGCATCTCTGCCTGAATGATGGAAGGAGTTGGCAGGACATGTCGAGGTTCGCGGTGAAGTCCCAGGTACATTGACCGTCTCACAAGTTGACCAACTGATACCCAGCATTGGTGCATCTGATCGTTTTCGGACGCGTTGGCTTCAGCAATTAGGACGAGACAGGCTAGCTGTACTTCCTCAAAGGAGGGCTTCTTCTTCGCCCTTTCAAACGAATCCTGGAGCCACCTGTGGCCTTCCAGTATCCATTGGTTTGCGGCATTTTTCCAGACGAGACATTCTGGATGCGCAGTAATCCCCAAGGCCATGCAAAGCTGAAGCTGCAGGACAAAAATCTGATTGACCGTGTCCCGTTGCTGCCAAAACTTTACATACTCGGAACGGAAACTAGGCACGTGAAGAACCCGTAGCCACCCCTCAAAGTGGTCAAAATAGTTCTCAAGAAAACAATCGGCCAACGGTTTGTCCGGTATTCTCGTCCCGGTGGCTATCGGCGTGATGGGGACTGCAAAATACTGGTCGATCTGTCTGCGGAAGGACTTGAAGTTGCTGGTCACTTGATGGAGCTGGGACCTTTCGGACTGCGCCTTCGCAAGTGGCCGGAGTATGTTTGAATACTTTTCTTGTCAGAGTGATACTTTGAAATCTGGAACTAGGTGGTTCAACATACTAAGCTGGTGCCGTTGATCCAAGCGCTCTGGGCACCAAACCTGACTCCTGAGCCCGCACAGCTGCCAGCTGCAGCCTGGTTCTGGGTATGGGGCGCGTGATGTGTCGAGGCCCGTTCATTGGATAGCTGTTTCACGATTTCCTCCAATTCCTTTATCCTCTGAAGCAGCGGATCACCGTGTGGTGACTGCGAAACATGGCGGGATCGTATTCCAATGTTCAGGTCTCTTGGCAAAGCAGGAGATGATGTGCTCTGAACATTTATCGCCGATTCTACTTCCGGGAATATGTCCACGTGTCTTTGCCCCGGAAATGCTGAAGGGTCTTGCGAAGACGGCGAATCACAGGATATTGAATCCGCCTGAGTCTGCGGTGTCGGAAGATCGGGACCGTGGTCCAGGGATCCAGGAATTTCCGAAGGCGGGAAGTTGCAGTCGGGAATTTTAGCCTTGATACAGTTATTGCAGGGTCTCTCCTGATCGCACTTGACCTTCCTCCTTCTACATTGAAAGCATGCAAGGGGGGGCCGGCGGCGTCTCTTGAGCGGAGGTGTTGACAGTGGTGCTTCTGGCCTGCGACCAGGTTGGCCCGCGTTTGGTCCCCGTTCTGGCATTTCAGGGTCCTTTCCGAGCGCGAATAGTCTCGATCGAGAGTCACCGGATTGAGAGTTACCGGGACCGCGGGTGGGAGAACCGCGGGGAGGAGAACCGCGGACGAGGAGGCGTTGAGTGGAGGAATTGCGCTGAGTTTCGGAATTTCCGGACAATTATTTTTTGACGCGTTCGGACAATTCGGCAGTGCGCGAAATAAGTGGAGAACCAAGCAAACTTTGGATCCATAGCATTTGATGGTAAATCGTAAAGACTAAGCCCAGTATATGATTGATATTTTATATGACAAAGAAGGCCGTGATCCAAGAATAAGATCCTCCAACTTATTACCAAAAATGCGGATTGAGTTTATAGGAAGACCATGCAACGAATCCCGTGATCGAGGCAAGCAGAATATCAGGTATCATGGGCTTGCGACTTGCAATGCGCATAACCAGCCCGATACCCTGGAAGAAGGTGCCAAGTAGCGCGGCAACGGTTCGTGTTCTCGGAAACACAAGCATCGTCGCGAGGGTCACGTCCATAATCGGGATCAGTCGCGTGGATTCGTCGTCAGGTGCTCGGTCCACCTGGTATCGGTGGAAGGCTGGAGTGTATTGCCCATGGGTGAAACGGCTGAAGCCGCCGAGGTATGTGATGCCGATGAGGCCGCCGAGAGCTACTTTTTCCATAGTTGTGGCCATGGTTCTAGTCAGTTGGATTGTTGCGGTGAGCTGTTGTCACGGAATCAAGTTGTCGGTAATGAAGTTGTCGGAAATGAAAGCTGACGCAACCCCCTAAACTCTGTTTCCTGGACAATGCCTGCCTGCTTCTCGTGCTGACTCAGAATGGCTTTTTTTTTCTTTTCGCCCCCGCGCGATAATCTGTTTATAACGGGAGTTGTCTGCTCTGAAGCTGAGTATGCAGCGCTGGCACAGCACATAGTGTGCGGCTAGGATTTACCGCAGGGGCATGTCAGCATCGAGATGTTAGGCGGCAATATGGGGCGCGTTCAAGGTTGACAGAAGACCACCAAACCAAAGTCCCTCTATGCTTTGTACGAAACTTACACAGGACCAATCGTCATGCCTAAAAGTGCCCAGAGGACGTGGAATGCAGATCAGGACCGTGCCGTGTTTGCCGACCCTGACCTCATCCCACTAAGATTCATGGAATAAGGGACTTTGGGCACAAAGAAACCACCCCATACTACCCTGAACCCAAGCCATTGCTCAGCCCTGCCGGGCGTCGTCGATCCTACAATCGAGCTCATACACAGAAACCGGGCACTTTGGTTCCATGGGGTATGAGACTGTGGGTCAGCCGTTTCCGAGGCATGGTTTATTTAACTGATTGCTGCTAGCTCTCAATGGCGGGGGCTTTGGAAATTATGATTATCGATTGAGGAAGATTTTAAACAAGAACCATAAACGCCAACATCCAAATGGACTTTACCCAGCCTTGTCTTCATTTTGACATCCACAAGCCTACACTGGGACGCCATTATGATATTCAAGACTCTGAGCGGAACATCAAAGCATACACTGCAGAGATATCAGTGTTTTCAGTGGGAAAGCCGGACCTCACTCTCATCCAAGGCTCAAGCAGGAACTCCAGCTCGATGGTCGCAGCTAGCCATTTCAAAAAAATCGGCCGCACGATAAGAATTGGTCTGGGAAACACGGACCATGCGCCTGGCCAAGTGCACTGGGAGGAGATGAAGGCTGAAAGCGCTATGAAAATCTGCCATGTCTGGGCTCTGACATTGCCCGACGGCAGTAGGAGAACCTTCGCATGGAAGAAAACATCAACCCATCGTGCCGATGGAGCACGGGGCGGTCTCTTCAGCACCAACTACAAGCTTGTCGATATGACAGGAGGTGGTAGCAACGTTGTTGCTGTGTGTACCACGTCTGGCGCCTTTACCGAAAATGCAAAATTGCAGATCAACCAAGACTTAGGGCCAGATTTCAGGGTGATGGTTCTCATGACATTTATTTCGCTTTACGAAGTCCTGAGGAGAGCGCGTGCTGCGTCCCAAAGCGCCTCCGGCTCGTCGTGATTGATGTCTGAGGTTCACCCTGTCGTTCATTAGACATCGTCGATATTTTCTTTTCTACTGTCGGAGCTTATCGTTTGGTGTCTATAGTTGAAAATTTAGCATATCACCATTCCATCTATGTTAGTGAATTGGAGTGCTTCCCTGTACCATGCAAGTCATCAAGTGAGAAGGCGTGTGCTCCTGAATATATAGATGCGATTGGCGACTTGCACTGATGGCGAGGAAGTGATGGCTATACTGTAAGCCATTGCTGGAGTTTTATGAGGATGAAGAAATGAATCGATCTAATGAAATCACGTATTCTCCAATATGTTCGCGATACCACGCCGCACAAGAATGTCTCACAATTGCGTTCAAACGCAGCTCGCATAACTGTCATAGGCCCTCCAGCGTTACACCTCCTACAGCCAAAGTCTCTGAAAGCTATGACGATGATACCATATGGCTGAATAGTTGTAGAGACGTACCGTAAAAGAATCACATTGTTCACCAAATGGTATGTTAGTCAAATGCCGGGCCGTGTGGATCAAGAGCTAAGTAGCTTTGAGCGCATGATGAGAATACTAAATTAATATACTAATTGACACCATTTGTAGCTTGAATATCAGGCAGTTGAGGTGTTGATTCGCAAAAGAGGGTGACACTTCGGTGAATCACAATTTAGGTACAGACCTAATCATTGGTATGAAAATGACGTTGCGCTGCTTGGTACAATGTACAAACATTCACAGTTTATTTGAAGCATTGCTGGAAAATAAATATATATATTACTCTAGCTACACCCAACTCCTCCACCCCGGACTTCGTAAAATGACTTTTAATCCCTGGCGTGGATATCAGGCTAACAACATTGACAACCACAGTAGCAATCTCGGTCAACCAATCTGGTTGGTCAAGAAGGTTTGAAATCGGAGAAATGGCAAGCGTTACCCAGCTTCAATATACCGAGCAGCGTTTATCGCAAGAAATCCGGACTTTAGAGAATGCAATGCAGGAGTCTGTACGGAGACGAAGACAGGTGAACGAGGACTTTTGGCCACAGTATGAGCAAATGGACCGTCGCAGTCAAGAAGCGCGAGCATTCAAGACACAGTTCGAAGATGATCTGCACCGGATGATCGAGGTGGAGGTTCTAATGAAAAAGAGAAAGACGACTCTGGATGCTGAGCTTGTCAACGTACGAACCCAACTTGCTTTCTTGCAAGGAGATGGAGAGTAGGAGAGAGAAGAAGCAAGTTCAGAAAGGCTGAGCAAGAAAGGTTTCATGCCGAAGGATGAAATGAGGTGCACTGTATTGGTTTTTGAGGTTTGATTGAAGGGCTAGTAGAATCTCCATGTCACACACAAGTGTTTCCTTGGGTTCTTGGGTAGTCATTTCCTTCTTATAACATGGAACTTATGTTCAGCCTGTTTGCGAGTTGTTCGGAAAATCCAATCACAGGATGATACACCTCAAGGGAGGAAAGACTGTCTGGGTAACTTGACGGCAATGTCGACTGAAATTTACGTTGTATTAGGGCTGAGATGTTTTGATTCAGTTACAGCTTAATTCTATTTGAACCTAAACACAATAGCTGAAGAATAGGCAGGAGAATTAGAGCTTGTGTTTTCGATGTCGAGCATCCGTGCTGTCCATGCGCAATCCCTCATCATCCTCCTCGGCAACTCGTAGATCTGGAAACTGGGCGGGTAGCATCCTCCTTGGCGTCGACCCAGGGACTACGCTGTACTTGGAAAAGTCCTGCACACCTCTTGCACGTAAGAAATCCTCGTCTATTTCCAGACAGCCGTTAATCTCGTCAGCTGGAGCTCGAAGCATCTCCAGAATGGCATCGGAGAATATTGTCTGTGACCGGATTAGCGTTTAAAGGTTGCTTCATAATATTGGGCAAATACTTTACTCACAGCCTTTCTAAGGTCAGGCAAAAGCCTTGCGTCTGGCGCCGCAGCTGATTGAATCCCCTACCGACTGTGAGTTTCATAATCTCATTAAGTGAAATGAACATGGACACCAACCACTGCAGGCCATATGGATGAGACGGCCATGTCCGATTTGCCCTCTCGCTTCCAGTCCATTGCAAGCCCTTTTGTGAGCACAGACATGCCGACCTTGACAGCGGCGTATGCTGTCTTGCCTCGAAAGAAGCGTGAATAGATGGGCGGGCTTACAACAATGATCCGCCCCTTCCACCGGTTCTGTTGCCAGTGAGGCATTGCAGCTTGTATGGTCGCGTAGAGGCCATTAATATTCACATCTTGAAGTAACTTGAACCGTTTCATCGACGTCTTCTCCACGGACGACCACCATACCGCACCGGAATTATAAATGATCACATCCAAAGAACCATAGTGCCTCGAGGTGAAATCAACCATGTTCTTGACAGACTCGGGGTCTCTTGTATCAACCTGAAAGGCTACAGCTTCTCCGCCGGCCTCCTTGATTTCGCGAACGACGGTAGTGATGGTCGATTCATTGGAGTTGGGATCGGGCGGGAAAGGGGCGGTTGGTCTGGTGGCATCACTGGCGCTCTTGGCTGCCACAACCACTGAGATGCCTCTGTCATTTCTCCGCCTCTAGCCTGTACTTAGGGATTGAATTGCTTACCTCGATATCCATGCCTCGCAAGGTCAATGGCTATCTGACGACCGATTCCACGGGAAGCCCCAACTACAAGAGCAACCGGGCTCGATAGGTCGGCCATTTTCTCTCACACTCTAGAGAAGCCAGGACAGATAGATGCGGTAGGAGAGCATATCCCGAGCCGCCGACTCGTGCATGTGAGATGAAGGAAGAAGCCCCGCAATTGGAATGAAGCCAGCCGTGGCACAAGCGGCAGAGATTGGTTCAGATCATCCCTGTTTTGGATTACATAAACCACTATTCTGCCAAGTCTGGGGTCGCGCCTCGGCTAAAACTTAGGGAGAACCGAAGGCGCGATAAATACATGTGATGTTGTCATCTCACCCTCTTAATCAATTGGATGTGCTAAGCTATCCTTTGCCAATAGCCCCTTGACATATCACGACAGAGCTCAATAACAGACAAGATGGCTCCGCATAAGAAAAAGATCGAGGCGTATCTCGACTGTGGTGAGTGCCCTTGCAAAGAACATCAAGCGCGCTGTTTTGACATTTCCATGACGCAGTCTCTCCTTATAGCTTCCTCGCGTTTTCATACCTCTCTCAACACAAACAGGCACTTGAAGACCTGAATGTCGAAATAGAGTAAGGGTCACTCTGTTTGCAACAGGATATCGGCTTTCTAACCATGGCTCACTAGATTCATCCCGGTTTTCTTAGGTGGGATTATGGCGAGCTCAGGTGAGAGATCCCTCCAATTGACGTATGACCTCCTCCTCTCTCTGACAGACGGGAAAGGCAACAAGCCACCTATGGCTCTCGCCGCCAAGTCCGCCTACTCGCCGTATGATATCAAGCGAGCGCAGAAATACTTCGGATTGAGATTCAAAGTTCCGGATTTCTTCCCCTTCTTGTCTTTATTGGTATGGATACCTCGCGATCCTATCTTATGCGTACCTTTTCCACTTACTCAACCTGAACAGCCGCAAAGGTGCCTCACCCTTGTCAAGGAAGAATATACGGAACAGTACGACGCCCTGCACAAAGCATGCTTCCAGGCCCTGTGGCTCGACCACAAGGATCTTTCGAAGCAGGAGAACATGATTGCAGTCCTGCAGGGTGTCTTCGGCACCGAGCAAGCGACCAAGATTCTAAAAGACTCTCAAGGTCCGGATGTTAAGAAGAAGTTGAATGATGTAACAAAGCATACTGCGGAGACTTTAGGGGCGTATGGGTGTCCTTGGTTCTGGGTGCATGATGGCAAGGGGAAGGCTGAGCCCTTCTTTGGAAGTGACAGATTTCACTACATGTGGGACTTTCTAGATCTCCCACACCAGGATCTGGAGCTATTGCCTGCGCCGATTTTGGGTAAGCTGTGAGTATCATTGTGTCCTCACTTTTCATAGCCCTAGAATCGCCGGTTGCCTAGGGTTGTGGTAGCCGATTTGTTTTCTACTACACAGAAGTCCAACATCTAGTGGTTGGAGGGGGACTTAAGATACTCATGAATAAAACTACAAAGCTTCACGCGGGAGTTCTGGAGTTTTGGTACAAGTAACGTGTTTAACCTAGATGCAGCTAGTTCTTTGTACCTTATGAAGCCCCATGTCACCCGATGGCCCCCATTAACAGCCAAGATTGCAGCTAATCACCTCGACATTTTGATGAAAAGCCCCGTCCTTGTCGCACATTGTTGGGCTATTTGGGTAGGATAGCGGAGTTTATGAAAATACCGACCGATGTTTGGCTTCTTTGGATCCCCAATCGTTCGTGATCCAGCTTGCTCGGAGAACCAAACATACTCTCTTAGGCAAACCCCGAATCTACATTACCTAGGACTCTTCCACAGTGTTGCCAAAATAATGATCTTTGTGTGCGGCAACTTTATGGTCTCCTCCAATGCCAGCTGTCTTGCCAAACTGTCCAATCTCCGCCACTTCAGCATCGGAAAGTTCAACGTTGAGAGTCGCCCAATTCTCCTCGAGGTACTTGATCTTCTTTGTGCCTGGGATGGGAATGATATCATCGCCCTGCTTGAGGAGCCATGCAAGAGCCAGCTGAGAGGTGGTGCAGCCCTTCTTCTCGGCCAAGGTTTTGAACTGGCTTACAACCTTTATGTTGTTCTCGCGATGTTCTTCCGAGAACCAGGGGAAGAACTTGTGACGCCTGTCCTTGCTGTCACTCGCCGGCTCACCAGCGCCAAAGGTTGAGGTGAGTATTCCCCGGCCGAGGGGAGAATGCACGACAACGGCAACACCAAGCTCGCGAGCGGTGGCTAGAAGGTCAGTGCCTTTCTCGCTCTCAATTTCACGGGCAAACACAGAGTATTCTGTCTGGACGGCTGCCACTGGCGCGATTTTGTAAGCCCTTCGCAGTGTGGTTGAGGAAATACCCGAGAGGCCAATATGCTTGATTTTCCCCTCTCTTTAATAAATCAGTCAGAGATAGCAAGGGGGATTTGCGGGATGGCGTGACAAAGGAACTAGGACTCACGATTGCAATTTGACCAACTCTCTCATTGTCACCTCGATTGGTGTGACGGGACTGGCATGGTGCACGTAGTCTGAAACAGACAGATGGACGTTAGCATCTTGAACACAAAAAGAAGGGTACACATTGCCTTACAAAGGTCAATCGAATCTATCCCGAGAATGCGCAGACTCTCCAGACAGGCCTTTCTGGTATAGGCAGCGGAAGTATCATACTTGGGGCCCTTGGTGTGATCGTGGCCTTTGACGAACCCAAACTTGGTGACCACGAAGATGTCATCGCGCTTCCCGGTTCGCTTGAACCACTTTGCCATCAATTCTTCGCTATCTCCGTAAAGACTGCAATCCGAGTTAGACTCATCTTCCATATAATAAGGAGGTATGGGCGATGACTTCGTTTGCTGCCGCAAGACCTTATCGCAAGGGATACTTACTCAGCGCTGTCCCACATGGTCATACCCAGCTCATAGGCACGATCCAAGACAGCGAAACGCTCTTCATCGGAAGGAATTGATCCATAGAAGTCGGTCCCGAGTGCCATCTGGCCAAATCCTATGGCAGACACAAGGGGTCCGTTCCTGCCAAGTTGGCGGAGCTTCGGGAAGGCAGGCATGTTGGCTTGGAATGAAGCAGGGATAAGTATGGAATTTTTGGCAGTTGGGATAAGAGTATGTCTTTCTATTGAGAGTAGTGACACAATAGCAAGCGGGAGGCTTGTGAATAAGTTATTCTCCCTGCAGATGAGGCGGGAATCGTTGTCTTTATATAGCTTTTCCGCAGCACTCGGCTGCTCCTGACGTGGCTCCTGTCATTCGTATACTGTAAAGATTTCTCGGGCTTAAAGGGATTAGGAAGCGCCCGAAGCTACTGTTAAGGAACCTGCGTTGGTCTCATCGGAGATATCGCATACCTACATCATCCGTTTGGATGAATGGTGTGTTCAAGTTGAGAGACTTGGAGATGGATCCACACGATCTAATAGCAAGTGGAGAATGATCCCTGCTCGTTCGATCAACTGTCAGGCCAATCAGTGCAAGGCATGTCCGAGCTGGCGAATAAAGCAGGGGTGGCTTTTGGGCGTAGTGGATAATCCAAATGATCCTTTCTCGCCCCCACTTGAATATCAGCTGGAGCATAAACAGGAACTTCAGGAGTCATTTTGTAACACCGTCACAAACCGATGCGCCATCTCCCTCACCGTTCCGTGAAAGGACTGGATTATAGCAATGGGTCAGGAACTACGGCCGCCGAGATCGAACGGTAAGCACTACATGGGCAAACGGAAAGTGAAGTCCGGTTGCCATACTTGTAGGTGAGTTGAAATCCTGATATCTCCTACCCCTTACCACTCCATCCCTTCTATCCCTTGGTGGGCGCATCCCTCGGGTTCACTAACCGGCACATAGGATCCGAAAGGTCAAATGCGACGAAACCTTTCCCGTTTGCCACCGATGCATGTCAACCGGACGCACATGTGAGGGGTATGGTATTTGGGGCGGAGGAGGTGCTGGAGGGAAGCCCGGGGTTGCATGTAGTACGATAAATCCTCGCTCACGCCTACCTCACCAAACAGGAAACGGCAAGCCCGGTTATGGATCTATTGTTGGCCCTCTATACTCGCCGGCATGTCACTATCCCGTCCTACTCGACACAGGTGATAAAGCTCGTTTCGAGTGGTTCAGGCATCGCTCCGCCCCCAAGTTGCCGGGCACATTCGTCACCGGATTTTGGACGAAACTTGTTTTCCAGGCGGCCTCGACGGAGCCCTCTGTTCTTCATGCAGTTCTTGCGCTGGGCACAGTGCACCGAACACCCACCCTGAGCGACAACACCGCCGCCTCGCAAGAGGTCATCACTCTGCGGCACTATACCAAGGCCATCCGCCACCTTCAGTACCACCTTAACGCCACGGGAAGAGCCTCCCTTCACGTTTCGTTGATAGGATGCGTCATCTTCATTTGCTTAGAGCTCCTCCGTGGCCATTTCGAGACAGCACACCGCCACATGGATAATGGACTGAAGGTCCTGGCCGAAGCCCAAGAGTCGCTTTCAGCAGTGCCTGCCGTACATCAACCTCGAGCCAAGATGCTGGATGGTTGGATTGCCGAAATGTTCACGAGGTTGAGATTGCAGTTCAGACTATTCCACCAAGGCCGTCCGCGGCCCTGCTTTGATTTTCCGGTGAGCCTACGCGGGCCACTACCCAGCACTCGCTTTCACTCAACCAACGAGGCCTGGCAGTATCTGGGACAGCTTCTTGATCGGGCAATTGAGATTTCAAATCAGGCCCGGACGGAGCATGACGCCGGAAGTGCTCTATTGATCAACACCGATGCCTTGAAAGAACGCCAGGAACGCAACCGCGCCGACCTATCGCAGTGGCTCAAGATGTACAATCTCTCACTGGATACTATCCGAGCGGAAACTCCGAGGGGCGATCAGCAAACCAAGTTATATTTGCTCATACTTCAATACTACACGATGGCAGAAATCATGACCGCAACCTGCATATTTCCCTACGACGAGTCAGCGTACGATTTGCAAACAAGCAAGTTCATCACTCTTTTACAGAATGGCATAACTCTGTTGAAAACAGCCCCAGATTTGAATGAGCAGCAGGTATCGATGGGCAACTTCGTCCTCAGACACTTATCCATCATTGACATGGGCTGGATTGCCCCCCTCTTTTATACCGCCACCAAATGCCGCGTCCATCAGATTCGAACCCAAGCCATGCGCCTTCTTTCAACCTCGGAACATCAAGAAGGTATCTGGGATTCTAAGCTGTCCGTTTGCGTGGTTCGCAAAGTGATCGAGCTAGAGGAGAGAGATTTTTACCAAGGGCCACTCGGTGATCTGCACAATTTTCCGCTCTTGCACTGTCCAAAAGAACAGGACTTGCTGCTTCCGAATATACCTGAAAGCTACAGGATTCATGGAATTGAGATGGATTTGCTCGGAGAGCCTTTGGAAAGGGTGAAGCTGACCTGTAGCCAGAAACGAGATGGTGTGGATCGAACCGTGTTCGAAGGGGAATACGTCTTAGCTTCACAGGAATGGGGATCGGTCAGGGCAGATTCGCTAGATTGAGGATATAATTATGATCTAACAAACATCACTTTCAAAGAAGTATTCTGGTCTAGTAACACCCTAGCATCAGCCGCCGATAGGCCAGACTAGCAATGGAAAGCCCAAGTAGGCACCCACTACCGAAATCGTAGGTATCAAGCAATGAACCTTTGTGGGAGCTCGTCTTTATCGACTTAGGTCACGACTTAATATTAGGGTGACCCATCGCATCTTGAATAGCAGTCACATTCCCAAGGTGTTACGGCGATTAGCTGGAGCCCTTCAACATTCTTACCATTCATAAGTGCGATCGCAACCTCTATGGACATATTGCGCATTCACAGTTCTACATTGGTTTCAAATGCGAAAGGTTAATACGAGCTGTCTTGATTGGTGGAGAATAATTTGAAGAGGGTAATTGCGTGGATAAGATCAGCCTGTCAGTATCGCGGCATTATTTCGAAGCTCAAAATATGCGGGTAAATGCGACTGGACAACCTGGGAACCAAAAAGTCACAAGAGTTGGTAAGATATAAATATATCTATCTATCGAGTAGGAGGGAATATCTGATCTGTGGGTTAGTTTTAAAAGAGTCGAAAAACTGTGAAGATGAAGTATTCATATTTTGCCACGGGCCTCTTTGGACTTTTGCTTCCTGCTTCTCGAGCGACATGTCTTTCCAGAAACCCAACAGTTTCTACCGTGAACGGAACTTATGTAGGGAAGCACCTGGAAAGTTTCAATCAAGATGTGTTCTTAGGAATGCCATTTGCATTACCTCCAACAGGGGAGAAGCGTTTCCAGCGCCCTCATTATATCAACCAAGCCTTTGCAGAAACTCGGAATGCCACTAGCTACGGACCTGCCGTAAGTAGAATGCAAACCTATCATCTTGAAGAGACTTAGCAAAATTTACCTCGTAGTAGTGTCCACAATACTCTCCACCGAATGTGTTTGGGAACGATGTTTCCGAGGACTGTTTGAGCATGAATGGTAAGTTCTAGCTCGCCGAAGGATTAATCAACCTTCGTGGTTAATGGTTTGCTTAGTTGTACGCCCCGCTGGTATTTCATCGGACGCCAACCTTCCAGTGTTAGTTTGGATATATGGGGGTGGCTTTGATGGCGGCGGAACCTCTGACCCTCGTTACAACATGTCTGGGATTGTCCAACTCAGTCAGGAGATTGGAAAGCCTATAGTTGGAGGTAGGTCACTAGAAGCTGTGTTCATGGTACTTCATTACTGAACATACTTAGTTTCATTCAACTATCGGATCAACAAACTCGGCTTCATGCAAACACCAGAGCTTTTGAAAGAAGGAAGTACCAATGCTGGAATGCATGATCAAAGGCTCGCACTCATGTGGATCCAGGAGAACATCGCTTCTTTTGGTGGTGATCCTAACAAGGTTACGGTCTGGGGTGAATGTGCGTACTCGCTCCCTCTATCTTGAGTGAAGCTGACCTTTCTTCTTGCAGCTGCTGGGGCACAAGCTATTGGGCTCCACATGTTTACGTATGATGGAAGAGATGACGGGCTTTATCATGCTGCTATTATGGAATCTGGAGGGCCATCTGGAGCTCCGATGCACGATCTTTCATTTTACGCTGGCTTCGTGGAGTCTCTCGCAGCACAGGTTGGATGTACTGGCTCCAGCACCATGATCAAATGTCTCAGAGCTGTACCATTCGAGGCATGGCAAGCTGCCAAGACCACCAGTCTCATATGGAACCCCAGTGAGTTTAAAGCCCGACCAACTGTGCATTAGCACCGCGGAAGCTGATAGAGTGGTCCAGTGGTGGACGGAGAGTTATGGAGTGATTTCCCGAGCGTTCTTGCTAGGAAGGGTAAATTCCTACGCGTCCCCGTAATCATAGGTACCAACAGTGACGAAGGTTGTACCTTTGCAACGAAAGGTATCAACACCGAAGACGAGCTCGTGAAGAGCATGCTCGACTACCGGAGATACAATATTCGCCCACCGATGGCCAAGAAACTATTGGAACTCTATCCAGACGATCCTGCATCCCAGCCTCCATACTATCTGAACCCTGACCCAGTCGTGTTCCCTGACCAGGGACTGCTGTGGCGCCGTGCCGCAGCCATTGAGGGAGATATGGTCATGATTGCTGGGCGACGTCGTGTGGCAGAGCAACTGACAGCTGCTGGAGCTCCCGTTTACAGCTATCGATTTGACACTTTAGGCGTCAGTACCATACACACTTGTCTTGTCTGGACGTTAACTAACACATGCCATTTGAGTTTATAGTATGGTGAAAGATGGGATAGGGGCGTTGGCCACTTTCAAAACGTGGCTTTCAGCTTTCAAAATATCTCAGGTGGACTTGGCCCGATGCCGGCTTATGAGCACTACAAGGTATTGAGCGAAGATATCGGAAGGGCTTATATATCGTTTGTTTACGACCATGACCCCAACTCGAGCCGTGGAAATGACAGCACGCTACCCGTGTGGCCGAAGTACGATCTGTCCAAGCCGCAAAATATTGTTCTGGATGCCAACGGAAGTTACGTGGAAGACGATACGTATCGTAAGGAAGGAATTGCTTTCCTGAATGAAGTAGGGTCGAACATCCAGATTCTAGCATAGAAGGAACATCTATACCTCTATAAAGGAAAATTACATGCATCGTCGCAAAATAATGAGCTTCCGCCGGATGCCCACACGAAAACACCAGCGTATGTAGAGTTTCACGGATCTGCCTAGAAACGCGGTTGGGAACAGGCTGCGATAGGCAGCATTGAGCTCATCAGCAGATTGATTGGCATCAAACAAAGCATAGGGCTTGTACTGATTATAGTCTGTTGACTCCTTTGGAGCCAATGATCAAATTCGTCCTCCCGTCTTCAGCTTGATGAGGAGATCATAAGAGAAATCAAGTCCCTTGATGGCGTCTTGAAAAGCCTTGCTTTCCAACAACTGCAAATGCCCGCTGACCGCCTGAACGACGATGTCTCGAAGCAAGCGATCGTGATCGACCGTGGAGTTATAAACCTCCTTCAGAGCCAGCATGAAATCCTCAGAGTGCCAATATAGGTCCACTTCGCTCTTAAATTTTGCCGCTGCTAGTGCCTTCAAGCCGGAGATGTCGTATTTCTCTCCCAGGGCGTAGACTTGAGCATGCAAGACGAGATGGGAGGATGTTGCCATGTTGCCGAGAATTGTATTCTCAGCCTTGGTCTTCTTCTTGTCGGTGCTAAATATCGTTGGAACCGTTGCACCCTGTGCGGCGGAAACGGGAGTCGCCGCACCAAAAAGGCCCCCTTGGCCGTGCCCCCCCTGGTTGAGGTATACGGGAGGTTTATGGCTTGCTGCCTTTGTTTCTGGAGGAAAGTAGTCCAGAAAATAAAAGTATCGGATCATCATCTTCACTGCGACCGGGTCGTCATCGGGAAGGGAGATTTCGCCCGTCTCAGCTTCCTATTCAGTGGTTAGAGACCTCTAAGAGCTATCACGTACTGAAAATATTAGCATGGAGGAAGAGGTCACCTTGAAATTATTGCGGCACGCTGCCTCGAAAAAGCTGGAGCGAGTGCACACGAGCGCTCTGTGCACCTTGTACTGGCTGCCACCACATAGAATGGTAAGATCGGAGTAAGACTCGTTCAAAAAGAGTCTGTTTTGACGGTCAATAATCTCCATGTGATGCACCTAAAAGATATTTCCAACCTTTGAAGAGAGCTCGTGAGTTCTCTGACTGGTTCATTTGTTGTTTTGGGATACCCGAACAAGGAGCCCGCTGCGGCAGGGGAGAGGCTGAAAGCCATGGTAAGATACAAGCCAGAGGGCCAAAATGAATTGTGAAATCTAGTTTTACGCGGCTTGTCTGCCAGCTACTCTTCACAACGCGATGAAGAATGAAAGGTTGGTGCTTCTGTTGTGTTACGTTCAGGCAACAACCCCGCGGGCGATGCACGGTCAATTGCCTCACTGCCCAACGCACAGGATTAACCAATCGACGGGCATGGATCTTGTCGGTTTTTTTGGTAGTCGTCATGCGAACTCAAAAGCTACTCCGCATCTGGCAGGCACAGCTGGCGTGACAGTTGGCGTTGGTCCTAAGGCTTTTTGATCGAGTATAAATTTTAAATCAAAAGAACCCATTAGCCTTAACTAACTGATCCCAAGTTTGTAAAAAACCAAATGATCACATGACATACGACTGCTATATATATCTCCGGGCAGCCCTGCAAGGCAGCCAAGGGGGAGGCCAAGCATATCCTATCCTAACCCTGAAGCTGGGTCTTGGATACAAACATACATCTCAAGTAATGTTGGCGTGTTCCTGCTCTTTCTGTTGACCAACGATTGAAAGATGCTTCTAGGCCCGCGTTTATCCCCACAGCGGTTCCTGCGCGAATCCTCCGTAAGCAGAGTGCCATTACCCCGACGACGACATGGGTGAGGGCCGGTTGTTGGCCGGTTGTTACGCACTCAGGTGGGTGCTGCCATTCTATTTCTTTTCTACACAATCGTCCCAGCTACTCTGTTCTTCCTCGTACACACACACGATAAATCACATTCGCCATGCCTCTGGTACGCTGGTTGCCGCGGGCAAGCCATGCCACAACGGCAAGGCGAGCTGTCTCCGTCCAACGACATCTGCGTCCGCAAGTGCCAGCAATGACTTCTTTTCTCCGAAGCCCCCGCGGCTTGGCTCCGACGCCGGCTGTGCCCCTTTCTACCACTCGCAGCATACAATCCTCGCATGGTCTCACGACGGCAAATCCAGCACCTCCTAATAGCCCCGACACGTAAGTGCATTTGTTTTCAATTATCTAGTCATAAGAAAAGGAAGGAAGAGACCAACAGAAAGCAGGTACACCACCGCGTATGCCCTGTTCGACTCACTTTGGGAGGTATGTATACTTCAACCATCCCACCCCTTGCCCCTTCATAATAATAGCTGGTGATTGAACGACCCATAGGCTGGTATCACAACATGTTTTGTCAATGTCGGATCGGACCACCCCTCCATCCTCGAGGCAATTGTCAAAGGCAAGAGAGAGCGACCGGACTCATGGCCTAAGCTCATCACCTGCCCCTCCGAGATAACCGCTATTTCCATGGCCGACGGCTATGCGCGGGTTACAGGCAAACCCCAGGCCGTCCTCGTCCATGTTGATGTTGGCACTCAGGCGCTCGCCCACGGTCTGCACAATGCGAGTGTCGGCCGCGTTCCCGTTCTCATCCTTGCGGGCCTGGTTCCTTATACTGAGTCTGGGGAGCTGCCTGGGTCGCGGACAGAGTATAGTAACTGGTTGCAGGACGCTCCGGACCAGAAAGGGCTCGTTAGACAATACTGTAGATATACAGGTGAGATCCACACGGGGCTTAACGTCAAGCAGAACATGGCTCGCGCGCTCCAGTTTGCAAGCAGCTCGCCCAAGGGCCCGTCGTATCTGGTCTGCGCCAGAGAGGTCCTAGCCCAGGAGATCAAACCATATTCTTTAAACCTGAGCAGGTGGGTTCCGATCGGAGAGACTGCTCTACCTCCCGACGCTGTTCGCGATGTTGCGGAGGCATTGGTAAACGCCGAACGTCCTCTCATCATCACAGGCTATTCAGGCCGCGACCGTCGAACACCCGAAATTCTCGCTGCCCTCGCAGACTCTATTCCTGGGATTCGTGTTCATGACACAGGTGGTAGTGACGTCAACATTCCTTTCTCTAACATCGCTTCCGAGGGCTTCCGACTCGGTGTAGACGAGTGTACCCAGGACGCCGATGTCATCTTGCTTCTGGACTGTGACGTGCCTTGGATCCCATCGCGCAATCCACCGTCGGCTGACGCCCGCATCTATCACATTGATATTGACCCCCTCAAACAGCATTACCCGGTGTCTTTCTACCCTGCCAACGGTCGCTGGAAGGCCGATAGTTTCACTGCACTCACGCAATTGGTCAATCACGTCAAGAACGACACTGCACTTGTGGAAAAACTCCAGAATCCCGTCTATATTGATCGTCGAGATGCACGTGCTCAGGCACACCAAGCACGAATGGACGAAATCGCATCTCGACCTCGCCTAGGTGATGATGTGCCCTTGGATTTCGACAACATTGGCCAGCTTCTCAAGTCCGTACTTCCGGAATCCACGAACTTTGTCATCGAAGCGGTCACAGCTTCCCATGCTCTTCACGACCAACTCCAGCCAACACGGCCAGGGAGCTGGATCAACTGCGGCGCAACAGGAATCGGATGGAGCAACGGTGCAGCACTCGGTGTCAGAATGGCTGTGACAGATACAGAGGCCCAGGATGGACAAGACACCCAGCACCAAGGAGGTTTAGTGTGCCAGGTTGTCGGCGACGGGAGCTTCATGTGCGCGGCGCCGTCAAGCGCGCTGTGGGTAGGCTCCAAGTATCAAATTCCGATCTTGACGGTTGTGTTGAACAATGGAGGTGAGAACACAAGCTAATACTCGGACAAGAACCAAGAAGTCGTGGTATACTAACATATAATGAACCATCTAGGCTGGAAAGCACCCCGGAACTCTGTGAAGCTTGTCTACCCTGACGGTCTGGGTGCGTCAGCTACCGATGACGAAATCAACACTGGGATCCGACCAAGTCCAAACTACGCCGCATTAGCAGAGGCTGCCGCCGGGTCGGAGGTCGGCTGGACAAACGAGATAAAAGATCCTCAAGGTTGGATGAAAGGTGTTAGAGTTCGGACGGTAGGAGAACTGAAGAAAGCACTTACGTCGGCGGTGACTAGGCTTTCCGCAGATAAAAAGTCAATGCTCATTGAGGTGTTGCTTTAGACCACTACTCACTCTCTTTGAGTTACTTACTGCACTTGATGGATGAGGTCAAAGCGCAGTATCTAGCCAATCAAGTTTCTTGTGGCTTATCTAATGCAGCAATACCATGGAGAAGGTGTTTTGGTCGCCAGACAGGATGATGCCAGGATAGAAGCGTTACTTCCCGGGACTACTAGTAGTGCTCTCTATTCTCATGGTGATACGCAACTATCAATCTAGGATATGTAGCTGTAAATTGAACGTATCTAATCGTTACGCTAACTACATTTGACGCATATGAAGACAACTATTTATGAAAAGACTCTTAAATCTCTACTAAAAGAAACTGTGCGCTTGACTAAGTATAACTAGATTATAGAACCCTAATACCTCTCTAATGAATAATATCTACACGGAGGGGACAGAAATATAATGCTTCTATGCTTCTCGATACGTGGTGAACATAGTCCTCCGAATAGTAACATTTTAGCAACCCAACGGATCCAAAAACGACCAAGTTGGCACCTTCTATACTAAAGATATTTGAACATATTGAGACAAAACAACGATCTGTTGAACTATACCCCATAACCAACAAAAGGGTTAGTTTAAGCGTAGATGTAGCAGTAATCATTCTCAATCGTAGAGATCGTATGACCAAAGTTGACATCTCCACCAAGAATCTCAGTCAGGCGGAGAATTGTGTCCAGAGTTGTGTTCGCAGAAGGGGGCCGGTTCGCAAACGTCTCGGTTCCGCCTACCTGGCTCTTTCGAGCATCCTGATCCAATCCTTGCCAGATACTCCAAAGACGGTCGATTTGACTGTGGAGAAGAAAGAAGATTGGGTCGCTTGGGGAACTGTAGAAATCGTAACCATCACCTCCCAGGTACTGATGAGCGAAGCCATGAACGAGATGATCATAGTTGCCGAAGAAGGCACTGTAGTCCGCAGACTGGAGAAGCGTGTTAGCGGCTGTGTAGGTGAGGCCTGTGTTGCTGTATTCTTGATTGAAATCGCGGGATAGACAGTGCGGTGGGTTCTTGACACCATATGGATCATCGGCCGAATTATTTCCTGGAACCACAGGGCCGAGGTTGACGGATAGGTTGGCGAAGGCTCCGGTTGTAACACAACCACCGCCGGTACCAGCCTTACGGGTGATATAGAAGGGACCAGGGACATCTGGTAGACTTTGATTGGTGTCTGGGTGGGGAATGGCTATTCCGTTGCCTCCAAACCCGGCTGGGCCATCCTCAAAAATAGAAGCCTTGGACTGATCATCACTGTACTTCATCCAGTCCCAGTAGGGAACATAGCCCTTGTAGCCGCACTCTTCCCTGAGGGATTTCTCATACACCCACATGAATTGCCTATGCCATGGGAGGAAAATGCCCGAGGCATGAGCAAAATTTGTCTGATTCATGTGCTGGTAGGTGAAGTCGTCTGCCCTGACTCTGGCACTGGGTGCGAGGGTTTTGTCGACTTTAGATGGAAGTTTGTGCAGACACTGTACGGCACGGATATAGTCCAGCCTCTCAGTTCTGCTCAAGACATCCCATGAACGGCGCACGCGAACGGAATGTTTGTTGCAGGCTGCATCGGATGCATTAGAGCTCAGAATTTTGTTGATGTTTGTTTCGTAACTCTTCTGCATATCGTTGAACAGGGTCTCTGGAGAAGAGTCCCGGACATTTGTCTGAGGGAGTGCCACGGATGGAACCGAAAGGCAGAGGAGGCCCAACGTGGCCGCGATGTTCTTGACTTGCATTTTGATGTGACCGAGAAGAAAGCGAGAAAAGGGGACCAGAAGTAGAGTTAAAGCAAAAGCGATACACGCACCAAGCCAAGAACTCAGGACTGATTTGAAAAATTCCTTTCCAACCAAGATTTAGCGATCCGTCGACTTTATATCTTCTTTTTAACCTATAACAGCGGCATGCACGGAACCCAACTCAAATCGATTTCTTCGGACAGGCCCATAATGCAAGGATTCAGGGAGCTGGTACGAAACAAGGTCATTATTACAGCGTTTATTCTACGATGATCCTTCTGCATGTCTGATGCAAACAGGGGCCATGAGACAAAAACACACATAATCGTGGGTGAGAATATCTCATCGGGAAGACCGCGGAGTAAATCGGTCATGTTCTCATCAGTGTTCGGTGCCGAGGGGTGGCGGGCCCGTATCGGAGAAATCTATAACCCTGGCGACCGGCGCCGAGGCGACTCCTGCCCTTGTAGAGTGAGATCTAGTGCCGGCAAAACGTGAGATGAACAGGGATTGTTGGCAGATCCATGTAGTAAGCCGGGATCTGGCCTACCTGAAGTTTAGGAATCTAAATAAGTTCCCCAATTAACGTCAGTCCCTAGAAAACAACACGATTCTCAGCTTCCTTATTTGCCAATTCCCCTATGGAGATAGGGGCGGAGAAGGGTCTTGGCTGAATCAATCACGAAGTAAAGCTATGGTGTGGCGGCTTCGCCATGACGTGTAAGCCAGGGAGTTTCTCCAAACCACCAATCCAAGTCCACCGGGAAAACGAAATGGACCAAGTGCGTACATTCTTATAAGGCTTACGTGGTGTGGTGGTCCTACTGCGGATGATCGCTGACCAGGTAGTTCCTGTGATGAGTCTGGCTTTGGTTGAAACACTGACCAAGGCTAGACCCTGAAGAGCGGCGTGAGACGACATAAACCCCTTAATATGTGAGATCTTATGTCAATGCATCCTTTCATCTGTATCAATAATATTTAGCTTAGATGGGGAGAAACAATTTATGATGGAAGGGGGAGTGATTTTGCTGTGTTTGAGCCCACTGGCACCCGTCACCAAGTTAACATCCATGTCAAGAATCACCGCATTCATCGACAAAGGTAGGTAAGAATAGTTGCTCAAGGGTCGTCATTTGCTTCATGGATTTTTTTGAGATAAAATTCCTGGTCGACAACTTTCCTACATAATTGGAATTGGAATGTCAAGTATCATGAAAAATATCTGCACATGCTATGTAGGCTCTGCTGAACGTAATCAGGTGTAGGGTTATAAAAAAAGTTCTCAGTTCAAGCCTTTCGCACGAGGCACTACCTAGTCCTCCTAATTCCCAACTGTTGGTTCATGCTTGACTTCTACTTGAAGTCAACGTTTGTTCGCATTCACTGCTACACTGTGGCAGCGCACGGCGTGTAGTCTTTAATCCTCATGGCCTCCCTCCCCACCCCAGTGCTTGAACTTGCGGGCAGGGAGCTCCAATTCAAACATGCGGTCAATTTCCTCTTGGCTTCTTCCTTTCATCTCTGGGACAATGAACCACGTAGCGATAGCTGTCATGGCGCAAAGCCCACAAAATAGCCAGCCAAGTTTAGCCCCTGAATTTCCGGCATCGGGGTTGAATATGTATGGCAATATTATACTCATCGCTGTCGAGGATGCTTGCTGAGAGACTCCACCAACAGCCTGGGTTTTGGCTCTGACCTCGAGCGCCGAAGTCTCTCCAATGATCGCATATCCAGCGGGCCAGCTTCCCAAACCAGACACGAATATAACGAGAGCCATGGCAGCGGCGGAGACATACGCAATCACCACCCCATTGAAGGAGCCAGATACGCCCATGGCGCCCCAGAGTATGGACGCTGATGCCAGGCTTACGATAACCGCCGTGCGGCGCCCGACGCGGGTGAGGATCCAGATACCCATGCCGTTTGCTATGATTCCGACCACAACACCGCTGATCATGAAAATAAGACTAACATTGGACTCCATGCCGAGTAACTGAAGGAAATAGCTGATGCTTCCGAGATGGTCCAAACCAAATGCGGTTGGAATCAAGTTGGCGAAGAAAACGATCCATGTCCGCCTTCTATGTTGGGGACGAAAGGTGTCGAGATAAGTGGCACCAGCTTCAGGATTTACCTCATTTAATATGCTAGCTTTAGCCCTTTCGATCATCTTGGCAGCGGAGACACGAGGCTCGTAAAGGCGTATGGCAGCCCGCAAGCTTGCCTCTTCCTTCCCTTGGCGAAGTAGATACACGGGGCTGTCGGGCATAATCAAAGACACCACGAACGGGACAAGAGCAAGAGGGATTTGAGAGCCGAATGCTCCCATATATCCTGCTTTACCCGGCACACTGTTCATTGCGAAAACAACGACTGTTCCAAGCAGCTGACCGAGGAGATTGAATGTGGGAAAGAGAGCCATTCCTGGCCCACGGAGCGACACCGGGGCGTTCTCAGAAATGTATGTCATAGCCGTGATCTTGAGAAGGCCCACGGAAACACCCTGAAGGGTTTTACCAGCCAGAAAAACACCGCGTTTGGTGTTGACATCTGGTGGTATGAATGATAGAAAGCTAATTATGACGGAAACAATCAACACGATGCTTCCCAGCATGAAACTTCGCTTTCTGCCCATGTAGTCTTGGGTCCATCCTCCTACAACGCTCCCCAGGGCGTTTCCAAGTCTACCAAGGCCGGTCCAGAGCGAGAGCCAGATCGCCGGGATGATGACTTGCCCCTCATATAGAGATCCATAGTCCGCTTGGAAGCTATCGACACCCGTGATATTGCCCAAGATCATAGAGTCATAGCCTAGGGCGATCACAGCGACGGAAAGTCCGAGGCAGAAGGACACCAACTTCGGGAAGCGTTTGACGCCGGCCCAAAGACGCAGTTCTTCATCTGCATCTGCATAAGCAACATCCACTTCCTCGTCGTGCTTTTTCTCAGCAGACATCTGAGTGCGAAGTCCGCTTGTCCCGTGTATATCTTCGAGCTCGACCGCAACGTTTTTCTTTCCCGGTAGCCGCATTTTTGTGCTCGATAGGTTGAACACGAGTATGTGGTTGTAGATATTGGAGCCGCAGGGACGAATCGACTTGAGTACAGTGGATATCGTACTTGAATAATGGCAAATGCAAACCTATTCCAAGTTGGTTTATCCTTGAGTGGCTTCGAAACACAACGAGATTCCGGTTGACAATAAATAGGGAAGTTGACCTGGACTTTGGAATAGGAGACTGGCATGTGTTTCTCTAGCCTAGGGTGGAAGGAAAACGCGCGGAGGGGGGGGAACGCTCCATGGATTAGTCCTTAGCTTCCTCAAGGTCGAGTTCACAATGCTTAACAACTACAAGTTCTTGTGAGTGTTGGCCTATCTCACTGCTGGGTACGAGAGCCGGGTGGGCCACTTAACCAAAATGAGGTTTCATGGAGGTGGCTGTATGTTTCTACCACCCCGCATGCACAGGGTTACCGCTGGGTTCCAGTCTTTTGATTTGGGATATAGGCTATGGAACGACAAATCTGGAAAGAATCTTCATCGTTTGAAGAGTAGTGCCGGGAAGGTGTATCCATCTGACCCCATATTCCCTCGGCATTGCGTTAACCCAACCCACTTGCGGATGTTCACACGACCAGATGTGCTGCACGAGATCTTTCCCCTCCTCAAGAGCCTCGGCCGAGGAGGCAAGGACCCAGTACTCCATAACTTTAATTCCAGTCCAAAGTATTAATGAACTTTCCATTTAAGGTAGGCTAGGCTTGCCGGACTTTTGTTCTCACGATCTTAATCCTAGTGTTCTGCTTCTAAGCCACGGAGAACTCGTCAACGGCGAGTATCAGCACCAACCCATCTGTATTCAACATATTAATCAGCTCGGTAAGTCTACGCAACTTCAATACCACCTTCTCGTAGCAAGGGTGTGATTGTGGGGAAAGGAAGTTTTTGGAGTCTTTCCAAAAGTCAGTTGGAGAACTGGAGTTTTATCATAAACTCCGGTCCGGGTGAGTCCCACAAGTGAAGTAACACATGAGGGTGGTGATGGTCAGTATGGGGATGCCAACATAAAGCCCGTGCACGGAGAACGGAAATTATACAAAGATCCGAAAGGCGAGTCTTCTCATGAACCTTCCAATCTATGTTGTCTTGACAGGTTTGATGAAGCCAGGCTACAGCATTAACGGTGCCTTGGAGATACCAAGAAATGTGAGGGGCTTGGGTTCACATTATTGGCCAGTTTGCAAGGATTTCTTGCAGATATCGAACGGAAAGAGTAGCTCGTCCCGACGGTGAGACTTCCCCGCCATATTGAGATATAAAAACCACCTCGCTTGCAATCTACGATTCTGGGGAAGACATTAGCATTACTTCCTGTGTCCGACCGAATAAACCACTCCGTTTACGAGAATCCTATCTTGACGCATTGATTTTTCCAATCGCCATGAGCCCTTCAACTATCCAAGAACCGTCCGCTCTGTGCCATATCGTTAAACCTGTCGGGTGTCTCGGCTACGGCTTGGATGAGGACGTATGCGATGCAGAGCTAGCCAGACTCCGCCAAGAAAGCGATACACCCATCGCCATCATCTTGGATGCCGGGTCCACGGACTCTGGCCCTGCGAGGCTAGCACTGGGTCAACTGGCAGCTCCAAGATCCAACTACGTGAGAGACTTGACAAAGATTCTGAGGCTTTGCAATAAATATCACACCCCACTTCTCTTCAGCTCAGCCGGAGGGGATGGAGCTGATGACCATGTAAATGAAATGACGAAAGTCATTAGTGAAGTGATTGGCCAGTCCAAAGAGTAAGACCTAAACAGACTCATTTAAAGAAAGCTACTAACATTTATACACAGGAAATACAAAACCAAGATCATAACCATCAAAACCGAGGTCCCCAAGGAGCTCATTAAAGAGCGTCTGGCTGGTGGCAAAGTGACTGGGTAAGCCTTGATACCCAGCCTTTCACTAATAAAACTAAACTGACGAATTTAGATGCGGTCCTGCGGTCCCTACGCTGACAGAGCGCGACGTCGAAGATGCTGTGAGAATTGTTGCTCAAGTCGGAGCCGAGCCCTTTCTCGATGCCATGTTCGCAGACCCAGACTTCAACGTGGTGGTGGGTGGCAGAGCCTACGACCCGAGCCCCTTTGTCGCCTATTGCTCCTATATGGCGATGAAATCAGCTTCAGGAAGGGTTCCATTAGAAACTCTAGCCGAAAGTGTTTTGGGTGGCTTCTTCCATATGGGAAAGATCATGGAGTGCGGCGCCCAGTGCGCGACTCCAAAGACTCGAGCGGCGAGGTCGACAGTATACGATGATGGCACTTTCGATGTAACGCCCCTGGAAAAGGGTGTCAAATGCACACCACTGGCGGTTGCAGCTCATACATTGTATGAGAAATCACGACCAGATCTGCTCTACGGCCCTGGCGGCTGCTTGGATTTGAGCAACACAAGCTATGAAGCCCTGGCAGATCAGAAGACGGTCCGGTGCCGCGGTGCAACATTCAAACCGATCAGATCAACTGGAAACAATTACAATGTAAAGCTGGAAGGTGCAAAGGTTGCTGGGTACAGATCAATGTTTGTCGGAGCGTACCACGATCCGGCTCTTACTAGTCAACTGGACCACCTTCTTGATGATGTTCGTGCCTACGTCACAAAACAGCATGCTCATGTTACCGAGAACTGGTCACTATTTTTCCACAAAATTGGAGCAACTGACCCTGCCAACGCAGGGTCGGTTTGTATCATTGGCGAGGCTCTTGCGGATAGTCAAGACGTTGCGACTACGGTCGTATCAACGGCCAGAGTCGCATGCATTCACGCACCTTATCCAGGACAGAAGGCAACGAGCGGTAACATGGCATTCGGCATCGCTGGAAAGACAGATATTGAGTGTGGCCCATGTCCGCAGTTTTGCGTCTACCACTTGATGGAACTCGAGTCGGGAGAGGAGGGCTCGATTCAGGATGGCAGTTCCCAAGGCCCAGCGCTCTTCCGAAGGGAACAGATAACATTTGGAGTTAACTCGCGCCCACCACCTCTACCTTCAAGGGTTGGAAATGATCAAAAGGTCTCAAACGGAACTCCCGCCGAGAATGTTGCAACCGGAGAGCAGACTTCAGTGCCTGCCATTACCACGGGAAAACGTGACCAAACACCTACAACTCTAGGTGAAGTTGCCAAGGTAGTTAGATCCAAGAACTCCGGCCCATACGAAATAACTTTTGATCTTCTTTTTGACTCGGAGGAAGAATACCGCAGCATAAAGAAATCGGAGATTCTGAGTAAAAAGGTCATCTCAGATCTTTATTCTATTCCTGAGGAGGATGTCATTTACGCCGGCTTCTTTGACCAGGCCAGAGCTTTCAAGGCTACGATTCCACGGATGGCTGGAGGAAAGAGATCTGTGAGTGGCGCAGTAGGCGATGGGGATGTCCATGGAAGCCAGCACTATATGCCGCTGGTACGCTTGCGTTTGCCTGACGAGTTGCGCGAGGCCTTGCGGTAGATAATTCAAGTTCAGTCAGGCTTAGATTTCGGCCACCAGTTAGCTAGTATGAGTATCATTTGAAGGTCTTAGAAACAGGACATACTTGATGAATTCTATATCGCCATGATTTGGTTGAAGGTGCGCTTTAAAAAGAGGAAACTGAGAAGTCTTGCGTCTCTCCCTAGGAGCTATTTTCTACTTACTCTTAGCCCGATTGATGATTTTGGAGGGGGTGTTTTTCAATAACGCTATGTTTCCAAGAAGAACAAACCCGTCACTCAATTAAGACAACCAGGGACATGTAAACTGCAGGGACTTATTGTTTTCAGCGTTTCTCCTCGCCCCAAGCCTATATATCTATCTAAACTATACTACTTTTTCAATTTGAATCCAAACGAATGTTTCCACCACTGGTACCCATCTTTCTAAACCTCCAGATCTAATTCTGTTCCCTCGACATCCCCATCATCCCCCAAGTCCCAGCATCTAGGCGTGTATGGCTGTTGGTCGCATTCTTCCACTGCATGCTTTGCAAGAACTCGAGCGTAGCAGATAAAATAAACGGCGCATCAGCCAGAATTACACACGGCGCGGCTTAGACAGGGGAAATTGTTCCGTTTCTAACGGCAGCGTTGTGTCCACGTGTAAGTATACCAAGGAGGGGGAAGTACTTGGTGAACAGGGGGTTGACCTTCTCGGCGCCGTAGTTGCCGTCCTGGTCGCCGCGGTGGTCACGCATCAATTCACCGACAATAGCAAAGAAGCTGACGACTTGGATGCCTGCCCTTTCCATGCGAGTGTTGGAGATGTCGCGGACGAATGTAGAGTAGGTTCCCGACGCCTCACCGTTTGCCCAAACAGAGTAGCCAGCCTCGCGGAGAGAGAGGGCCAAGAATGTGGTGCAGACGTCGGTGGCGATACCAGCAATGATGATCTGAGTCTTGTTGGCGGCAGTGACTGCCTCTCGGAAAGCAGGATTGTCCCAGGCATTGATCTCTCCCTCTCGCTTGATAAAAGGAGCCTCGGGGTACTGATCGGCGATCTCCTGGAAGAGAGGGCCGGTGGGACCTAAGCGAAATTAGAATTGATGAAATTTGACAAGACATAAACAAGTATGTGAATTGTTCAAGGCCACTGTGTGACATTGGTGGCTAAGCAGCACATACCGGTCTCAGTTGAAGTTGTCAGGATGACAGGGATGTCGAACGTTTTGCCAAGCTCTGCGTGTGCAAGTGCCGAGTTCTTGTAAAGATGAGGATCGGTGTCTCTGGTCAACTGGAACAGACCATCTTGGATATCAATAACAAGCACAAGCTGTCTCTTGTTAGCTTTCCCGTCCCTATGTGGCTCTGTGCGTCTTGATATAAACATACCGCTTCGCTTCTGTTCAGCCTCTCGTAGGTGTACTCTGTAAGACCCGGTCAGCGGTTGATCAGAATATCTGGGAATGGGGAAGTGTACTGTTCGGCTCCTGGGCGAAAGCTGTCGCAACCAGGGCGCTGAAAGCAAAGCTGAGAAACTTCATTTTGAAAGTAGACTTTTGTACTGTTGAGAACAAGTATTGACGAGGAAGAGAGTTGAGTTCAAAGTGTTGGCTATGGATCTGATGGCAAGTCCGGTTGAGCTAGTTGCTTTGGCTTGAAAGTCCAACCAACTCCAAGCAGCGAGACGCAGTGCCTTTTATAGTTATCTGAACTCTACCCCTAGCATCTACATTGTGGATTGATTTCACTATTCTTCCTTATGAAAGCCCCGTCAGCCTGATGAGGAATTCCATCAGGCTGGGAGAAAACACTTCCTGATCCCGACTATGCGCGCGGGACTTGGTAAGCCCCACCTTGATGCCGGCCAAAAAGAGCTGTTCGGCCTATAGTAAGCAATTACCAAGATTCACAGATCGGGGTTCAATCGACGGCCTGGCCCTCGCTTGTTCACGGTGGATTCATCCTGCCTTGGCATGCGACCAGTCACCAATCATCAGAGTCTTACTGCAGCATCTGTCCCTCAGCTAAGGGGTCCTTTGACCCAGATGATTGGCATCATCTGCCTATTTGGTGTAGGTAGTTTAATGCCTTCGAGCAGTCGCTAAACTAGGTCCATAATCAAGCTACATAATTACCAATATATACATGATGAAGCAGTCCGAGATTTGATATCTTAGGCACCGGGACCACATGGCTGTCCGCACCTTTCGAAGAAATTAAGCTTACATACTGCCTACTTGGGAATAAATTCCCTTGGCCTATTTGCTAGGGCCGGGGACCTCGGGGTAGACATCACGTCGCCACTATAGCGGAACCCAAATTGGCATTGGCCGCAACACCAAGAAGCCGATCGACAACAACAGAGATGTTTTACTCAGAACGTAATGCCAAGTAAGTCTAGGAAAATGAACATGGCTGCCAAATCATTAGGTGATGCTTACAGGGCTTCAGTCTGACGGGCCTTGCATACAGTTGAAATGAAAAGGCGGGTATAATGCACGGCTCTCGTCCGCAGGCGTTAGGATAGATTAGGCCATATGCGCCGAACATCACCAATTCGCATATAGTGTTTCCGAGTTTACTTGCGCAAAACGCAACGTTGCCACACGGCATTTCTGAACTAAGCTATAGATGCTCCCTTTTCGCGTGATATGGTGCATTAGAAGTGGAATACTTGCAAGGAACTATTGCAACGCCGATGAGCGGTGACTCTAATTTTCTGGAACTCCAACATCTCCGCCTTCCCTGGCACTCTCCTAAGCTTTCGCATCGGGACTTGGAATATGTTTGCCACTGGTAATTTGCTATATGCGAACTAATGAAGAAGTATATTCAGCTCCAATCCCAGTTGCTCGCTCCTTCAACCGTGAATTCCAGCATTAAGCCGAGAATAGCCCACCTCTTCGGTTTATTCGATTGTCCCGATTCTTTGAGGCTCGATATCTCGCCGAGAATGATCGGCGATCTAATTTCCAGGCTGCATGGAAGCTAGCCTCATGAGGCTTTTGTGTTTCATGCCATTGTTCAGCACTGGGGCCAAGCTAGTCAAAGGATTGCTCATGGTGGAGTAGATGCAAAGTCTTCGTTTTCCAGGTAGTTACTATCATACTGAGCTTTGTGTAAAGCCAGCAGGTACTTACTCATCTAAACAAGCATATCCCTCTTAAAGATGCTGAAGTTAAAGCAGCGATGTTCACACACTACTCGTGAGTCATTACAAGTTCAAGATCGTTGGCCCCATGGCTTTCGTTACATTCTATCTCTCTTAGGTTATCCGAGGGAAAGTTCTATTAAAAATATTTTCTTAATACGTTCTGCTGAAAATCAATTGGAAGATAAATGTAACAAGACAGTCAATCAGCCCTTCGATCTTCCCCAAGACACCGGCAGCAGTCATGTGGAATAATCACTCATCACAATTCCAGCTTCAATCCTGCCATCGTGTCTTCTGCTTGACCGATCAGTGTGAGACAAGGTGGCCGGCCGACCTTCTCATGATCCGGCTCTCGGTAAGCAAAACAGCGCCCATTGTGCCACATCTGCTGGCGTTCTTTGAGCTTGTTGAGCAACTGCGTAAAACATCCGGACTTTTGATTTGAAACGCCCAGGATCTGTGCTTTTAGAGCCTTCATAGCGATACTCTTCCACTCTCCTGGCGTGGTTTCGAAACCCAAAGTATCAGGGCACAGGTCTAGGTCTGATGCGAATTCCCCCAACTGCATCTTTTTCATGATATTTCCTCTAGTGCAGCGCTCTTCCTCATCTTGTATAGAAGTTACAAGCTGTTTGTAAGCTTGGGCGATATAGATGAGCAGTGTGCAGACGAGTAAGGCATTTTGGGCAGCTGTCATTGAGCGAAGCGGGCAGATCTGACACTCAACAACGAGGAAAGCGCCTTCGACCACTTCGCGGAGCACTCTTAGGCTTGACGGAAATTGAGGCTCGTCTAGGCCGCGTACCGCGTCTATACTTTGATGGAGGCAGGATAAACACGCACACAGAGGGAGGCTCTGGTGGGTAGATAGCGTAGGGGGCAGAGAGGGTAAGGGCAAGAATGCACTCTCGCCTACTAGATCCTCTTGAATTTGTGCTTGGCCATGAAAATTATCCAGGTCTGGCCTGTTCAGCCAGTTAGAGATACCAATTGTTCATCACCCTCGGAGAATTTTATCACGTACCCCGCTGGTAATTCTCCGAATTGCAAATCTGCCTCAGCGCACGGGCGCAGGAAGGCAGGAACCTGTCTAATCCATGAGGCCAGTGATGGCTCAGTATCGGAGCCTACTCGAGGTAGATTGGATATCGTGTGGGATGAATGGGGCTCTCCCAACTCGCTGCTCTCCAGGCCCAATAACCCCCCTGACATCTTCCGAGGCCTACCGCGTGGCTTTTGTGTAGAGTAAGAGCAACTGATGCTTCGATCTCTGCAACGTGAGCAAGAAGTCAACTCTCCGGAGCATTTGAGTTTGCGTTTCCCTGAGAAGTTGTTAGCTCATGGGCCGACAAACGGTGATGTGGATGAGGGTTCGTTATGCTGTACTGCACTGATCACATGCTGATCGATTTGGCTGAGCTTGATTTTTAGCTTTCATGATGAGAGATATTTTTTTCGCGTATATAGAAGCGTTTTAGTTCAAGATATCTCAAATGGCACGAAAGATGAACGTAGTACGTAGCTCACGGCGAGACCTCTAAAGAACATGGAGGGACGCGACAGGGACAAAAGCCAATTGTAGAGCCGGGATATTTTCGATCACGTGATCTACGCATTGCAGGAAGCGAAGACGCAAGAAGAGCCAAAAGTGTCTGTTGCATAGCTCATGGTATGTAATCAAAATTGAAGTATCTGAGAGTCTGGGTGACTGACATAAATTAGGTTACGCCACGCATCCGATCATCACCAACCTGGCCACGAAATATGTTGCTGTTGTCGTATCAAATTGATCTTCTTCCTTGTGCTTCAACACAACAATAATATTTAATGGTTTGTTTTTATTCACCACTAGTGAAAGAAGGTGCGCAACATGTTATTATCTTTATTTTTCGATGATGGATGTTATTTGGCTGGCTCAGGAATAACAACGAGTCTGGCCTCAAGTAGAACGAAGGTTTAGGGTAAGTGAAACAGCATATCCAGCCCTTGAAGGGATGTCGAAAAAGCTGGGATAATTGTTGCTGACACAAGGTATCACAATAGGATTAGCGGTCCACAGCGTGTACTTTATCACGATAAACCCTAGTAAAGATACCTCCAGAGTTCTGAAAGGCAACAGCGATCGGCTTGATACATAAGGGGTCAACCGAGAAGGAGGTCTATTGCAAAACAACAACACAAGACACAACCACAAGAGATTGAACACACACACATTATTGACCAAAATCAGCACTTGTTATTAGCCTTATTCTATCGAATCCAACAATAATGATAATGATCTAACCTAACGAAAATAATCATTAATAAACACGCCCATCTGTCGCAGTGGAAATGTACAGCGCATTTTATTCCAGTCCATGGAAATCCCAGGGAGGAATCATTCCGAAACCTGGTAGTAAAAAAGTTGCGCTCGAAATGCGTCATTCCGATCGTACAATACAACGCCTGGGGGTGGTGCTTCAAGATTGGCCGCCTGTATGGACTCGTCCATTTCTGCGCTATAAGGCAGGGGCTCCTCCACGTCGCCTTGTTCAGGATCCCAATCCTCGAATCCTTCCAAAGGCTCGCTGCCGATATAGGATAAACCATGGCGGTTTGTGAACCTCCAGACGACAGTGGGAAGTCCGTCGGGATGCGAGTCCGGGACCTGCGTGAAGTATATTTGCCTTTCAGTATTGTTGTTGTCGCAGCAGCGGTTCCAGAGCCATTTGGGACCGTTTTGGACCCTCTCAACCACGCTCTGGTCAGAATCGTCAATATCGGCGCTGTTGAGCCAGGTAGGCCCAAATTCGCTATCGTCAGAAGATGTAACTCCGTCCAAGGCCGCTGGAAGAGTCATGACGAGTATGTTCGTGAAAGATTCAGGGCAATCGTCGTCAAACATACGATGTGGACAAGTTTCGTAGTCTGGGGGTTGGATATCGGAGGCGTCTTCCTCGAGGGTTTCGTCTAGGGAGGTACACATCTGTACATCTTCCCCCTCAGGAACCTTTTGACCGTTGAGAAATTCAAGTAGCTTTTGCTCTGGTATTCTATGGCATTGGCTTTTGGGGTATTCGCCGAGAATTTGAGCTGATCGCAGGCGTAAGCCAGGTATTTTGGATAATTTCTTCAACCCCCCGAGAGTCGTGTTGCATTCTTGGAGGTAGAGATGGCGTAGTGTCTCCGCACTTTCGCTGACGACGGCAACAAGGACGTGGTCCTCGATTTCCATAGAGGTTAGATTGAGGGATACTAGTCTCCTCCAATTTGACTGCCTGGTGCCGGGAGAATACCGCAAGAGACTGGTAGTGATAATACAGTGATTGATTTGTCGCTCTGATGCGTACTCGCTCTCTACGGCTAGAGATAGATGTCGGACGTTGTTACAGGCGTCGAGGCAGGTATCAAGCCGAGTTAATTTTTCCGTAATTGGCAGAGGGAAGAAGAAAAAAGCTGTTGAAAGAGAGATGCTCAGAGTGTCAAGTTGCGTAAAAGCGTCTGGCCGAAGAGCCCCGAATGCGCCATTGCCTGGTAGCTCATCTTGCCAAGCGAGCCTTCGCACTGGAATTGGTAGAATTGCCATTGCGGGCAATATAAACAACAAGAGACCATCGTTGCTTTGATTCCAATTGGATATCGGCCACTCAGGAGTCTGGGCCTGGATGTGACCGACTCGGACCGAGTACTGAGGGGAACGAATCATCCGCTTAGAGCTCATTGGTCGTGAAGCCATGGTATGAAGATGGGGTAGTAGACCAAGCAATTCGAAGAAAATGGGGATAAACTCCTCCACGGCCTCTTCACGGTTGAAAAGTTCCTCATTATATGGCAAGGGTGAAATACGAGCTGCCATCCTGTCCCTTATGACGGCGGGAAGCCAGAATTCTTCAGCACACACTTCGTCCAGTAGGGTGACGGTATTATGAAGCATGAAATCTGATTGTGATGACATGAAGCCCGGTCCTTCAGGATTGGCCCAGATAAAATGGTTGAAATAACCGGGAAACCAGGCGAGTTCCGCCCATTCCACCTCCCGCACGTGTTGGGCAAGGTGAGGACTGCGGCAGATGTTCTCGAATGCCCAACGGTCCTGTCTCAGAGGCGAGATTATGATGCGTCGGAATAGAATGGAAGCGGTGGACTCGCTGAGTGGACGACATGTCAGTCGCAGGCAGGCAATGTCCTCGAGGTTGAGGCAATCATTCTCCAGAATCGTAAACAGGACTTCCGGAGGCAGTAACACCAAGCCACCAGTGGCCATGGCAGTGATGAACGGCTGGATGAGAGTAGACATATTTGTGAATAATGTGCAGATGTTCCGGCTGAACTCCCAAGTCCCTGATGCATGTTGACAAAACGAAAACAATGATGCAGGCGTGTGACGCGTGACGACCATGAGAGTTTGAACTCAGCCTGGCCGTGGCAAGTGCAAGTCGGATTATTGCATAAATCTAAGGTACCACGCACAAACATTCATATTGCAGCCATGCGCCTTAATAAAAACTCAAACAAGCAATTCTGTAGCAAGCGGGTGAAATTGAAATTGAGACGACTTGACTGGCTTTTTCTGTGTCTGTGGCGCACTCAACCGCTAAACTGCATCGTGTGAATCCATCCAAGCCAAACTATCCATGTCGAGAGCATCGGCAACGGAAATGAGTTGCTCCGCACTAAGCTCATACTGCAGATCTGAACTGTTGAACATGCCACTTTCAAAGTCTCCCTGGCTATCCTCGACGGGCGCCTCGTCAGAACAGCCGCTCTCTTGGAAGACATCACCGGTCAAACCTACGGATTCATCTCCGCCTGATAGTAGTTGTTGCAAGTTAGAATCCACATGTTTTAGCTCCCCTTTGATCATCCCAGCAATCACGCTCCCACGGCTGCTCATCTCAGAAATGACAGTGTAAGCTCGATCTATCCAGTGAGCGTGGTCTTGTACCAACGATGAGTGGGTGGCTTTTGACATTAGTATCGCGATTGTTGAGCTAAAGGCGGCGTCCAAATCGAACGGAAGGAATGTCTCTGAATCACTTCTTGTTAGACTCTATTGACGTTCTGGAATGTACGCCAGGGTAATAGAACACGAACCTAGAAGCCCCTGGTCAAGTAGGCACCAGAGAATCCGAATAATCTGCTGTGAAGACTCAACACATATATTGAGAAGGCCAGTGATGCTTTCAGATTGCAACCACCGCATCAACTGGTTATCAGCCCTATCGAGCTTCGCTTGCAGGAAGATGTACAGCAACGGCCTGGTGCTCATTATGATACACTATTTAAATCAGCTTCAATGATACCAGACAGTTTGGCTGATCCATTATACACACCTGATGTTGAAGAAGATGTATGTGCGCCGCTACACGGGAGATTCCTTTGAAGGCTTTCTTTGTCTGAATATTGAACGCGCTGTTGACCTGCTCAGCTACGCCGGCAATATCTCTGAGTACAGACCGAGTGGCCTCCAGATATCGACTGCCAATCTTGCCTTCAGCCCCGTACACAGCTAGTATATTTATGAGCATATATGCTTCCTAGTCGTTTACACGGTGACGTACTCTGGTCGATTTTAGATAATATTTGAGACAGATGGACTTGGATTTTCAGTGCGCTGCCAGCCATTGGTGGAAATGGGGTGCTGATGCATCCCTCTGGTATACCAGCGGGAATGCCCTGGAGAGAAGACATCTGCCGCTCCAGTATGTATATATTCCACCACATGATCTGGCACTTTCGGACGTAGTCGACGTCAAGTAGCGGGCTGTACATTTCAGTATGTAAACCATTCTCAAGGGCAAGGCGGAGAGCGTTGCCAATCTAGGTAGTTTGTCTGTTTAGCAAAAATGTATATCCTCAATCAGTGGATGGAATGTATACCGTGCGATGTGCCGGAGAGCGACGGTTGAGGCATTGAAGATACAGGGCCTTGCAGCAGAGCACCTGTATGAGCTCTAAGGGGTCGGCGTCGAAGAACGTGAGGTCCGGCATTACTTTCATGGCTTGTGTGAATAGCTCGATACCCGCAGGCCAGTGCGACTTGACGGCAGGGGTTGCAAAGGCCTTGCCAAAAGCGAGGAGCAGAAGATACTGGACATACCACAATGGAAACCTCTGTGAGTATTCAGAAGGGTTTTCATGAAATCGGCTCATTCGATTCATAAACGAGTCTTCGTCATAAAGGTAGAATAATCCCCCACAGTGAAATTTGACTGCATTTATTAGGTAGACAGCAAAGTCCGGGGTTGGGAGCACGGAGTCGTCAAAGTTGTCAGGCGACGAGGCTTGTGATCTAACTCCGTTCCACCCGAAATCATATACATCGTCATGAAATAACAGGTTATCGGGGGGTAGCTCTTCCCCTGTGAGGCGCTCGTGAGTCATGGCCAGCACTCGCCGTCCGAAGGACCAATTGGAGGATGTCCCCATAAACACTAGTTTGGATATCAGTGATTGGGGAGAAGAATGACGAGGGCGCTGGAGGACATACGCAGCTTTCCTGATGATGACTGGACCCAGTTTGCCGTATAAAATGCCAGTGGGTTTGTCAGTGGTTCCTCTGATCCGCTGACCAGTTCCTGTTCCAACGGGCGTGATCTGATAGCTGGAGGAGACAAGTCTGATGTGGTGTCCAGTGAGCGGCTTAAGAAGGAGAGGCTTCTTTGAGATGAACCGCTGAAATGACCTATTCTCGTAATTTAGAAGCCATACATCTCCAACCATCGTTGGTAGTAATATTTCACACCTGTCTCTGGGCTTTCCAGCTGACTCTGGATCGTGATTGGGGAGATGGGGGTTCTGCCCATGGGCTGATTGGGAGTCGGTCTTTCATTTTGATTGCTGGATTTTGAGCAGGGTTAGCCAGTCGCCGAGGACGCAAGGGGATGTTTCTTTCGTTCCCTTACCTTCTCTTCATGACCACCCTCGCTGGAGGTGAGCTGGCAAAATTGCAGGGCAGAGATCTCTTGCTGCATTGTTGGCATGGGAAGATGCCATTGCAGCGAATTTTCTGTTCGTGACATCTTTTACACCTATGAAATGAGTGTCAGATAGCAGAATTCCATTGTTCAAACACAGGGAACGCAGACACTTACGCCTTGGATGTCCGTCTCCGCCCACCGGCGCTCGGCTGAGAAGCGGTGCTAGCCGACATGGCCCGTAGCCTGGCCCAAATGGTTAAGATATGCCCAGCATGAAAGGCCAGACATGATCAGGCCAGAGTCGGTTACACCCTGCTATTAACGCCTGCAGCTGGGAGTTCCGATGGCGTCGAGCTTTTCCCTAGCCAGTGGAATGCGGGGTTTCGGCAAGATATGTGTGTGGGTAATAGGGGCAATGTCACGCTTGTGTGGAGATTAGATAGCTGTATCCTGCTTGTATTGATTCAACGAACCGACGATATATATGCAGCATGGCGAATCTTAGTCGCGAGCCATCTGATGAGGATAAGTGGTACTAGTCGTTCGCTTCCGGTACAGATCAGCGGAAGCAAATTCCAGAGATATACTCTTGCATTACGCCAAAACCAGCTCGGCCAATATGAGTCAAAGATCTACCTTGATAACGACGGGGTCTTGACCATGTCAAGCTAGTGGTAGCTAGACTATCCCTTGAGATATCTTATCTGAGCCACACTCAAGATAAACGTCAGAAAGTATCGCAAGGGACTGAACTAAACCAATTCCACCACTCCAGCTCACACATGCAGATACGAGTAGCTGTCGTCCCTGGTAGCAACAACCGCCTGATTCCAGAATAATGATGCAACCGACACTCTTTGAAGCGATTCCTGACCCAGATCTTTGCATGTGTCGCGCGATTAATCAATACTTTGATACAGACAACCGCAGGTTGAGGTCGCTGATCTAGAACAAGACCTTCAGCTCCAAGTTTGGAACTTTGGGCTGATAACATCTACCCCGCGTTTGATGAGCCGTAGCGTAATCTGTCCTGTTATGCTGTGATCGGTGGATTATGAAGCGCTACGGCAAATCGATCGGCAATCGTGTGGGTGCATCATCCCGATATCGGGTCGGCTTCATTGCCGAAAGCAACCCCAAAACCATGTCAAGAATCCATGAGAAGCGTAATAAAATACATGATTTGATTCATTCGCTGCATAAAAATCCAAGGATCATCTGATACTGCGACTTCATTATCTACAACTTATCTTGGCCTGGGAGTATTAGATTCCCCTCATCGATCATGTCTCAAGTACAAACATACTTCCTGCCCGCGACGGAGCTGGTGCCTAATTCCCCTCGTCCTCTTATTCAATACAAGAATGTCCTGCCACGGGTGAAATCCACTGGACGGTGCAGCCCCGGAGATGCTTGGCAGATGTTTGAGAACAACGGGTGGCGAGTGAATTGGCTGGTCCGTTACGGCCATACCCAGATGTCCCATTTCCACTCCAAAGCACACGAGACCATGGCCGTGCTATCAGGCACGGCAACCATCAGATTTGGCGTAGGAGACACATCAGATGACCTTCATGCCAACACACACGGCGATGCTTGGGAAAAGGGAGGTGTCGAGCTCCAAGCCGAGGCCGGCGACGTCTTCGTCATCCCTGCTGGTGTCGCGCACAAGACCTACAACACGCTGCCAAAAGCCGCACAGACTCTCCTGTCTCCTGGGACAGGCCACGGCATCGAAGCAGATGATCCCAAGAAGGCCCTATCGGAGATCGAGCTCAACGGCTTCACCATGATGGGCGCGTACAACAGTGGCGAATGGGACTTCGTTGTCAGCGGCGGGGATTATGAGCAAGTTTGGGCAACCCCAAAACCACTTTTGGATCCTGTGTTTGACGACTCGCCAAAAGGACTCCGCGGGCTGTGGCGTGGTAGTGGTGAGGAAATGAGCACGACATCCAATCGTATTAGTCGTCTCTAGACGGATTATGTGTGTAGGCGCTGCAAGTTTGGTCGGATTAGGTAGTATGAATACACGTTCTGCATTGGCTTAACATTGGTCCGAATATCCGTATCCCTGAAGTGATAGATCATAAGCAACAGTGTGATGCTTATCATACGTAAGAGTGTATTAATGAATCGATGGCTCTGTAGTTTTGTTTATGAAGACACTCTGTAACACCGCAGCCGTCACTCCACGCCACAACAAGCGAGCTTCCACCTTACACATTGCGCCTGTTGGCTACTCCCAGGGAACTTCGTACCGTATCTATCAACAATCTAGATGTAGCCCTCCATAGGCCTTGCTTGATCGATGGACAGATATGTGGGCACTTTCCTGGTGCTTCCCCAGTCTCATTCGGCGTGGAGCATCTGGGGC